TGTTTTATATATTTTATTATTTTATTGTTTCCCTTCAACGTGACTTTACCGAAAGAACTAAGAATATGAATGATATTGGTCGCGAAAGCCTACGTGTTAAACTGAGACTCTTGATTACCCACGCAAATGATGGGGACGGCCGTGGATAATAAAAAATTGTAGATAATCCATAAATGATCGGATAAATCACTAGAAATGAAGCACACCTGGTGATTTCGATTGTTACTCTTTCAATACTAAAGATCGATCGATCAATGCGCGTGCTCAGTGATAACACTATCCCAATCTCGCGCAGAAGACTCCGCCCACTAAGTGGATGACAGCAGAGCCACGCCAATCAACATCAATCAAACTCCACACCCACTGTCGTAAATATATGCAACTACTGTACTGTAGAGGCGATCACGTCGATTTCGGATTAACCGGAGCACATATTGGTCCGCTTTAGCACGCGACTTGAAATAGTCCCAAGAATAACAATGCATAACTCTCTTTAGATTATAATTTTGGGCTTCAGGGAAAATCCGTGAGTCATTAATTTGTCAATCTCAGTCTACTATATATATTTATTTGGGGGGGAGGGGGGGGGGCAGTGGGGATGGGGGGGTCAGGGCAGCAGGCCCTGAAGCCCTGGCGGTAACCCGGCCCTGCCCGTTACCATGGGGTGGGGAGGTTGCGCTGAACACACAATACTTTGCTTTCAACGAGACGCGAAAGGCACCACCCTTTGCGTTTCCATGATGCACGACGTCGGCCTGCATCCCAAAACAAGACGGGCGGTGGCTGAGCAACGCAAAAAATACATGGCCTCGCACTCCCCCCCCCCCCCCCCCCGCTCGCCCTGTACGAGAGGAATTATTTGGTGATGCTGTTGTGTTGGCACACAGACACCACTGAGAGGAAAACTCAACTTAACATTGTTCGTCGAAAACACTTGCGTGGCATTCACAGAGAATGCATTTAATAGGTGAGGTTTCTGGCAAAGGCCTGTTTTCATCTCACATGAATGGAGAGGCCAGAGAGATGGTGGATATTAAGGTTTGGAGACTGAATTTTACATAATTTGTGTGTTTAGTTTGTTGTCCTTCCCCACACCTCCGATTAGCACGGTTGGCTACGTACCGTGCAAAAGAAAGTCAACATACATACGGACTCCAATAATCAAAAAGTAAGGCGACTAAACCAACTAATTTATATTACAAGTAAAACTATAAAACGTTGCCGTCATATTGCAATGTGGGAAGGATGGTTCTCACCGTGCACTCGGCTTTGCAACACTACGATGCACCGTACGATATCAGATCCTCGATAAATATCTATCGTCTGTTGAGCAAAATATCGATACAATCACGATTATCCCAGCCGATTAGTCTTTGTAGATTTTTATTTTCTGATTTCACGTGCGATGAAATATTTTTCGGGAAATAAAACGTGCGTTTGTTACCTCTTGAAATATATGTATGAAATAATACTGGTAGGAACGAAGTTGTAAAGTGAGTGTACCAGCCTGCAATAGATTAATGTGTCCGTCCGTCCCCTTTCAGAAGTGAAATCTCGTGCTGTTGGGTGTAAAAGCAGCAATAGACAGCGCAGAGACTTGTCCTACCAGCCCACCCTGCAAGGACCTGTTAAACACAACCGATACTTTGCCAAACGTTGTTCCAGAGTGATCGCGGCATGGTGGTCGTTATGTGGCACCGAATCTTCGTGGTCGATGCAATTAATTTAAACCGGGTAAGGGGCCGTCCATAAATGACGTCATGCACCTGGGGGGGGGGGGGTCAGACATTTGTGACGATGTGTGACAAGAGGGGGGGGGGGTTGAGAAATGTGACGTCACATAAAAATGCGCAACTTTAAATAAATATAGACAACACGTTCTACTTAATTAAATAGACTTTTTAATAAATGTTTTCTCCTACAACATCAAAGTGCAGCGGCACATTAAATACGCACTGCAATGACATATGGCGAGACAATAGTTTAAAGCGATTTGAAGCATGTTTTTTTGGGGGGGGGGGGCAGAGCTTTGTGACGTCATATTTGAGGGGGGGTCTGACTTTTTGTGACGCCGTGTGACGAGGGAGGGGGGTCAAAAAAAATCATAAAATAGTAAAATAAAACATAATAAGATAAAATTCTCACGACGTTTCGGCCACAACGCAAGCAGCCGTCATGAGGACGCTGTCTTTCCGGCAGCTCTGTTCTTCACCTGAGGACGGCTGCTTGCGCTGTAGCCGAAACGTCGTGAGAATTTTATTGTTTTATTTGTATTACTTTATTATTTCCATTCTACGTGACTTTACCGAAAGAACCAAGAATACTGGGAGGCCTTTTAAGCCTTCGTCCTCCACCACCTCGTCACGTCTGACGTCACCACGTTTAACCAATGAACGAGAGCTTCATCTGTGAGTCACTTGAAGGCCATGTGACGGCTTTGCGTGCCACCATCTGTTCACTCTTCTTGGCAAATTACTGAAGCAAGTTGCCTGACTGCCTCACGAGAGGGACAAATTAAGTTTACTTAACGTCAAGGACAATAAGAAGGGGTCGCTGAAAGAGATGTGTTAGACAATCAGAACTCTGTTTTGTCTCTCCACATGTAAATAAAATTTTTAAAAATATTTTTTTTATATAGTTTTAGGCCAGACACCCGTGGCTATCCGCATGAGATATTATTTATCCGGCAGCATTTGTTGAAGCAAGCAAACTCTGGACCAGTTCAACATTCTGAGTCACATCTACAGAAACAGACTCGTGAGTAGTTGAGAGAGGGGGGGGGACAAAAAAAGCAGCAACTCATCCATAGAAATGATGTTGCTCTCCATTAAGCGCATGACAGCATAACATCCAATATCTGTGGTCCTGGCTATTTTGACCTCGCGCGCAATGCTCGCGTTTCTATAAGAATCTATTTACAAAGGAGCCGCGGTCAGCACCGTGCGTATGAGCTCACGGGTCCGGGGCTGGACAAGTTAATGAGTGAGTTGAGTTCCCCCGATTTGAACTCTTCGGTACGTGACACCACGAGTGGTCCTGTGGTGACCGATATGTGGGGGCTGCTATCCGTGGAATGGATCGCAAAACGATTTCCCCCTTGCGACAACCCCAACATCTTTCTCTCAGTTCCGTTGTGTTTCTCTCTCGCATGCGTGCATGCCCGCACGCGACTGAGTGCTGATTATAATGACCGTCGTCGACTTGATCGCGAAATATCGTCACAACCCTGCAAACACAACTCATCCACCTCTCGATTTGGTAAGATCATAACAATTATAGGTGGAGGTAAAAGATGTTGAAAATTCTGTGTTTATTTTTGTACGCGAAAAATTGTTTTCTGTTTGAGTTATTGCTTAAAAATTGTTGTTACAAATGCGTTTTTTCTATTAAAAAAGGAAAACGCTTTAAAGTGAATATGGCTGCTTCAAAATACCCATAATAAGTAATATTTAAAAAATACGCTTTAATGAAATGTAGTAATGGAATGTAGTACTAGTAATGGCATAACTCCACGACTCCAGGAAGTGGCCCCGAAGCTTGCCACAACGTAAGGGGCCCGTGGTGATTTACAGCCAACGTCAGTTGAGCGTGGACAATAAGACCCAAGCCGAAACATCTAACATATGAAAAAGAATGTTTAAAAATATATTTTATTTTATTTTTAATGATAGAATATAGTATTATCATCAGTATGACATACCTATACCAAGTTTGCAGTCGATACCACATTGGGAAGTGGGTTAAAATTGAGTTACAAGATTTGAGGATACAACAGAGTGAGTTAAATAAAAGCGTGTAAAATTAAAATTGTCTCCAATGAAGTGTTTGATGCTGTGCAAATGCTGTTTAAACGTTCTTGAACTCAGAATTGGTTATACATGTGTGCATTATGTGTTGTACGGTATAGTACAGGTACTGTACGTGGTTTTCTCTATATATTCGTATTTGGATTGCTAGGTATAAAACAACATTTCCCTAAGTTACGGTCACTATCCCTACCTTATTCCATTTTTTCTTACGGTAGAAATCGCCCCGCTTTGCGTCACATAGGCAATGTTTACATTCTTGTGGGGGAGAAGTCCCCGTTATACAATCGTTTCGTTCTAAGTCGTAATTTTCCGGTCCATAACCCCCGACGTATATCGGGGAACCCCCTTGTATTCATTTGGGCAACTGTTGGTCACGGCTCTCTGGTGGATCAAGAAGCCTGTGAGATCCATCAGCTTAGCGCGGTTGGCTACGTATGGTGTGCGAAAGAATTTCGACATCCATCAGAATGGATGTCAGTGCTTGGTGGATTGGCCACCACTGAGCTAAACAAACTCCTTCACCTGCCAACACCCGCCACCCCGGCACGTGTCTCTCTGTGACTTTCACCGTAGAATTGCTCGGCGGTGGAGTCTAAACTTAGGGTGTGAACAATAGCGGCCGGCCGGTAAACAAGCCGTGGGGCCGAGTCAGAAGGGGGGGCCCGTGCTGCTCGCTGCTCAGGGGAGCAGGACACCAGAACTGAGAGACGAATGGAAAGTCGAACTACAAATATCACGGCCGTGATACAGTTTGCAAACACACACACACACACACGTATAAATACGCGTCGCGGGCTAAATGCACCCGCATCTGTAGAGGACCGCTTCGCGGGAAGCTCCGTACGGTTGTTAACTTTGTCCGCCTCGTTCGCTTAAGAACGGTGAGCCAAAAGAAAAAGGCCCGAAACGTTGCGACGGTCTCCTGCCTTGTCCTGACGCCGCTTGTGCGTAAGTACGTATGCTGAGCTTGTTTTGCGCCGTGCATAGCTAACCATGCTAATCGGAGGTGCAGGGGAAAGACAACGAAAGAACCAAACAGTAAAGACAACGAAATAAGTTTTAAATCTTGATTTAAAAGTACATAGCTCCAGTGGCTTCTTAATATCGGAAGGAAGAGCATTCCAGACGGCCGCAGAAGCGCATCCGAAAAGCGTGCGATTCGGTGAACCGTATTTGCCGCCTCCACTACAGATCTGCGGGACGAGGAGGAGGAGGAGAGGGAGAGCCAGGACTTTGTGGAGGAGGCTCGACTCGTGGTGTTTCCGGAGCAGCTGGAGATTCGGCTGCCCAACATTGAGGAGCTGCCGGCCATGGTGAGTGATCGGGCAGGGCAAGGAGGCTGTTTCAGGGAGGAGTACCCAAAATGCTGAATTCCCGCAATCGCTTCGTCGTCATTGTCAGACACGGTCAATCCACTACTGGAGGAATGCCTCCCCAAGTCGCCACCATCCCCTCGTAATCTTGCGGTGTAAATATTCAACTTGCCATCTCTCTCGTGCCTCTCCCCCCCGTTCTCACCTTTGTGTCTCTCCCATGTCCTTCACATCTCTCACCCAAATCTTCCCTGCGTCTTCTCTCCCCCACTGTGTCTGCTGTGTCTCTCCCGCTCGTGTCTCTCCCCCCCCCCCCCCCACTTATCTTCTCCACGTCTCCCTCATGTCTCTCCACAACCATGTCTCCCCGTGTCTCTTCCTTTCGTATTTCCCCGTGTCTCTCCACTGCATCTTTCCCCCGTATTTCCCCTCCACGCCTCTCCCCCATGTCTCCCCCTCGCCCCACGTCTCCCCTGCGTCTCTCCCTCACGTCTCTCCCCCGCCGCGTCTCTCGCCCCCCAGGTGTCCATCGCGTGCGACTCGGTGCTCAGGGCCGATACGTCGGTGCGGACGCTGCTTTCGGAGCCGTGGGACAAGGAGTTCCGGCAGGTGTCACGGCACGCCGAGACGCTCAAGCAGCAGGGCGCCGAGGTCCGCGTGCCACCCCGGTGAGTCCCGCACCGTGCGCGCCGGGTCACCACGACCGCTGAACGTCCCCTCCACGGTTACCGACAACCCCCACCCCGCCCTCTGTCGAAGCGCCCTCTCAACAGTTGCTCTGTGGATTTTTTTTCTCCCAGTGAAGCAAAAAGATTTGCTAACAAATCTAAAGTAAAAAAAATCAAGCCCAGCGGCCGAGGGCGACGCACGCCCAAGTCCAGTCCACAGCGCTTGTCAGAATCTCAATTTTTTTTTATCTTGGAGAAATCCGATGAGCTATGAAGCTCTTTTTCACAGATGGCCAGTCGGGGCGGGTCAGAAAATTACAACGACTAACAATACAAAAACTGAATTGGAGTGCAACGTTTTAGAAAGTAAAGCAAAATCACCGACAAAAAATAAATACGTAAAACATACGTAATGCATGCCAGGTCAAAGTGCAAAAGTGCACCAATTCCCAAGCTTGGGCAATGCGGCAAAGCAACAGCAGCGCCAGGCGACGGGCAAGACACCCGCACGGTCCCCCTCGACGACATCGCGACGTTGCGTGCGTCCCCGTCGCCAGGGGCTGGAAGTGCGAGCAGTGCTCCGTTCGCAAGAACCTGTGGCTGAACCTGACGGACGGCTCGGTGCTGTGTGGGCGCAAGTACGTGGACGGCACGGAGGGCAACGGCCACGCGCTGCAGCACTTCCGCACCACCGGGCACCCGCTCGCCGTCAAGCTCTCCTCCATCAGCCCCGACGGCGCAGGTGCGAGAGCGTTAGCGTGGCGAGGTGGTGGGAGGAGGTGGTGGGAGGGGGGGGGGCAGGAGGAGGGGGAGGCAGGAGGAGGAGGGGGGTGCGAAGGAGGGGAGAGGAGGAGGGAGGAGAGGAGAAGAGGGGGGAGAAGGAGGAGGAAGGGGAGGAGGTGCAATTAATCGGCGCACCCCTTCCACCAGTACAAATATCAGAGCCATGGGCGACGCCTTTTTATATATGGGAGGTGGATAATGAACTCCATGGTGGGGGGTGGGTGGGGATAGAGTTGCCACCTGTCCAGATTTAATCCAGGCAGTGTTACACGCGGACACTCCGGGAATTGGCATCTGCGTTTGGAGTGGCAGGAATTGATTTGTCACCAAGATCTGTGACCGGTATTGTGGTGAATTTCATTACAGCGCACCCGCGGTGTTGATAGACCTTGGCTGACTGTTAAATACTTCTGTGGGAGAGGTGGCGACTGTCGGTGGGGGGCATTGAAGGCGGGGCAGGGGGGGGCAGCAGGGGGCGAGGGGTGGGGCAGGGGGAGTGGGGGGGGGGTCAGGGTTTGGAGACCATACGGTTGAGGCTGAGGTGGCTCCGTGGAGGTTAAGTAGGAAAACTTTGCATGGAGAAGCTGTATTCTGAGGTTACAGGGCACGGGTTGGCTTAGCTTTGACACACGAAGGGGAAGGCGGATCGTGTGACGGTCGCCACCGCGTGTCCGTGCGTCTGTGCCCCCGCGTGACCCCTGACCCCGACTCGGGCAGACGTCTACTCGTTTGACGAGGACGAGATCGTCATCGACCCCAAACTCCCCGAGCACCTCGCCCATTTCGGCATCGACGTCATGTCCATCTCGCAGGAGGTACGTCCGTCATCGACGCTCGGCGCCCCACCCACCACTGCTTTCACCGGTGACTCTCCATGTCCACGTGGGTTCCCACCACCCCTACCCATGGTGGAGCATCAGGAGACAAAGAAATCTTCTTTTGGGACCCTGGCAGAAAGCAAAAGGAGGGAGCACCGTCCCTGTTTCAGAGAACGATGACACCACACAACTTCAGGGGTCACCTTGGGAGGCCTCTTTTTATTCCCACGCTCGGGGCTAGGCCCTTGTGTGGGCTCTCACAGCCAACAGTGCACCACCCTGTGGATGAGAATGACCCAGGTCGGATGACACCACAGAACTCGTGACAATATTGCTCAAAATATCCACGTTTATCGGTTGCCTCCGTCCCTCTCTCTCTAGCTGTCCCAGGTTGTGGTGCAGGCCCTCTGGGGGGGGGGGGGGGGTAGCCCCCCCCCTATTATAAATGTGCAAACTCCGAGTGAGATGACAGAAGAGATGGCGAGACGAAAGATGGCGGCAGCGTAGTAGCCACGTGACGAATGTGTGGACACGATGATGGAGGCATGAGAGAAGAAGAGAGGTGCAGATGAGACAGATGTGGTGGCATGACACAGATGTAGATGACACACATCGATGTAGTGAGATTTGAGAAGACAGATGCATACAATTGAGATGAGAGACATTGTGTACATTGTGTACTGTATGCGTGTTGAACTTCTTTTGCACTGCACGTAGCCAATTGTGCTAATCGGAGGTGCGGGTGAAGGACTGCAAATTCGACAGAATATTGAAATGAGAGGTTTTAATTATCAATGGGACCTTTTTGGCAGTATCAAAATTATGAAAAGAAAGTGTATATTTGGTGGTTCATCATCTTAACACTTGTTTTCTTGCCAGAAAGGGTAAAAACTATTCTTGTTTTTTCAATTTTTTTTTTATATATCGTTTTTTAAAAATAATTTCAGGTGATATTTTACCCATCCTTGTGTTTCATAAACCAGGGGGGCGTAGTGGTGTTGTTGAGGTGTACTACTGGAGCCGCTTGGGTCCCTCAGCTTTTGCTTAGCGTGCTTATTTTTTCCCCAGCTCCCTTTTTTTTTGGTTTTACGCCCAGCGCCCGCCCGGAACTGCCTGTCCGCCGCTCCCCCCCCCCTCCCCCCCCCCCCCCCCCCCCCCCCCCCCCCCCCCCCCCCCACAAATCCCCTCCCGCGCGTGAAGGCCGAGCGGACGGACGGGGTGCAGGGCCCACCGACAGGTGAGTGGGCCGCCCTGCAGGAGGTCGGGTACAAGCTGAAGCCCCTGTACGGGCCGGGCTACACCGGCCTGCGCAGCCCTGGCCGGTGCTCCTACCTGTCGGCCCTCATGCAGGTCCTCTTCAGCATCAGCCACTTCCAGCGAAGGTGGGGGGTGGGGGTGGTGCATCCCCCATAGCTCCTCGCCGCGTCCTCTCGATTCTTCGCTCGCCCCCCTCGCGTTGTTTCGTCTCCTCCGATCTCTCCTCTCAATTCCTCCTCTCGTAGGCATGCCATTCTCCTCCGACCCCCCCCCACCCACCCCCCGTCTTTCTGCACCGTCCCGTCCTGCCGTCTCCTCTCACGTCGTCGTCATCCGCTTTCGTCTCCTCGTGCGGCCCCCCAAAGTCTCCTATCACCTCGACTCGAATCTCGCACTCTGCGTTGCCGCGTTTCCATTCCTCATCTCTCCTCGCTTCTTCGCTCCTCTTGTCGTCACTGCTTCTCGCTTCTATCTACCACTAATCTCTCACCTCGGCGACCTCGCCTCGTCTCCCTTCGTCGCTTCCGACCTCGACCTCCAACACAGCACCCGACTCTCATCTTTTTTTCCTCGCACTCAATTGCTTTTAATTTGTGCATCGGTATGTGTTTCCCTCCTTACACGTTGTTTTTAACGAAACTAATCGTTTTATCTGCGTCGACGATTTTGTTGTACTCCCATCGGCCCAGGTACGTCGGGAATCTGCACCGGATATTCGAAGAGTCGCCCCTTGACCCCACGCAAGATTTCAGCACGCAGATGTGAGCCTGGACCCACCGTTCAGCTCTCCATCGCTCACCCCGCCGTCTCGCCACCTTCACAAACTCTCACCACGTCCTCCACCACTCTCGCCACCATCACCGTTATCACCACCGTCACCGCCATCACCACGTCCTACAACTCCCACAACCCTCGCCACCTGACACCGTGACCAAGTTAAATATTATTCACTGTGTTCCCTTCGCCTTCCTCTCACCCCAACACTGCTGTAGTTTATTTGCGAAACCTTATTCCACGTTTGAGCAAAACTTCCCTTATTTTAACGGTGTATTATTTTAAATTGTTTCAATTGCTGGCGGGGGCATGGAGAAAGACGCACAAAGAGAGACGCGGAGAGAGACACGGAGAAACACGGGGAAACGAACAGAGACACGGAGAGAGACACACGGAGTGACACACACAGAGACACGGGCACACGCAGGCAGAGAGACATGGGCGAATACTCGGAGAGACACAAGTGTACAATGAGCGTAGGCCTCGTCACACCGCGCAGGTCGTGGAGGTTTTTTGACCATACTTCACCGCCACCGTTGCCGCAAATTGTACGATTAGCGTGCAACTGGTGGCAGTGGAGTCGCCGGCACATTCTTATTAAAAGATCTGACGGAAGTTGCTGCTCTCGCATCGGATGTCTCAATTTGCTCTCTCCTCTTTTTGCATTTCCCCCCCCCTCCTCCATTTCCAAAACGTCGCAAACCTCCAACCTCCTCCTGCGCTCTGCTCGCTGTCGACGTGGAATTCCTTCCGTTTCCCGCAACGTCTCTTCGTTTTCGTCGAATCTCCTCCACCTCCTCCTCGTCCTCCTCCTCCTCGCTCGGACCCCTGCTCCGACTCTCCGTCTGCCCGTCTCTCCGTTTTTCCCGCACGGCGCCGCGACCGCCGTGGCCTTCCCGCGGTTCAGGGCGAAATTGGGCCACGGTCTGCTGTCAGGGCTTTACTCAAAGCCTCCGCCCAAGTCGGATATCATAGAGCAGGTGACGAGAGAGGACATCAAGGTATTTTCGGCGACGTCTCGCCGGCTCCCCCTCTCCCCCTCCTCTTCCAACCCCTTCTCTCCACCGCCTCCTCCTTCGCACCGCCGCGGCTAACTCTGCACGACCGCGCGACAACTCGCGCATTCACGTCTCTTCTTTCTTTGATTCGTTCCGCCGCACGCGTCTCCCGCGCTCCAGTGTCCGCCCAGTTTTTTTGGCTTGTGACTGAGTTGATGTATTTATTTATTTATTTTGTATCGTGTAGTGTAATCATTATTGTTATTATAACCCTTAAATTTAACGTGCACGCTGTGCTTTGACGTCCGATACGGGGTCTTTAATGTTCTAACGCGCGACGGCAACATTTGTGAATGTGCTCGTGAAGCACACCGTGCAGCTGATGGGTTTTGCTTGACCATACTTCACCATACTTCACCATGCCGCTTAGTGTGTGTGGGTTGGCGTGAAGTTGGGTGTGTCGGCCACGACTGATTACAGGTCACCGGGTTCATATCGCCGTGTGCTAACCGCTGCCCCACCACTCCCCCCCCATCCCCCATTGCCCAGTACCCACCCCTTTCCCCCCCCATGCTACTCGTCGTATAACACGTAGGCCTGAAATAAATGCCTGGGGAGACAAAGGCGGCCGGGCGAGGTGCCAACCGCAGGCGCCTTCTTCCCAGTAAACATTCCAACGTTGGAGCGACGTTGGCCCGACGTTCCACGTGCGCTGGGCGCATGCGCCGTGTGGACCACAAGAGGTGCTCGCTGATGGCACTCGCCCCAGCAGTCGCCCGCTGTTAGAGGCTCCGCCATGGTGGTGGATCGTCGTGCCGTGTGCCCACATGGTGATGGTGGTGGGGGATCGTCGTGCCGTGTGCCCACGTGGTGATGGTGGTGGGGGATCGTCCTGCCGTGTGCCCACGTGATGGTGGTGGTGGTAGGGGATCGTCGTGCCGTGTGCCCACGTGATGGTGGTGGTGGTGGGGGATCGTCGTGCCGTGTGCCCACGTGGTGATGGTGGTGGTGGTGGATCGTCGTGCCGTGTGCCCACGTGATGGTGATGGTGGTGGATCGTCGTGCCGTGTGCCCACGTGATGGTGGTGGTGGTAGGGGATCGTCGTGCCGTGTGCCCACGTGATGGTGGTGGTGAATCGTCGTGCCGTGTGCCCACGTGGTGATGGTGGTGGGGGATCGTCGTGCCGTGTGCCCACGTGATGGTGGTGGTGGTGGGGGATCGTCGTGCCGTGTGCCCACGTGATGGTGGTGGTGGTGGGGGATCGTCGTGCCGTGTGCCCACGTGATGGTGGTGGTGGTAGGGGATCGTCGTGCCGTGTGCCCACGTGATGGTGGTGGTGGTAGGGGATCGTCGTGCCGTGTGCCCACGTGATGGTGATGGTGGTGGGGGATCGTCGTGCCGTGTGCCCGCGTGTGCCTCCAGCCCCCGGAGCCGCGCGGCGTCTCGCTGGGCATGATCAAGGAGCTCGTGAGCCGAGGCCACCCGGACTTCTGCACCGACCGGCAGCAGGATGCCTTCCAGTTCTTCAACTACATGATTAGCCTCATCGAGGTAGAGCGTCTCAACCGTCAGACAATTGGGCAGTCGTGCACACGCACTGCACACACGTGCGCGCGTACTGCACGCGCAGCGCCTCTGATTACCACGGTTGGCTGCGTACGGTGCGAAAGAAGTTCAACGTACATGCACGCGCCGCCTAATCCGGGACCTGCCCTCCACGGAAGTCCGAGATGTGCAGCCTACACTGTGGTGACGCCAGGCCTGTGGTGACGCCAGGCCCGTGCGATGCTCATTGATGACCCTGCCACGTGCCGTGTGCCATGAGCCGTGCACCACGCACCGTGCGCATTGTGCCGTGTGGCGCTTGCCGTCCACGACGCGCTCTCTGCGCTATACCGTGCACTCTTGTGCCATCCGCCGTGTGCTTTGTGAATCATGTCGTCTCAGTCCGTAGGCCCAGAGCTGAGGTTTCACCCGTTTGGTGCCTTCCTGGGGTGGCGTAAATTCAGCGGCTCGAATCTCTTCGTGGCAAGATAACAGTGAAATCCACCTTCATTTAATTCACTCCTATTAGCCACGTAAATAAATCGTTACAACTTAAGTTTTGCTACCTTTGGTGGTACCGATTTCTGTTCTGGCCCATGGACTCTCTTTTTACCACGTGCTCTGTGCCATGTGCCTCCATGTACAGTGTCCCCTGTGCCATGTACCATATGCGCTGTGCCGTGTCCTCTTTGCCCTGTGCCATGTACCATATGCGCTGTGCCGTGTCCTCTTTGCCCTGTGCCATGTACCATATGCAATAAGCTCTGTGCCATGTACCATGTCTCCCGTTTCACGTACCGCCATGTACCATCTCCCCCCTGTGCCATGTACACCACGTGCTCTGTGCCATGTGCCGCCACGTACCGTGTTCCCTGTGCCATGTACACCACGTGCCCTGTGCCATGTGGCCTGTGCCCAGCGTGCCACGAGTTTGAGTCCGGCGTGCCCGCGGCGTCTCCGCAGATGAACAGTGGTGCCGAGGCGACGTCGCCGAGCCGGGCGTTTGCGTTCCGCTTGGAGGAGCGCGTGCAGTGCTGCCAGTCGCGCAAAGTTCGCTACCAGCACCGGCCCGAGCACTCCGTCAGCCTGCCGGTGCCGCTCGAGTCGGCGCACAACCGAGGTGGGGGTGGGGGGGAGTCTCTGCTCGCCGGGCGGTGCTAGCGGCCGGGTGGGCGTGGCCTTTGTAAAAGTGGGACGGCGCTGAAGGAGTCGGTGGCTCCCCAGGTGCCTGAGTACAGAACGGCTTGCGCAGTTATAGAATTGTCGTAAATTCGGTTAAATGTAAGACTCGACATAGCCCCCAATTCGGTGAGTGGCTTAAGGCAGCAAAGCATCGTAAAGTTAATTTTAATTGTTTAACTTGGACTTTGACAACCGACATATTAGTGGTCCTGAACTACCCCTTAAGTTGTCTCCTAACTCCACAACGCTTAACTGTCTCGGCTACCTCATTTACTTGGGGACTTGACGAACGTCAACTTCGGCCCCGTCTATAATTGCGCACGCCGTTTCTGTACTCGGGCCCAGGGAGTTCAGCGTGGCCGCACCGCCTGCACACTCAATCTACGCCCCCCCCCCCACTCCGTGCAGGGGAGCTGCTGGAGGTGGAAAGGAAGCGGCGCGAGGCGGTGGAGCAGGGGCGGCCGGAGCCCCGGGGGGTGCGCGCCCGCGTGCCCTTCGGGGCCTGCATGCAGGCCTTCGCCGAGCCCCAGAACGTCGATGACTTCTGGAGCTCCGAGCTGCAGGCCAAGGCGCCGGCCGTGAAGTACGCGCGCACGCCGCGGGCACGCACGTGGGCACGCCGCCGTGGTGGCGGTGGTGGTGGTGGTGCTGCTGCTGGTCCAATAGGGACCCAGAGCAGCAATTATGTTTGGCAGGTTGGCTAGTTGGTCGGGTATACAGGTTCGCGTTCTGTTGCCCGGTTGGTTTAGGCGTAGGGCTGGCGTTTGGATGAGCGCGTTGGTTAGGGGTAGGGGATAGCCTTTGGTAGGCTCATTGGTTAGGATTGGGGATAGGGCTGGCGTTTGGTTGGCTAGCATAATCAGACTCTTTACCCCTCCTTCACATCGATGGTACGTGGACTTTTGACATCGATGTACACCAGTTGTTTCCGGCGTTCCAAGCACACGGTTTGTTTTCTCCAGCGTGTCACAGGTTGGATGTTGGAGCCGGGTAAGGGGCCTGGGGTGGCACATGTACTGGACAGCCGCTCTGTCAACCCATCCCCATATTGTGCGAATCATAGCGGTCATTTCAAAGTCAAATACAGTGGCATCTCGGTACACGTCGTTAATTCGTTCCAGAAGGTAGGAGGACTTATACCGAACATGACGAATAGCAAAATATTTTTTTTTCCCATAAGAAATAAAGGGAAAGGAAATAATCCGTTCCAGCGTATAAGACATGATATTTATATGGCATATTATACATTAATGGGGTTGTATAAGATAATGTAGACACTACTTATTACTAAAATGCATACATAAATTAAAATAAATAAATACATTGATTAAATTTAAAACACGTGAAAATTCACAGAGAGTTCTAGCAAAATTTGTGCACTGAACGAGATCTACTCTACAGGCAGACTGAGGAGCGGCGCTTTGTTTTAGTCGTGAACGGGGTCTACGTGGGTACGCGGTGACTCATCCCGACCCATACAAGTTCTAGCAAGCGTGTCGTATCCCAAGCAAGACGTCGTATCCCAAGGCATTTTTTTTCTCGTCAAAACACGACGTATACCAAATTCGACGTATTCCAAAGCGGTCGTATAACGAGGCATGACTGTAATTAATTTTTCGGGTATTCTCGGTGGAAGGCCCAATGAGCTCGTGACCCATAATTAATCCTGATGGCCAATGCGTGGATGTGTAAGCAATAGCTTGCTTATGGAAGCATTGAAGTGCAGTAAAAATAACTGATTTTGCTGTACTGCCCTCAGCTTGCCACGGTGAAGCCGCGCAACTTGTTATGACCAATTATTTGTGCTTGGTGGTCACCCAATTTCGAGAACTATCCAGGGTCAGCCCTGCTTAGCGTTCCCGGTGATCTGGTCATAGGCAGTATTAAATAAACTAAACTATTTTTTTATTTTACCAGGGAAGGCCCACTGAGCAATATAGATATTATTGAGAAGCGACCTGGCTATCACAAATGATAGCTCAGCGAAGTGGCGTATCCATCATGTGGACATTTATAGCAGCCAAATACTCTGAAACCCGTGATGTTGATTCTAAATGCGGAGGAAAAAACCAGAGGACCCGGAAAAAAATTCACGCGACCACGCGGAGAGAGAGACATGCAAAATACAAATATACAGCAGCAGGCGTCAGGGTCGGGATCGAACCCACGACCTCCTGTATACCAGGCAAGGTAGTTAACAGCTCGGCACCAGTAACAGCGCTGCCACCGTGGCCACGGACCAAACCCGGCTGCATTTCTCAGTCGGCACATGTCAAACAAACTGTACAGTAACGTGAGTCCAACATGATACCCGTACTAGGTCTCGGTACGAATCAAATCCTGCCACCCAAACATAGATTCCAATTCCTACACTGTCCAGGTTAAACCTGGACAGTCAAACCTGGACAGTCAGGGAATTGGAATCTGCCTTGTTAAGGGAAAACTTTTTTCGGCAGATCATTTCAGTAGATTTATTGGAAGTTAAAGATATTTTCGTGACTGTAGAGGTTTCTGCCGAGAGTACGATGTAAAGACATTCTGCGTTACACACACATACAAAGACAGTGACACACACACACTCTCTTACATACACACCGTCTCTCACACCCTCACACACACGCACTCCCTTACGTGCACACCATCTCTTACAAGCTAACACACACACGCACACACTCATGCACACACTCACATTCCCTCACATACACAGCCACACAAAGATCCCCCATATAGTCGTAACAGACTGTTAGGGCACGTGCTGTTAGCGAGCATCTATGAAGGCCGGGACGGCACACGAGGGGGTGGGTGGTCAAAGTCACGCCCGACCGCCTTTGTCTCCCCAGTGGGGGATGTTTACACACCGCACCAGGTACTCATTTGAGGGCTGAGTCGACCTAGGGGAGACCCACGACCGGTTCAGATAATTGTCACTAGTCTTGACCGCGAGCGGGAATCGAACGTAGCGCAGAGCACTGCCCGCTCTGCCACCGCTCACACACTCCCAGTATCTATGCAGAGGGGCAATCTGTCCAGAGTCAGATCCCAAAATAGCCTCGGTCGTCAGACGCTGCTAACCATTCGCTCGCGTGGACCCCCGTGTCTCTCTCTCTCTCTTTGCGCGACACGCAAATATACACGCGTATATAGATGCATGTGTGTGTGTGTTTATCGCTGTGGTGTACTTCACAGTGACGCGGTAATCCGTTCTTGCCGTGTCGGTGTCGTCGTTTCTCTGCAACATCGATGGTTTTTTTCCCGTACTTTTGTGGGAATCTCCCACGTTGTTGTATCATAGCCACGGCAGCTGCCTATAACGGTGACCGCCGTGCGGGGAACATAACCAAATAACCTCGGCACTCGAACTGACAATATCTAATTAAACCAATCCGCTCAGTGACAGGTTAACCCCTGGGGTTGCCGCGCTCGTCTTTGGCATTGCTTCCTTGTGTCCGATTGGCCGTTATAATAGACTGGCTATTAATGGCTTTCTGTGCCGGACCCGTCGTCTCGGCTCCGTCCCTCTTACACACGTACAGATAGACAAGCCCTTTTGCCAATCCACTGCTGGATGAGCCCCTCCCCCCCCTTATGCCGTGCGCGTCGTTGCGGATGGGCGGGGTGGGGGTTATTTTATTCGTCATACTTCACCGCAGCTGGTCAGTGCCGATTTGGTGACGTTCGAAGTCCCCGGGACAAGGTTATCGTTTAGCTCCGGGCTGGGACTCAAACTCGTGTTGGGGCCCAGTTCACAGCCACTTTCGCTGCGGCTCCTCTCTCAAAGCGATTCTCTCAAGGCGGGAGGAGAGCGGATGTGGGAGCGTAGTAAAGCACTGCCCTCTGCTGCCCGTAACGGAGCCCCCACTACAGCAGTGTAAACTAAAACTATATATTTTTTTTATCTTATCCGGTAAGGCCCACTGGAGCTATGTTAGCTCTTTGTTAGCAGCGACTTGGCTATCACAAATGATAGCTCAACGAAGTGGCTTATCACGTGCAAATGTACAGCAGCCAAATACTCCTAGACGCGTGAATTTTGATTTAAAAAAATGTGGAGGGAAAAACCGGAGGAGCGTCAGAGTCGGGATCAAACCCACGGCCTCTTGCATGCCAGGCGAGGATGGTTAACCTCTCCCCGCCGTGGCATCCCTAGCCGCCAGTCACCTTATTATCCAGCCTCTGAACCCCGCTTGGCTTCCAAGGTCTGACGAGATCCGGCGGATTCCCTGTGGTTTTGGCACACGCACGCTCCCCCCTAACCCGAACCCAACTCTCCGAAACATCGCCACGCGGAGCCACGTGTGTCTTGGATAAGTTGCCCATTGGCAACGGCCTCAGCGGTGGCGCGTTCGGCGCCGGTCGTGGAGGTTCGCGGTTCAGGACCAGGCGGCCGCCCCCGGTTAATACTGCGATGCGTGTTTTACCGATGAAATACGTCCGCTCCACAGCGGGCGTTCAAGATCAACCACCACGTCATTCTAAAAAGAGGAGGCCATGGTCTGAATTTGCCAAGTGTTGTAAATCACCGGCAAATTTACCTCGATGTGTAAAGCCACACGGAGACATTAGCCCCCTGCTGTGAAACCACCGCGGACTGCACTCGTCTGTGGCCCATGGCGCCCTCACGATAGCCTCGTGCTACCGATGCTCTTCGCTGGAATGGTAGTGCAATAGTCTCGCATTATGGGATAGCCTCACGGTATGAGATAGCCTCACGGTATGAGATAGCCTCACGGTATGAGATAGCCTAGCACTACCGGTGCTCTTTGCTGGATTGGTAGCGCGATGGCCTCGCTCTACGTGCTGACGACAAATGTGTTTCTCCTCCCCCCAAAATCCCTAGAACCTCGTGGTTTTCAACGTTCCCGGAATACCTCGTGATCCACCTGAAGAAGTTCACATCAGAGCAGGACTGGGTCCCGAAGAAGATCGGTAAACACACGATCAGCGAGTTGCGCACCCAGCCAACACATTTAGGAGTGAGCGAATCGCTTCCACCTTCATATAAAGTCGCTCGTATTTTATTTTGGTTTGGCATAAACTCCCATGCGGTTTAACACAAAAGCATCTGTGGATCATACAGTATGGGCGTAGTATTATTCTGTTGTGATACGCTTTCTCACAATTTATGGATTTGATTATTGTTGGCATTAACCAAGCTAATAGGGCCCCGTAGTGTGGAAGTGGCGACTCCACAAATGACTCCACTGTGCTGATGAGTCCCAGTCGGCCACATTCACTCAAAGTTATTGGTTATGGTGACCTCGGTCAAGAAGACCACAATGCATTTCTTCAGGAAATGCCGATGTGTTGAATATGCACGGACGCTGTGTGCTTTTTCCACATTTCCGTACGTTGTTCGAAAACATACGTTTTAAATGACGAGTGAGATTGGGGTTGTTTTCTTTGGTTCTTTCGGTAAAGTGACGTAGAATGAGAATAAAATAATAAATTGATAAAATAAAATAATATAACACAATAAAAATTATCACGACGTGTTATTTTATTTTATCAATTTATTATTTTATTCTCATTCTACGTGACTTTACCGAAAGAACCAAAGAAGATGAACCCTTGCAGTCACGAAAGCTTTAAATCGAAATTGGGGTTGTTTTTTTCTTCTTTTCGCTGCGGAAGGAAAGCGAAGAACCTCAGTGTGTAACAGGGCGAGACCGTATACAGACTCCACACAGCAACAAGGCGCCCTAACCGGGAACCGAACCCGGGGCCTTCTTGCTGTGAGGCGCCAGCATCACGATCGATGCCCCCCCCCCACCTCACCCCCCTTGTGCAGACGTCTCGGTGGACATGCCCGATGAGCTGGACCTTAACGAGCTGCGGGGAACGGGGCTGAAGGCCGGCGAGGAGGAGCTGCCCGACATCTCCCCGCCCGGCCTCCTCTCGTCGTCGCCGTCGCTGAGGCGCCGCTGTGCTGGGCGCCATCGCTCCTGGGGGGGCGGCCAAGACGAGGATGATGAGGACGACGACGAGAGCGGGGACGGAGAGGGGATCAGAGGTGGGCGGGGGGGGGCTTTGCGCGCGAGGGCGTCTGTGCGTATGTAGGGAGCGGTAGCGTAGCGGTGAGCGCTACGAACCTGAAGGACCCAAGTTCGATTCCCGCTCACAGCCAACATCAGTGACGATTATCTGTACCGGTCCTGGGCCTCCCCTTGGTAGACTCGGCCTCAAATGAGTACCTGGTGCGGTGTGTAAACATCGCCTCTGGGGAGACAAAAGGCGGTCGGGCGTGGCGCTGACCACCCACCACCGTCGTGTGCCGTGCCGGCCTTCATAGGTGCTCGCTAACAGCGCTTGCCCCAACAGTCTGTCACAGGCAAATGGGGGATCTTTGTTTATGGGCCAACAATATCTACAAAGATCCCCCGTGTAGCCTTAACAAACTGCTTGGGGCAAGGTCCCCAAGCATGAACGTCCGGTGCGGCACACAAGGAGGTGGCGCGTGGCCAGCACCACCCTCCGGCCGCCTTTCTCTCCCCAGTGCCGATGTTTACACACCCGCGCCAGGTGTTCGTTCGTCACGCTCAGGAGAGTCTTCGCTGGCCCCATCTGGCCCCCACGGGCCATCAGACAAAGATCGCTGTGCTGGCGTGCATCACGGCCGGTAGCATTCACTGCCCAGCGTAGCATCTTCTGCATCGTTGGTGCGCTCTTCCTCCCCCCTTCCCCGACCTCAAACCCCGCCAACGGCACCGGCCAGTGCCGTTCCTTGACGAGGTGGCCGTCTCGACCCTGGAGGAGATGGGGTTCCCGCGCGAGGCCTGCCGCAAGGCCGTCTACTTCTCCGGGAGCCTGGGCCTCGAGCCTGCCGTCGACTGGATCATGAATCACCTCGACGACCCCAGTGAGTCACCAGGCCTACCGCCCCCCCCCCCGCGCCCTTCCACACCTGCCTCCCCGTTACCATGTGACATATGGGCACCGCGGTGGTGAGATGTTAACTGCCTCGCCTGGTGTACAGAAGGTTGTAGGTTTTTGATCCCGAACATGACACCTGCATATTTGGAGTTTGCGGGTCTCTCTTTCTGTGGCCGTGTGGATTTGTCTCCAGGCCCTCCGGTTATTGCTTCCACGTTTGGCTGCTATAAATTTCTACGTGATGAGCCACATTTCGTTGAGCTATCATTTGTGATAGCCAGGACGCTCCTGAAAAAGAGCTACATAGCTCAGTGGGCCTTACCTGGTAAAATAAAAAAAATTGTAGTTTAATAAATATGAGTTTCTATTCTTACCAATGCCCAGACCTGGCAGAGCCACTGCACATCCCGGGACAGCTGTCACCTCCGTGCGGCGAGCGGGCAGCGGGAGACGGAGAGCTGGGAGGGCGGCGGCAACACGGCCGCCGGAAGATGTCGCGGCCGTCTCAGCCGCCCCCGCCCGAGGAGAGCGTCGCGATGATCGTGTCGATGGGGTTCACGCGCAGCCGCGCCTTCCGCGCCCTCACGGCCAACGTGAGCGCGCGCAGTCATCGCCCGCACCGTCATCGTCGTCATCATTCGTTTAAAACGACGAGGGCATTTCGTAGTGGCGCCATTTTTACGTCGCGCAAGGCCCGACAAGAACGAGCTACTGGGCCACGCACTTTTAAATCTCGATTGAAAACTAATTTTATTGTCCTTCCCAAGCACCTCCGATTAGCACGGTTGGCTATGTACGGTGCGGAAGAAGTTCAACATACACACTTATACGCTTCACAGACGAGTATCGTCTGCAGTGGTTTCTTAGCAACAGGCGACGTTGCCATGCGGCTTTTCCCAATTCAGCGGTTGGCGAGTATCTTTCAAATGTGGCCCGTGGCGCCGGCGATCATGACCTCCTTTTTTTCGAGGAATGTAAAAGCGCCTTTAAATATCCGCTGTGAAGCAGGTGGCATGTATTTGTTTTTTTGTTAATGTATCTCTGGTATTAACCAGGGCGGCCGCTGGGCTCCAACAGCTGGGCCACGTCGCCGCCCATCGATTGCGACGCTCGATAATCGGTGAAAAACGTCTCGACACATAGCCCGCGTCACTTCCAACAGCGAAGTGATTACCGTCGTCGTCATCATCTCCAACATCATCATTGGCATAATCACCACGAAGAATAATAATAATAATGATGATGCGCCTTACTCAGGAAAGCATCGAGTGTCACGAGGGTCTTGCATCGTCGTTTTGCAGAACAACAACCTGGAGCGCGCCACCGACTGGATTCTGACCAACATGGCGGACGCGGGCTCGGATGGGGACGAGGAGGACGAGGAGGAGGAGGGGGCAGTGGCAGGGGCAGCAGCAAAAGGGGCAGCAGCAACATCGGGGGCAGCAGCAGCAGGAGTACCAGCAGCAGCAGCATCGGGGGCATCAGCAGCAGGAGTACCAGCAACAGCAGCAGAAGGGGCAGCAGCAGGAGTACCAGCAACAGCAGCAGGAGGGGCAGCTGCAGTGAACGCTGCTCCTGCTAAGGTGGAACCTGTGGCGCCCAGCAGCACCGCCCTCCCAGAGGCCCACAGGAACGGGCCTCTCCCGAGCGGCGCGATGAGCAACGGGATGTCGGAATACCCCGACGGGCCCGGACGTGAGTGCCGCTACGCACGAACACAAACGGCGTCGTGATTTAGACGCTTCGTAGTCCGTCATGTCGGCGACTCGCACCAAGTTGGCGCTGCTGACCGAGATCCTGGGTTCAATTCCAGGCAGATGCCTGTGATTAAACAGGTGCTCAGGTGTAGTGAGTTCATAATAATTGGTGATGCCTCGGTGGTGGTGATGATGGTGACACCATGATGATTCTTATCATCATCAGCTGCTGCAATTGACAGCAGACCCACGATCCCTCTCTCACGCGTGTGCTGTGTCTTTGTCTTTTGTACGCGTGCTGCACATGTGGTGTGCGTTTCTGCTATGCAGGCTACCGTCTGTTTGCCTTCATAAGCCACATGGGCACATCCACCATGTGCGGACACTACGTGTGCCACATCCGCAAGGAGGGCCGGTGAGTCGTGCCCAGCAGCCTACTTGCTCTACTGCAACCTGCCGCTGGCCATCATGTAGCACAGGAGTCACATGCACACACACACGGTGCGCTCAGAGCGAACCACCACCATCCTCATCATCTGCAACAACAGCAGCATCCATTTATCATTCTTTCATTATTACAATCATCTTCATCATCATTTATCAACACCATCATCAGCGTCAATTCATCATTATCCATTTATAATCACCGTCATCTTTGTCTGCGTTGCCATGAACATAATCTTTTATCATCATCATCATCATCATCAAAAGCCCAAAGAACAATTAAAGATCAGCTGACATGACTCAACAAATCCTTTCAAATGGAATGTTTAGGAGTGACTCCACAGTGTTCGTTGATAATTCTTCATTTGCTGCACCTGCTGCCGTCTCAATTGCTGCTGTTTCCTCCTAGAGCGTGTAGGCCGTGAGCTGCTCTGTTTGCACAGTACAACCTCGCGCTGTGACATCGTCTCATTACGGCCACGGGCACCTTTTTCACGGCCCTGAATGGGTCTCAAACGGCGCGGCTAAAATACGAAGCTGCTAATCGCAGATAATTGAAGGGGACCATCTCTCACTCGGACGCCTTCAGACTGTGGCGTTGCAGCGGTTTCTAATGTGCACGACTTAAAATGTTATCTTCGTGAGGCACTCCACGTTGAAAGAATACTTACATTTTAAACTTGTTTTAAACACAACAGAACATTTCGTAAAAAAGTATTTTTTTATTTACGAAAATAATTTCTCATCTTCAGTTTGGTGGGGCGGTGCCCCAACACCCCTAGCGGACGAACCGCACCGAACAATTATACCAATCGTTATCAGCTATTACAAAAACTTATATTTTCAACACCAAATCACTCTAATCATCCTCCATTATATATTAAGTTAAGTTGGATTGTTCAAAATAAACAAGTTATTAACGCTCCTAATAACAATTAAATAACTCGCCACGAGGCGCGGCGCCATTTTATTTTCAGACTCTTTTAGCGCAACAACGGCAAATACAACTAAAAATAAGTGAACATCTCATACTTGCAAGCGATCACAAACACCCTCCATGCCACAACACCGCAGCTCAATTTCTATGTCAATGGGATTGAGCTCCCAGCGTTATTATTCGAGAACCAATTATTCATATCCGAGACCCAATAATTCGAAGTATTTTACATATTGAAATCAACTTCAAATTCTTAATTGTGCATATCTTCATGGCCACCAACTGAATCAACAGTCAACTAATATTGCCGAGCTCTTGTCAGTCGATTAAGATTTAAGTCATATCGATTTAAGTTATAAATTTACACTACGTAACACAATTTTTGTTCCTGGGTAGTAAGTGTTATTTCGTAATTGCTTCTGCCTAAAAAGTATAGTAAACGGCTATTATTCCCCAGAAACTTTGCTTTTGTGACCAGGACAGTAATATTTTGCAATTTACCTATTTTTAATGAGAACACGGGCGAATTTGTGTCTTTTCGTTCACATAAAGTCTGAAAAAACCAACATATTAATACAAATTAACATGTATTTATACTAAAGTAATACAAAAATTACTACAAAAGATTTAGAAGTGAGTAGTTTTTCGACATTTACTATTATACTGTAAATTAATTTCACGAAACGCAGCCCCCAAATGTAGTCTCCCATCATATACTCGTTATACTGTCCTTGGGAGCGGCGTTCAAAGTCCAGTATATCCTGCTGGAAGCGCTCTCCTTGATCCACCGAGTACGCTCCCATGTTCTCCTTGAATTTATCAAGATGAGCATCAAGGATATGGACTTTGAGGGACATCCTACAGCCCATTGCGCTGTAGTTCTTCACCAGAGTTTCACCCAGCTCCACATAGTTTTTGACCTTGTGATTGCCCAGGAAGCCACGAACCATTGCGACAAAGCTGTTCCAAGCCGCTTTCTCTTTACTCGTGATCTTCTTGAGGAATTAATTGCACTCCAGGATCTTCTTTATCTGTGGTCCGACGAAGACACCAGCTTTGACCTTTGCCTCAAACAGCTTAAGGAAGAAGTCTTGAAGATACTTGAAGGCTGCCGACTCCTTATCTACAGCTCTGACAAATTATTTCATAAGGCCCAATTTGATGTGCAGTGCTGGCATCAGCACCTTCCGGGGGTCCACCAGTGGCTCCCACTTGACGTTGTTCCTCCCCACAGCGAACTCGGTACGCTGTGGCCAGTCCCTCCTGTGGTAGTGCGCCTTGGTGTCCCTGCTGTCCCAAAGGCAAAGATAGCAAGGAAACTTGTTAAACCGCCTTGGAGACCCATCAGGAATGCCACCATTTTGAAGTCTCCGATGACCTCCCAGCCGTACTCATCATACTTCAAGGCGTCCAGCAAGGTCTCGATGCTGTTGTAATCCTCTTTGAGGTGCACCGAGTGAGCCAGGGGAAGAGATGGTTACTTGTTACCATTATGGAGCAGCACGGCTTTGAGGCTCCTGGATGAGCTGTCAATGAAGAGGCGCCACTCATTCTGGTTGCAGGCGATTCCGATTGCCTCGAAGAGACTGGTCACAACGTGGCAGAAGCAGAGCCCATCTTGACAGGTGAAGAAGCTGCAAAAAGGTTGGTGACGCTTCCTCTGATCTGCGACTTGCACACTTTTACCAAACAAGTTCCACTGCTTGAGCCTAGACGTCAAAAGCTCGGCATTGTACTTGGTGAGACCAAGATCTCTAATCAAGTCTTTGAGGTCTTTTTGGTTGGGGTAGTATGGGTTTCTCTCCTCAGCTCCACCTCTGAAATTGTCATCTGGATCTACGTCTTCCTCGCTCTCTGACTTGCTGCTCTCTTCTAAAGACAGCTGCTCTCCGGAGTACTGGGTACGGGGAGCTCATGGCAGTGTGGCACCAGGGCCAGTCCGACGTTTTGAAGGCATGCCGAAATATGCATTGTAGGCCTCACACATCTTAACAGATGCTTCCACAGAGTACTTTTTCGCTCGTCTTCATAAATTGGCCGCAGACATCGCAAAATGCATCTGCCGGATGCTTGCAGCCTCTTGATGACATCTCAGAAAAATGCAGATATGCATCCACTTAGGCAGCTGGAACTAAACTGAACTGGTGGGCTTAAGACCCCTGCAGTTATACTGCTATTTATATGACTGAAAAGTTCTAGAATGTTCTAGAAGTTATTCGAAGTTTACTCAGCACTGAATCTATCTGGAATGTTCTGGAAAATAGGTACAATTCTAAATATCACTGTCCTGGTCACAAAAGCAAGGTTTGTGGGAAATAATAGTCATTGTCTGTACTTTTGAGGCATAAGTAATTAGGAAATAACATTTACTACCCAGCTCACCAGGCACCAAGACTGCCCCAAATCTAAATTTGGGGGCTTGCCCCCGACTCTACTGTGCACGTGGGTCTCCGGCTTCAATTGCTGATCACCATAGCCTTCTCTTAATTAAAGAAAAACACACACCTGGCTCTCCGTAGCAATTAGCAGATTGCATAAATTATACGTGTGATGAATCAAGGGTGAGCTCAAACTGGCTACATTCACTCCTCCTGAACCACACTATACTCATGGTACTCCATTCAGGAAATTGGTTGCCAGTTACAGTGAGGGAAAAAAGTATTTGATCCCCTGCTGATTTTGTACGTTTGCCCACTGACAAAGAAATGATCAGTCTATAATTTTAATGGTAGGTTTATTTGAACAGTGAGAGACAGAATGACAACAAAAAAATCCAGAAAAACGCATGTCAAAAATGTTATAAATTGATTTGCATTTTAATTAGGGAAATAAGTATTTGACCCCTCTGCTAAACATGACTTAGTACTTGGTGGCAAAACCCTTGTTGGCAATCACAGAGGTCAGACATTTCTTGTAGTTTGCCACCAGGTTTGCACACATCTCAGGAGGGATTTTGTCCCACTCCTCTTTGCAGATCTTCTCCAATTCATTAAGGTTTCGAGGCTGACGTTTGGCAACTCGAACCTTCAGCTCCCTCTACAGATTTTCTATGGGATTAAGGTCTAGAGACTGGCTAGGCCACTCCAGGACCTTAATGTGCTTCTTCTTGAGCCACTCCTTTGTTGCCTTGGCCGTGTGTTTTGGGTCATTGTCATGCTGGAATACCCATCCACGACCCATTTTCAATGCCCTGGCTGAGGGAAGGAGGTTCTCACCCAAGATTTGACGGTACATGGCCCCGTCCATCGTCCCTTTGATGCGGTGAAGTTGTCCAGTCCTCTTAGCAGAAAAACACCCCCAAAGCATAATGTTTCCACCTCCATGTTTGACGGTGGCGATGGTGTTCTTGGGGTCATAGGCAGCACCTCCTCCTCCAAACACGGCAAGTTGAGTTGATGCCAAAAAGCTCAATTTTGGTCTCATCTGACCACAACACTTTCACCCAGTTGTCCTCTGAATCATTCAGATGTTCATTGGCAAACTTCAGACGGGCATGTATATATGCTTTCTTGAGCAGGGGGACCTTGCGGGCGCTGCAGGATTTCCGTCCTTCACGGCGTAGTGTGTTACCAATTGTTTTCTTGGTGACTATGGGCCCAGCTGCCTTGAGATCATTTACAATATCCTCCCATGTAGTCCTGGGCTGATTCCTCACCGTTCTCATGATCATTGCAACTCCACGAGGTGAGATCTTGCATGGAGCCCCAGGCCGAGGGAGATTGACAGTTATTTTGTGTTTCTTCCATTTGCGAATAATCGCATCGACTGTTGTTACCTTCTCACAAAGCTGCTTGGCAATGGATTTGTAGCCCATTCCAGCCTTGTGTAGGTCTACAATCTTGTCCCTGACATCCTTGGAGAACTCTTTGGTCTTGGCCATGGTGGAGACTTTGGAATCTGATTGATTGATTGCCTCTGTGGACAGGCGTATTTTATACAGGTAACAAACTGAGATTAGGAGCACTCCCTTTAAGAGTGTGCTCCTAATCTCAGCTCGTTACCTGTATAAAAGACACCTGGGAGCCAGAAATCTTTCTGATTGAGAGGGGGTCAAATACTTGTTTCCCTCATTAAAATGCAAATCAATTGATAACATTTTTGACAAGCGTTTTTCTGAATTTTGTTGTTGTTATTCTGTCTTTCACTGTTCAAATAAACCTACCATTAAAATTATAGACTGATCATTTCTTTGTCAGTGGGCAAACGTACAAAATCAGCAGGGGATCAAATACTTTTTTCCCTCACTGTATCTCCTCACTGTTGCTCTATTCACTTTCCCTATTCTCCATTTCACTATTCACTGTGTCCCTGTTTCCCTATCCTCCTCCGCCTTTCCTCGCCTTCCCTGCCCATTCCGCCCCACCCCTCCGCTTGCCCCGCCGACTACGTCCGCAGGTGGGTGATCTACAATGAGGACAAGGTGTGCGCCTCCGAGAAGCCTCCCAAAGACCTCGGATACCTCTACTTCTACAAGCGCATGCAGAGCTGAGAGAGGCGCCCACACCAAACCCCCAGCAGCAGTCACCGGTCCCGTCAGCCACTGCAGCAGCCCCCCCCCCGCCCCGTCAAAGGCACGGGGTGGGGGTAAGAGTGGGGTAGCGTGCACAATGACTTCTCCAAATCTGGACGTACCCCCCCCACCCCCCGTCAAAGTGCAACGTGGAGCAGGGTGGGGTCGCCACTTGTGTCCGGGTTTTTCTTCCCCAGCATTGAGGAAGCAGCTGTCCTGGGAAATCTGTCATTCTTTGCGGAACATTAAAATATCCCATTTTTTTTGCTCATCTACATAATAATGATATACTTCTCAAGGCGATGCATTCACATGCAGCTCTCTCCCCTATTCTGGTATTGTATGTTGAACTTCTTTCGCACCGTACGCGCTAATCAGCGGTGCCGGGGAAGGACAACAAATAACCACAAAAAGCAGTTATAAAGAAATTCGTTTTCAAATTTTGAAATTATCTTCCCATGATATGTCCCGGGTTGTCTGTTGTTGTTATTCTGCAGAGGTGGCAACCCTAGCATAGGAAGTCTTCAATCACATCCTTTGGGTAAGGCTACCAAATTTCTGGTAAGCTGGCCCCGCCCCCAACCCCGCCTCACTTTAACAGCCTCATCCGCTGGCCCCATGCACACAGCGAGTGGGTGGGGCTCTCTCACTTTGGCCCTGCCCACCGCTCATAGGTCCCACCCACTCATCGTCCAGCTCCACTCACAACCCAGGTAGCTCCACCCTTAAGACTGTTTCGTAAAAATCACAAGGACATGGGACGGCACTTGGGGCAACCTCCAGGAGTGTGTCGCGGCCAAAACGGGGACTTTTGGGGTAGCCTTAACTTTGTGAGATCCTACGTGGGAGGCGAGGGATGGATGCCAATGGGATGTGCAGATTTACCAATTTGTAGAGAGGGATGCTGAAAGCCAGGCACCGTTCTCTCTTACTAAGCCAATTGTTCGTTCCAGTGGTGAACTGGCAGTCCCCCATGAGCAGTGAGATCCTACGTGGGAGGCGAGGGATGGATGCCAATGGGATGTGCAGATTTACCAATTTGTAGAGAGGGATGCTGAAAGCCAGGCACCGTTCTCTCTTACTAAGCCAATTGTTCGTTCCAGTGGTGAACTGGCAGTCCCCCATGAGCAGTGTTTCATTTACACTTGAATGGACATACGTAATCTAGACTTCCCCCCCCCCCCCCATTGGCACCACCTATACACCCATGACATCTTGGGTACACCCACCTGCCAGGCCCTTGCCCAAGTTTCGTCCCTGTGGTAATGGGCATTGTGTACTGTGGGGTTTCCTTAGAGCAGTGGTGGGCAACCAACGCAACAAGAAGAGACTTTTTTGTCGAACTCTGTAAAAAAAACCTCTCAATATTTCAAGAGCCGCAATGCAATGCGAATAACGTCGCGCAAGCAGTACTTATAAGAGCCGCATGCGGCCCCGAAGCTGCAAGTTGCCGACCCCTGCCTTAGTGGCGTGCCCTCTGCCTTATGCCTGGCGCTGAGAGCCTCAGGCACTACCTGTCCACGAGGGCAGGAGCAAGTAGCAGGCGTGCCGAGTGCAATGCTGCCGTGCGATCCGAGGCGGTGTCTAGAAAAGGATTTGCCAAAATTACGTTTAAAACTCACCACTTTGTGATGAGAGCCTTACTTGAAGAGTTCCCCACACTTCAACGAAAACAAATCTCAAGATTTGATGTTAGTTCGTTTTTCTGTCGAAAAATACAGCCACACATTTTAAAAGCTTTTGTGCACTTTACAATCCATAACTGTTTTGTAAAAAAAAGCAAGTTGAGAAGTCCCTCTCGCAAGAGCGAAAGAGCCACCACCGTCACGAATTTATTTTTTGCGCGAGAGCGAGCTTGTCAGTTGACGACGGTGGAAGTGAACAAATGTTGCGGTCGAGTTTTGAGTGTTGAAACCGTCCCAGCGGCGTTCCCATACGGCGGCTTCGTGGGATTCACTCAGCCGCGTTCCAGTGCCGCGACTGCATCACAAAAGCCCACCACTGATGTGGAAAAATGTAATTTTATTTTTAATGTAACTCGTTTGTTCTTGAACTCTGCTACCCTCGATTTTCGTGGAAAACGTGTACGGGCGGCGTGATTTTTTTGTTCTTTTCTTTCCGTGACCGCAGTTACATCGCAAAAAAACTGCACCCAAGTGAGATTTAAACAAAAAAAACGATGCCGAGGCTGTTTTCTTTGCTGATAGAGCAGCACGGACCTCCGTGATGAATAACGAAACGAACGATTATAAACACGACTGAATGTTAACAAATCGCACACCTAACAGGCTAATAAAAACGTTTGTACCAGAGCGAGCAATTTTCCGATTTATTTCAAGAGGCACGTTCCCACGCTGTGTGTGCGGGGAGGCCCTCAACCAGTGGATTGACTAGGAGTGGTCGACTTTGAGTTACATCCAGTATTTCCGACTGGTTTAGGGGTTGAACCCAGATTTTTGCAGAAGCTTACAAATGGATTTAAGAGGCGAGCTTCAGTTATTAAGGCATTTACATGGTGGTTTCTGCTCACAGCCAGAAGAAGTGTTTGCAACATTGCTTTAATGGTAGGGGTGGTGAGCCTACAGCCCCCGCGTGAGCCATATCCGACCCACGACTTCTATTTCATACGGCCCTCAACTGCAGGAGGCCCCTCACTGCGCAACAGCCCGCAAACAATATAAACCCTTTCCCATTCTGATGACGTACTTGCATCGGTTTTTCCAATTCCGTTCCGATGACGTACTGCGTCTCTCGCAAGGTCAAGTGGGAGGGCGTGTGGCACGGTTTGGCGCCAGCTATCACAGTGCGGTCGTGTCGCAATGGTTCTCTGCGGCGAGTACGTTTTTTTTTAAAAAACGTTGTGCTATGCCTCTCGAAGTAAAATTAACGCCAACCGCTCGTGCGTTGCGAGATTCGGCAGTGGACGAGACCCACCCTGCGTCTCGGAACGGGAAAGGGGTTTAGTCCATCACGGCATACATCTTAGCCACGCTCATCGGGTACTGGAGGGTAAAATGTCGACCTGGCAATAACGCTCTTAAACATCAGCACGCTCAAGTCTACCAAGACAGGGCATATAATGACCGTTGTCAATTTATTCTTTATTCGTCATCATCATCATCGCTGCTTAACAATCGCCCACATTTATTTTTAAGCTCGGCCACAAACTCGCACAACCACGGAGAAGAGGTCAGGGCACTCGACATCGTCGTGACCTTTTTGCTGGGATCAACAACGAACAAAAGCGCTCGTTGCATTGGAAGACTTGCGTTAATTGAAAACGCCTGGCAGATGGCGCCACACAAGAGCACACTACAAACGCTGGCACTGAAACACGCATGGTTTGTGGTGGTTGTGGTGGTGGTGGAAGTGACGGTTGAGTCAGTGGTGGACAAGGGTTCGGGTAACAGAGGCACAGACATAGACCTCAGAGCAGACACCAAATACGACCACGAGAAGCCAACATCAAAAGATATTGTAAAATCATCTTTTTTTTTTTGCTTAGAACCGCAGCAGCAGATTCATTTCACGATTATTCCGTTATAAAATGTACAGCATGCGTGCACTGAAGACCTTAACATCCACATACTGCGGTATATTCGAATAAGTATCTACGCCGTAAATGTATTTGTATTTGCTTTTTTTTACTTCAACCGTAACAAATCAACACTGCCATTTGCTTTGGTCCTGGGACGCGTAATTGAAGGAGATCATCACCTTGTACACCAGTGGCGTAGCGTGGTTGGCATGGGCCTTGGTGCAGGATATTACAGACGGCGGGCAGACTCTCCTATGGAATGCCCTCCCGTGCCTCGACCCCTCTGGCCCGTGGATTCCCAGTGCCTTCGCACCACCTGCCCATTCCATCGCCACGCCGCTTGTGGTTTACCTCATTGTATCGTTTGATATCTGGGGTACAAAACTCTCCAAGTCGGCCTCTGTTGCAAGAGGCACCTCATTTTGATATGTCAAAAATTAATAACACTGCACGCTGATCCTCAAACTGGAAAGAAAAAAAACCCCAACGTCGTTTCCATAAAAAAAGGCTAATTTAATCTAACCGTGTTTTCATCGTACCAGTTAACATTACTCCACTGCTGGCGGGAGCGCTGACCCATCCCATGTTGGGCAACAGGAGCAGCGATTGGTTGGTTCACGATCACCGGGGGCTCTTCCAAGTGGCCGAGATATTTGTGGTCACCAATCGACTCCTGTGTGCGTTTGTGCGATTGTGTGCGCGCGCCTCACTGAACGCCCAATCCGTGGGCCAAGGACGGAGGACAATGACGTTATTGAGGAACGCGACCACTTTGGTGCATACCTTATATATACACACCAGCTTTACTACCCGGCTTCGCCCGGGACTTAGATTCACCACGCCCGGCCGCCTTTGTCTCCCCAGTGGCGATGTTCACACACCACACCAGTTACTCGTTTGAGGCTGAGTCGACCTAGGGGAGGCCCAGGACCGGTTCAAATAATCGTCACCGGTGGTGGCCGTGAGCGGGAATCGAACTCGGGTCGCCGGGTTCGTAGCGCAGCGTAGCGCTAAGCACTACACATGCGCGGGTGACATGACAGATGTGACGTCACAGCATCATTGAGCCCCCCCAAAAATATATACCAAAGTGTGTTTTGATAATTTTTGCATGGTGTACAGTCTGGAAAGTACCCACATGGCAAATTTCAAGTTTGTTGCATGTCGGGAAGTACGCTAAACATTTTGAACAGACACACATAATCACAAATGTCCCTTTTTTATATAGAGACATCTCTCTCTCGAGTGACCACGTCTAAACAGTTAATGCAGTGGTGCTGGCTCGAGGCACATGCGCTGGACTTTTAAAGAGCACGGTTAGTGATCACCGGGGTGCCACGGACACTAAAATCAATGTTGCATTTGCTAATTACTGCATGTTTTTTTATATTTAGGGGTGTAACGATGCAATTAATCGACACTTTGAGGCTAGACATTAGGCTACATTCAACAATATTTGCATTGAATCCCACGTGTAAAAAGTGGACGTGTTTAATTTTGCATGCATGGCACTCTTGTGACCTCTGTGGTCACTAGAGACCCCGACATCCGATATATTGTAAAAAAAAAGAGAATAATTTTAATCGAATCGTGAATCAAAACTATTCCAGGATGGGGGGGGGGGGGGGCGCGAACGGCAGACCCCCGACTGACAATCGCACCCCCACACGCAGCAGAGTCACTCTGTGGTTTTATCTTTTCAAGCCCTTAACCCCTCCCCACCCCACCCACCCCCTAATCGATATAGGGGAGGTCTCCTTTGCTAATTACCGACATCACCACCACCACTTTTGAACGACATCTGCCTGAATTAAGCACCACCCGTCTCTTAACTCGACACCGGCCAAACGCCTCCCAAGAGTCCTCCCACACGCACCGAGAGAAGTCCCTTTGCGATGGGGGTCAGTTGCAGGCCAATAAAAATCGTCGCGTCACCTAAAGGAACCTTGGTAAATTGCCGTCGCTTCATTGTCACCTCGAGCTCTAAAAGCTAAACACATTTTTTTACATTTTTACCGGGTAAGGCCCACTTAGCTATATATAGCTCTTTCGAAGAAGTGACCTGGCCCACAAATGTGACAGCTCAACGAAGTGGCTTATGACGTAGAAATGTAATGCAGCCAAATACTCTTCAAGCACACGTTTCCAAATGTGGAGGGAAAAACCGGAGGACCCGGAGAAAAATCCACGCGACCATGGGGAGACCATGCAAACTCCAAATACACAGGCATCAGGGTCAGGATCGAACCCATGAACCTCCTGTACACCAGGCGAGGTAGTTAACATCTCGCCACCCTGGCACCCTCACAGTGAAGATGTGCCGGGGTCAAAGCCCTGGCTGCGCTCGGGGCTCGTCAAGCCCGGCTTAACTTTATGGAAGACCTAACGAACCCCCCACAGAGACCACCCCCGCCCCAGCCCAAGCCATCGCAGCTACAGATGGACATTTGCAAACTCGCTAAGAACCAGGAGTTGACCAGAGGCTTCGCAGTAGTCGGTGACATCGTGACACTGGGACGGTGAATTTGCCGAGCGGTGGCGCGTTTGTCGGCTCGCTACGAAGGTCTGCGGTTTGGGCCTGATGGCCGCCCTGGTTAATACTGCAGGTGTGTTAAGCATAAACATTATATTCTTGGTTCTTTCGGTAAAGTCACATAGAAGGGAAACAATAAACTAATAAAAGTATAAAACAATAAAATTCTCACGACGTTTCGACTGCAACACAAGCAATCACACCTGATGATGATTGCTTGTGTTGCAGTCGAAACGTCGTGAGAATTTTATTTTATATTTTTATTATTTTATTGTTTCCCTTCTACGCGAGTTTACCGAAAGAACCAAGAATATGAATCCCTGCAGTCACGAAAGCTTTAAATCAAAACATAAACATATTCTCCGGATTAAAAGATGTAAATCTAGTCTCACGTGCACACCACCGTCGTTACGTGTGACCAGATTTGAATCATTGTATTGTCACCGGGCGCAAGTTTGGAGTGTCTCTTACTTTCGGGAATGTCTTATAATCTGGAGAATACGGTAATATTCTTACATTGTGTCCTTCCAGGGATCATGGGCTTAGAAGAACCTTTACAGGGATTTCAACTCGAATTTTAACAGCTGTGAGTTAAACACTTGGCCAGTGCCATCTGACCAGAATATTTGAACATTATTATTGTTCACGGCAAACACACAGATATTATCACTGTGTCCAGGTGGCACAATAACTGTTAATTTCCTTGTCATCTCTGAGTTATTGCAGTAAGTCTAACTATACACAACTTTACACATTTACACAAATAGCTCCATAGTTATTACTTGTATTCTCATAATAATCTTTGTTAGGACTAGTCCCTGACCATGTAATCCTAGTCATTAAAATTCTCTACAGAGGCGATCGCCGCCTCTCACTTCGGTCTTAACAGCGACCACAAACGTGATGGTGCGTTTTGTAACCACGACGTCGCATTGTTCAAAACACATCAAATTGAAAGCATGCATCCGGTCACGTGACCTTCCCATGCATGGTTTTGGACATTACGGATGGACACACAAGACGGACAGCCTATGATTTCATACATTATTAATCAACAATTATTATTTTTAGCACAGTTATTATTGTATTTAACTCATTATCCTCATTGGCTGGGTCAGTGCAGGCATGATCAGTCGCGCGCTGCTGGCTGGTTCACGGCTGCCATTTCAACAAGAAGCAATGGCACAAATGTCGTACCTGCGAGAGACCGTGTCTTTTTGAAAACCCACCAAAAGAAAAAAAAATATCCTTAAGTGCATCCCCCCTTGTTGAGAATAATTTTTGACTAAAATTTTAACACGTTAAAACCCTCGCTGCTTTTTGGCCCGCATGCCCCCCTGCGCTGAGCGACAACTGCCATCTGACTCGAGATTTTCTCCCATTTTTATTTTTCGTGCAAGGAGCAGACCTGTGCGGTGTGGCGGGTTAACGGCCACTGTTTTTCCCGCGTGCACACGCAATGCCGCGTTATATTTACAATCATCCTTTAGCAGATTAGTTTACTCCGATGGATTTTTTTCGTGTGTAAATTCTGCCGTTACTGTTGTTCCTATTATTGTTTTATTTGCAAAAGTAAAATTATGCCCACGTTAAAGTGAAAGTAGTTGACAAAGAATCCATGTAAAATCAGTCAAGTTGATCGGCGGTGGGGGATTCAGAACTGCCCTCCAGCTACTCGGACGCTGGAGTTGGTGGATCACACGGAAATAGAGTCATCACACACGTGTGACGCACCTATGCAGTGGAAAACTCCCCCGTTATGCAAAAGCACTACAAACAGGATAATAATCGACGCTTAATTTGCGCATGATCTTAACCGTGTGGATCTTTTCCAGGCAATGCCAACAGGATTTGTCCAAAAGCAGAACACTCCTGAACAAGGGTCCTAGAACCCATTGACATCTTTCCCAGGTAAACGATTTCAAACTCGAGCCAAAGTGAATCAGGCAAGGGACCGGGGCTAGCGAGACGGCGGCACTGTAACGAACGGAGCCAGGCGAGTGGCGCGGAGATGTGGCCACGGCTCTCGCTAACCGTGCCCCGACTGCCGTCACAGCCCGGCCGCGACTCCCAGCCCACCGCCGCGCCGCTCGCACTCGCCCCTCTCGTCTCCGCTGCACTCGCACGCGATCAGCGCCCGCGCCACCGCCTTCCGGCGGCGGGGGCGACGGCAAAACCACGCATCGTCGGCGAGCCGCCACCGCCGCCGCAGCGGAGACGAGCGGTCGCCCGCCGGCGGGGCCGGCCGGGCGGCCGAACCGGAGCCGAGCGGCCGTGGCCGTCATTGCTCGAGGCCGAAGGCGGAGAGGAGCGTGTCGAGGTCGTGGTCGTCGGCGGCGCGGTGCAGGTCGGCGAGGCCCATGAGCGACAGCGCCATGCGCAGCGTGCTCCAGATGCTGTCGGACGTCGCGTCGACACCGCTGGTGCCCACCGCACCGCCGGTGTCCGCCGCCTTGCGCTGAAGGCGCAGCGCCTCCAGGAAGTGCTCCACCGCCTCGCTGCGTCGTGAGTGGTCGGGGTGGGGGGATACGGCGCAGGAACGTGCAGACGCGGGGGGCACGTGCGTGCGTGAAAACCCGGAGGAAATGAAAGGCTAGCTATTGTTACAACGTTAAGTCAAAACAATTTGCCACTCGAAAGATTGAGGAGCGGTCAGTGATCGAGTCTGATAGAAATTCTACATTCCTATGGTGGAATCCAGTCACTGTGGTTAACGAACAAACAATTCACCCACCCCGCTAGTGATTTGATGAAGTCTCACCATTTCTAGTCGTCGTAATTCAACTAAAGTATTAATGATTTCGTTTTTTTCCGTCCCGTTCATAGTGATTTCCAATTGTTTCGTCTTGTTTGCACAGTGTTGTACTCTCCATTAGCCTAAATGTATCATTTCCATAGAATTATTTTATCATTTGCATACATTGTAAATAAATACTTCGACATGACTTCTACAACGATCACTAGCTCGCACGCCCACCGGCCCTGCCGCCCGGCCGGCTATCCCTGGCGGCATACCGGTGAGCGCCCAGGTTGATGCAGCTGATGCCGAGGTTGTATCGGGAGCGGATGAACCCCGGCTGCAGCTCGAGCGCACGTCGGTACGCTTCCACCGCCTCCTCGCTGCGGCTGCCGTTGGCGAGCGTCGCCCCCAGCTTGTTCCACAGCAGGTAGTCCTGCTCGCACGCCGCACGGCCCACGGTGGTGTAACACGGCACGGCGAGCACCCCAAACTCGCCGGGTCATGCGCGAGCAGCCCCCCCCCCCACCCCCCACCACCCCACCCCGCGAGGAAGCATCGAGCATGGAAGCGGTGCGTGATCCGCAAATGACGGCACGGGGAACGACTCGGGTGTGAGGTACTGCAGAGAACAGGGAAGGCAGCCAGCTAGTGTTGAGCTGATGGCACATTTTGCACCCCCCCCCCCCCCAAGCTTTGTGGCCCTCTGTATATGAAGATGTTATCGACCAATTAATGAGTGTTTACATGTGGGAGAAAAGAGAAGTTCCCGGAGAAAGCCCACGCATATGAGGAGGCAACCCTTTATCCCTTACAGACGGAACAGGTAGAGTCCACATTCGCTGCATCACCTTCTCCTGGTGAGCCAAGGTAAGGCAACTTGACGCCCATAGAGAGAAGGGAGCTACACAACATTTGTGATCCACCAGCCCTTGCCTCCAGTGCTAGATCACAGGCGTGCATCAACACCGCCCAGCTGAAGACAAAGTGCCACAAATAAGCGGCTCTCACCTTCTAGATGAGTACTGTGCACAGATCGTCCGACGAGTCTGAAGCTGTGCAGGTGAGAAATGCTTCTAAGTAAATTGATCTTAACTATTTTTATTTTACCAGGTAATGCCTACTGAGCTACATAGCTTCTTTTTAAGAAGCAACCTGGCCACAAATGATAGCTCAACGAAGTTGCTTATGTGGAAATTTATAGGGGAAACACCTGAGGACCCGGAGAAAAATCCACGCGGACCACAGGTAGAGAGAACATGCAGACTCCAAATATATAGCAGTCAGGTCGGGATCGAACCCACGACCTCCTGTATTCCAGGCGAGGTAGTTCACATTCCCTAGCCACTGTGGCCGCCACGGTGGCGAGATGACTGCAGCCTTCAATGAAGATCGGCTGCTCCATATTGTCCGTCTGGTTTATGCTGTCCGACTCATTTGACAGAGGCGGGGGCGGGGGGGGGGATGGGACATTTACAAACGAGTTCAAGGATATCCACAGGGTGGCTGTGGACCTCACAAACGAATGTCCAGGGGGCACCGAATTGCCGGTTGCGACTACGCGCGCGACGCCCCCCAACGCGGAGCGAGCGGCACCTGCGGGCGCACGGCGAGCGCCGCCGTGAAGCAGTCGACGGCCTTGTCGTACTCGCCGCTCAGGTTGAAGAGCACGCCGAGGCCGCACTGCAGATCCGGGTCGACGGCGCCCTCTCCGACGCGCACCGCCTCCAGGAACAGCTCCCGCACCTCGGCAAAGTAGCCGCTGCCAATGGAACACGACAGAGAGGGGGGTTCGCCGCTTAGTTCTGCCGACTGCTTGGTGGCGACAATAGGAGGGTTATTTTTTGTACTATTTTTTTTATTTTAGCAGGTAAGGCCCACTGAGCTAAAGAGCTCTTTCTCAGAAGCAACCTGGCCACAAATGATAGCTCAACGAAGTGGCTTATTACGTGGAAATGTGTATAGCAGCCAAATACTATTGGCTGCTATAATCTAAATAATCTTAATGCACGTTTCTAAATGTGGAAGGAAAACCGGAGGACCCGGAGAAAAGTCCACGCGATCATGGGGAGAACAAGCGAACTCCAAATATATGTGTCATCGTTGGGATAAAACCCACAACCCTCCTGTATACCAGGGCGAGGCAGATAGCATCTCGCCACCAGGGCAGGGGTTGGGATATTGTTCCTTGCCGAAGACCGCATGGGATTTTCAGATACATTTCGCGGGCCACGCATAAACTCACACACGCGTGCCTCTTTCGCTTGCAATGACGATTACAACAAACACAAAACCATCATCTTCGGCATCAGTGGTGGTGACGACGCTCGCGTTGACATTTGTTATGACGACGAAGACAACAACGATGACAAGTGATGAGGACGATGACGTCAGTGGTGGGCGTGCAGCCTCACCTGGGCAGCACGGAGCTGAGCCGCCTCTTAGTGCTGGCTGCGCCGTCCGTGGCTGTGTCGGCGCTAGCCGGCACGAGATGCGAGTAGGTGGGGTTTGCAGCGAGCCAGCGATGCAGCGTCTCGCAAGCCTGCTGCTGCAGCGCCTCATTAGTGAAGCTCACCGCGAGCGCCATTAGCGCCGTCAGATTATCCTTCTTTAGCTCCAGGCACCTGCGATGCGCGTACACAAAATATAAGGATCCCTCCCTCCCATGTAGCCAAGCATCGCATCTCCTGGCTCTGACATTCCTCACCGAGGACGCTGGTGCAACCATCATCCGCATCAGGTCAACAACAGGCGGATGCGCACATCTCCTTATACGTGAAATATTCAAGACAAGCCACAGTTGTACCGATTGTGGCCATGCAACTCACACTGTGGATCATACAGTAAAACCACTGCAGTCTGCACCCCTTAAACAGAAGAGAACTAGATGAACTCTCTCCTGAAGCCCTCTCGTGGCTAGCAGTCCTCGACATTGGCACTTAGCTCCTGAATATATTTCCCAATGCTAGAATAGTGCAGTGTACCAACTAGGGCATCTCTCCTCTGTACCACATTTAAACATGCACAGCAGAAGCAGGCTATAGGAGCACTGCAGAGCAAGGCAGGCAGTGACAACGAAGGGCCAGGACAGGCGTTGTGCACCTGCGCAGGGCACTGATGGCAGCCAGCTCCTGCTCATTCTCCGCTTGAGTTGTGCCCAGGTACTGCCATGCCTGCTCAGTTAAAAACACACACACACACACGACGATTACAAATTAATTACCGCAATAACCAAAGTACATTAATCATGCAAATTATTGTTTTCAGCTCAACGCTAAGTTCGAGAACAATTCTCACATCCAGATGAACAGTTCACTTGAAACTGTGCCGTTAATCTTCAAGACAATATCTAAGAAAGTCATGAATGGAGTTGATTCTTATCTCCTAGATGTTGGAAAAAATACACAAATAATCATCGTGGCCAGGTGTCAGTCTCCGCACCAAGTATTATATTAAGCCTTTTTCGACCTAAGGGAGGCCCAGGACTGGTTCAGATATTCGTCGACGATGTTAGCCGTGAGCAGGAATCCAACTCGGCTCAGTGGGTTCACAGAGCTGTATGCTAACCACTACAATACCGCTGCTCAAATACATATGTGTGTATATAACAGCCGCCATTCACCACTAAATGGTGGCGACGACACCACAGTGCTTGTGCTAGGCTACGTACACTTTGAGGCGACGTGAATTGTCGAAGGCTCGCTGACACGTGGTCACAGGACAGACCCTGGTGTGCTGGGTTGACCGAGATGACAGATGCACCACCTGTGCCCCCTACTCTGCCACCCTGCTGCATATCAGCCACCCTCCGTTGTTGTTGGAGGGCGATTGCCTCCACCTGCCCAGGAGCGTCCTCCACAAGCCTCCCGCACACTTGCCTCCATGTGTGCGGGATTACTCAGCACGGCTGCCTCAAAGAGCAGCACGGCGTTGGGGAGGTCTCCGGCCTGTAGCCGGCGCAGCCCCTCGTCAAACGGCTGTGTGTGCTCCTGCAGCGGGTTCTCCTCGTTGAACACGTAGCCCTGCGCAGTCTCACCGCCGGGACCAAACGGGGGAGGGCAAACGAGAGGTCAACGGGGAAAAACGCGGCGACGGCTTCATGCGGCGCGCAAAAAAAAGAAAACGGCACGTGGCCTGCGAGCCCAAGTAAAGTCTCGCAAGGCTTGCCGCCAAGGGGCGTAAACTGGGCATGTACTGGCGCATCGATTCGACGATTAAATAAACGCGATTTTATTGCCGTAATTATTGTCCAATTCTGTGCCGACTTTATTTTCGCCATTGTGCCGTGAAACAATGAGTCAATTCTGAACTCTCGCAGAGATCCCTGCCCTCTGCTGGTCCACACAGCAAAGGGCTTCATTTGAACACTGAGTAGGAGGCTTTCGCGACCAATATCATCCATAAGAGTTTTCTTGGGTTTAGATCGTGTAAATATAAATGTGTCGTTTAACCCGCCGCCACCCGACAGCCAATTAGTAAGGTTTGCCACGTAAACAAAACATGCCAAATTGTAAATGTTGTGGGTTTACTCTCCAACACACCGGTGTGCTGAACTAATAACGAATTGGCACGTTTTGTTTCCATGACAATCCTTACTAATTAGCTGTGTGGGGTGGTGGTGGGTTTAACGACACATTTATATTCATGCGATCCAACCAAAATAAACCTGTATTATGGAAAGGGCATCATTTTGCCAACCACCCTGCCACTGACAGTAATGTTCGTACCGTGACAGCGAAACCAATATTTTCGCCGTCAGAGCTAGCATTTACCAAAATTATGCACAGAGCCAGATTGAAGGGCTTTTATTTTGCGCAGTCATTGGTGACCGGGCTGGCACCATCAGCTTATCACACCTGAGAGCCTGGTTTTATCACAGGCAGCTTGCCTGGATATGAAACCAAGGTTTCAGTGGTACCAGCTTGATAAAAAAAAAGCAATCAGTTAATTGCTACGCTGCTAGTTAACAAGCGGATAAATAATTCACCGTCATGGTCAGGTAAGGAACTTGGCATCAAGTATTACAATTAAGGCGGTTTCAACCTCTGGAAGGCCAAAAAGGATCAGTTCAGATATTTGTTAATGATGTCAGCCGGGAGCAGGAATCGAACTCGGCTCCGTACATTTGTGGCAGCAAGGCAGTCCTTCGCAGACAGCGTGGCACCAGTTTCGCTGTCTTTAGGAGTCAACAGCACGGCATTGCCCAAGGGGTTTTGCGTACGACTGTGGCAATGTAAGGAGGAGGAGGAGTCGCCGCACCTTGTCGTAGGAAGAGGCGACAAGCTCGTCGTACTCGGACAACCACGGGTTTGCTTCTGGCTCGCCCTTGGCCATGTCCTCCCACTCGGCCTGCAGCTTGTCCCAGAAGTCCGTGTCAGACTGCACGACAGCGCAAATAAGGCCCAGCGAGGGAAAAGTGACAATTATTTGTTCATGGATACAGCGCCCTCCCAATACGCCACATCTCAGAACGCTTTACATCACATTTCATGCCTGAACGTCTGTGAAAAAAGAGCTTCATAGCTCATCGGATTCCACCAGGATAAATTAAGATTGCAATTCTTATCACAACACATTTGAAAGGGCACCCTCCCCCCCAGCTGTTCCTGTGGGCACAAGGTAACTCAGTACCTGGCCTGCACAATGGCATTCGTCTGCCAGTAGGGGGCATTAGTCTGCGACGATTGCTAGGTGTGCAGTGTAAATTTCAAATTTTGGCAAATCTGGACCATGACACAGACCCACAATGGCCTACTCTTGTGAATGACATCAGGCAAAGCTTAAGGTTCACTGTGAAGCAGATGGTGCTCGTGTTAATATGCTCGTGGGCAGCTGCTAGGTGGATTAATACATCGCAGGGAGGCTTGGCCAGGCCTTGATGTAGAAGTGGATTTACCACGTCTCACAACAATCTCAATACACCCGTTCAACCTTTTAACGCTCTCGTCCGCAAACATCAGGGGCCACCGCGTTGACAGTATCCAATCTCCCGGCAATTAGGAATCGGTGGGGCGCCTATAAATGGATCGCACCCGGCGGGGATGCTAACGACCACGGCGGGCGACTCACCTCGACGGCGGCGCGGGCCTTCTCAAACTCCTCGCCCACCGTGATGTTCTTGGCCCGAGCGAAGTCGTCCGCCCACGGCTCGACCCGCTCCTCCGGCTCCGCCTCTGGCTGCACCTGCCCCTGGGTCCCGGTTTGGATGCACGAGGGGACGCAGTCAGAACAGAGGAGGGCAGACAATGCTTTTCTTTGAAGACATGGTCGGCCAAACGATTTCAGCCAGGGGCGGGAAACCTACGGGCCGTGCTGCACTAATCGAGCACTGGAGGGGAATATTATGAATTTGGCACCACCAAAGTTATCTATTATAGCACGGTCGGTCAGTTCTGCCATTGCTAGGGACTCGGTGGCAGTGAAGTGTGTTAATGTTCAATGTGCCAAAGGTGTTTGACAATTTAAATTGGTCATGAGTAAGGAATGGATTCTCCACCTCTGGCTTAAGCAGACGAGTGAACCGTATAAGTTAATTCAACTTATGGCAGGCTTGTCTGCTGACAACACCCAGTGCCCACTTATTACGCACTGCCTTCGGATTCCAATAATCAATTAAATCACCTGCATGCGTCAGCTGCGGTGACACGGCCCAGCGGTAGCGCATTCGCAGCTTGTTGACGACTGTAGGGCCCTCCAAACTAGATCCATGGGACACAACGGCCCATGCCAATAAAACTTCAAACGGCCTCGACACGGCAATGCTGTGGGCACGTGCGACTTGAGAGCACGTTCAGTTTTTTTTTTACGTGAGCGACTCGGCAGGCGGTACCTGTTGCTCCTGCTCCTGCTGTTGCTGCTGCTGCTGCTGCGCAAACTCTTCGGCCCAGCGCTGGGCATCGGCACCCGTATGTAGCACGCGGCCTCCCTCAATGGTAACCTCTCCCTCCCCCAACTTCTTGATGAACTTCATAAACTGCAGACGAGGACGTGTGTGTGTGTGCGTGCGTGCGCATGAAAAGGTGTACGTGGGAAAGTTGCGGTGATCCACAGCTGTTGTCATTTTCAATCACAGGTGAGAAAAAAAAGGGCAAGCGCTCATACGTGTAAATGTTGGGCACTGCTTATCGTGGTGGCGGTAGAAGCGCAGAGAGGTGGGCAAATGGGGGAAGGGCGTTATTGGAGAGGTAACTGATCAAAAGGCAGGGGAGGAACAGGAGGTCTCATCCCTGGACTCAAAGAGGGGGAGATGAGGCCAGCAGTGTGGACTATGAGAAATAAATATACAGTTTTATAGACGTGAGTGTTACCGACCTCGACGTTTTTTTTTGGTTCATGTGATGTTTATTCACTCCCCAGCAAAGCAGCAGCAAGGAATCGCTTACGTATTAGTGTAGTCTACGGAATAGGTGGCGCATTATCAGATGCCATGCATTAGGCCGGAGGAACGCACGCATTCGCCTAAGCCAACCTCGGAGTTTGAGAACTTGGGGTCGTCGATGCTTCCCAGGAACTCATTCGCCGTCTTCATGAGCTCCTCCCCCCCCACTTCCTGCGGCTTGTATTCGTCCACCCTAGCAGGGTGGCAAAACAAAGACAAAGTTCCCCCGTCTAGCCTCAACAGACTGCTGCGGCAAGTGCTGTTAGTGAGCACCTCTGAAGGCCGCCAAGGCATACGAGGGGGTGGGTGGGCATCACCACGCCCGGACGCCTTTGTCCCCAAGTGGCGAAGTTTACACAACGCACCAGGTACTCATTTGAGGCCGAGTCGACCTCGGGGAGGCCTAGGACCGGTATAGATAATCGTCGCTGGTGTTGGCCGTGAGCAGGAATTATACATACACACATACACAAAGCTGGCAAGATGGTCCATTAAGCGAGCTTCCAAAAGGACGTGCACGCTCACTCATGCACACGCGTAAAAACGAAAACGTTGCCAGCGTGTTACAAGCGTGCGGCGATGCCCTCTGTGGGGAGCGAGGGTCTGTACTTAAGGTGGAGAAAGCAGTGGCCGCGCTGCGTTTATTGGGTGCACGTGGTATTAAAGCCGCACGCCCATCTGCCCGCCTTCCAAATCAGACACGCTAACCACACTTTTACTTAGCAGGTTACCGTTATTGAATACTACCCGTTGTTGAAAGTATTTTATTGCCAAAAAACTCTAAATATCTTGACATTGGTGCTGGTAAGCTGTGTGGTTAGTTTTATAGCGACTGGCAGAGGGTTTTTTTCAGAAATCTGAATATTTATTTATACTGGAGGAATCCGATGAGCTATGAAGCTCCTTTTCACAGATGTCCAGAAGGGGTGGGTTAGAATGTTACAACAACAAACAGTTACAAAAAACATGATACGAGTGTAGAGTACAAGAAAGGAAAACAAATCACCCAAACACATACAAATAAACCATCTCCATCCTATCAGGTAAAGCCCACCGAGGTATTAAGTTATTTTTCAAAAGCGCCCTGACCACAAATGAAAGCTCAACGAAGTATCTTAGCATTTGGATATTTATAGCAGCAGAATAATAAAAAATAATCTCAATGGATGTTTCTAAATGTGGAGGGAGAAACTGGAGGACCCGGAGAAAAATCCTAGCGATCACGGGGAGAACATGCACGCTCCAAATATATAGGCATCACGGGTGGGATCGAACCCCCGACCTCCTGCATACCAGGCAAGGAAGATAACATCACACCACTGTGGTGCCCATGAAGGTGCTATGGTTATGCTTTGTAGAACATTTCCATCTGAAGTCGACTGCAGAACTGGTTTAGTATTTTATATTTATTTGCATAAATCCTAATTAATTTGAAGCAACACAATTTGACGCATTTATACGAGGCACAATAATCAATTTTAATTGATGAATCGGGGGGGGGGGATCCTTACATGCGTAACATTACCATTAAGAAACACGACAACACTCAGAGACATGTTCCACTATACCTGGGGCTCTTCAGGTAGCCAGCCATCGTCATTACACGGACAATAACTGCACGTGAAAATGCAGTGTAGCGCATGGCCCTCACCATTTCTGATCCTCGCTTTTGGCCGCTTCAAAGTCTCCCAGCCACAGCTTCTCCTCGCTGTGCTCCAGATACTCCTCGGCCCACTTCACAGGGGAAGCATGGGCTGGGTCTGACGTAGGAGGCATGGGTGGGGTGGGGGGGAGACGCCAAGCTGAGTCACTCGATGACCCACCGACCGCCCGAATCGCTTGTCACTGATATGGCTTATGACCGAAACACTCTAAAGGTCATCGCTCTAAAATGTCATCAGATCAATCTCATCAGATCTCAGAAGCTAAGCAGAATTGTTGTGCCTGGTTAGTATTTAGACAGCAGACAGGTGTTGTAAGCGTGCGCTGTGAGGTTGGCCAAGAGATGGCGGCACATCAATGGACTCTTGAAACGATCCGTGTGGAGATTTTCAGCGTTACTCCGTACTAATTGCGAATTTTTACGAGAGCGGGGAAATATTTCTTCCGTGCTCATGCCACCGCTGCCACCTTGGTGTTTTTGTTGCGGGGTGAGAGCCATCGTTTGCTTGTATCGGGTCGGGTCACGTCGTAAAGCGGTGCATCATGAGCGAGTGAGAGGAGTCGGCGAGGGGGGGGGGGAGGGGGCGGGATCCAACCGGCGGTCTCGGCGATGAACTCGCGGCTCCAGTCCTCGGGGGGCCCAGGCTGCGCGGACTCCAGCGTGGCGCCGTGACCCTCGCTCTCCAGGAACTCCTGAGCCCAGCCCTCTGACAGTGCCAGGTCCGCCACGCCCGGGGCTGGCGATCCACACGCGCGCACAGACAAGCACGTGGGTTCGGTCACGGTTAGGCTTTGAAGCAATTCGTCTATTGACAATAGTGCTTTTGCTCATCATGTTTTCATAGAATCATGCAGATGAGAAATTAAATAATGTGCTGCCATCTGTCAACCCACTGTGGGATAAAGGCCTATCCATGCTGTGTTGGTCAAACGGGTGTGTTTTGTCATACTTTATCAAGCTGTCCGGTGGGTTATGTGGTTGGGGCAGGTTGGTAGAGCTATTTGTTAACCAGTGTGTCACCATAAAAGACAAAGATCCCCATATGGCCTGAACAGACTGTTCGGGAAAGTCCTGTTCACAAGCACCTTTGAAGGCCGGCATGGCACACAAGGGGATGGGGTAGCCAACACCACATCTAGCCGCCTCTGTCTCCCCAATGCTGATTTTTACACATCGCACCAGGTACTAATTTGAGGCTTAATCAACCTAGGGGAGGGCCATGACTGGTTCAGATTATCATTACTTGTGTTGGCTGTGAGTGGGAATTGAACTCGGTCATAGGGTTCATAGCACAGTGCGCTAACCACTCCACCATTACTGCCCACTTTCCTCACACATGTGCACATCCACAGACCCCTTTTCACAAACCCACACAGGCCTTCATCCACCAGTGGATTGACAAAGGGTTGTAAATTATTATTTATTTTGTCAAATCTAAGAGACGGCAAGGCAAGGTTACACGTTACCACTGGCAACAATTATCCCATTGTGTCCAGGAATCGAATTCGGGTTGTCAGGATTTTAGCACAGTGTAGGACAATTTTGCCACCACTCCTCCGTGTAACATTGTGGGTGATTAATACTGCAGGTGCATTTATCGTAACCATACGCGCTGGCTGCTTCACATTGGACGTTAAAGATGCCGTGACGACAATGGCAAGAGTGGGCGTCACAGACCAAATTGGGCTCAATTTTAAAAATTAGCCGCAAGTTACTCAGTTGGAATACACATGGCAATCATCGCCACCTAATGTGAAAATTCAGCAGGACATTCCTGATAAAGACTCTTGGAGGCTTTCCTGGGTAAACAAGCGCAATAATAACAACACACGCTCTACGTCTGGTAATTTATCTGAAATATTTGAAATGACAAAACACAGACCGCATGGTGGAATGGAACATGTGGCCGGCAGAAGCAACGTATACCTCGAAGAGGGGCATGCCTGAGGCTGGAGTTTTCAATCTCTTGCATCTCAGCAAGCAACTCATCCATCTTGAAAGTCTGCGGGGCCCGAGCGCGTACCGCATGGCTTGCATGTTGCTGCTCGTGCAGGAACTCATTCACGAGCTGTGGGTAGTTAAAAAAATAATTAAAAAAGACAAAGGTATCCCGTGTAACCTTTAATAGACTCTTGGCACGGCGCACAGGAGGGGGTGGTGTTACCAGCACCACACCCAGCCAATAAACTTGGCTACCTTTGTATCACCAGTACCAATGTTTACACACCACCATAAACGATATCCCCCACCACCCATCTGCCTGGTGATTTGATGAATTGCCTTGATTCGCAGTTGAGATTCAATTCTGTGTTCATCATTGTGTTGAATGCAGCACCTCCCCTGGCTGCAGGGTTTACGTAAACCCATTATAAAATAAAGGAATAACAAAAATGAAATAACACCCACAATTCCCAGCATGCATCATGAAAGCAAGAACAGCAAGGAAGCTGCTCGTCTTTCAATGCAAGTGCATGCAGGATGCTTGGGATTTAATGGAGTAAAAAACTTGGAAGTACCAATGAATAGTCATTTGAATGGAGAAAATTATGATTTGATGCACCGTCAGTAATAATTTATGTATGTAAAGACAAGGCCGTTTTTAGTTAATGGTCTTAAACATGGCGGTGTATATGATACCTGTGGTATGGTGGTGTGCTGTAATATGCAAAGCATGATGAGAGGATGAATCGTATGGTCACAAGCATGCCTTTTGTTGTACAGAAATCAATAATTCCATGTATTATAGATCTGAAGAAGATAGGGATATATATATACACACGTGTGTGTGAAATCTTACGGAATAGATTAAGTATCAGCCTGTAGGAGAAACTAATAATACATCAACACAAGCTCGAAAGGTATTCGGTAGCAGATAAACGAAAATGCAACTGTGGAATATTACTGTACAGCTGTGGCTCTCACCTCAATTTCAGACGCTTGGGAAAGCGGCTTGGATAGCTGCAAACGATTACAGAAGTTAAACACAAAACATATCGGGCGGCTCGACACCGAGCCAGAAATCAATCACCTACCAAAATATACGTGCAAGATTTTTTTTGTTCAAGTCATGTTCCAGAGCATTTGCCAGTTCATACACTAGGCCACTCAGCGGCTCTGCCCACCGCCAACACGTCCCTTCAATTATAACCGTGCTCGAAATATTTATGAGCACGCGCGTTTGTCCTTGCAGGATGTTTAAAACCCTGCCATGCCATCCACTCTGTATTCTCTTCACAAACAACACAAAGAGAAATAAAAGAAAAACCTACACCCTTTATGTACCCAGGAAATCGTCACCAGAGGCCGCTCGTACTATAATATATTCGCTCCACGTCGTTGGTACTATTAGTATACAGGTCACATTGGTGTATAAATTGTACGATTGAAAAATAATCGATTCTCACACATTGTGAGTGTTAGAATATATCCGACTCGACAAATCAATCAATCGTTACATGCCTCATTGCTTATGGGGTTTGTGCCTAAAAACCGCTACAGCCGGCATGACGATGGCAACTTGGTAAAGCAATGGCATAGAGCGACAGAGTCCTGTCAAACCAATAAATACAGATTATGTTGAAAAGTGTCCCTGTTGAATAACAATTGGTCTACAAAGAACACAACCTTAGGTGGTCATGTGGACCCTGTGATGTGATTAGAGATTCTTCTCCTTGTGGCAGGCAAATGGAATGGCAATCTGATTTGTCCAGATAGGGGCAACTCGTTTTTTTTTTTGCAATAGGAAATGGCGCAGCAACCATTGGTAATTGTCTATTGTTAACTACTGCCAGTCGTAGCAACTATTGCCGGCTATTTCCCAAATATGTCCTTGGCGTACTATTGCCTACAATCAATATTATGGTTTGTTTGGCTCGGTCGGGAAAATTACTGAGATAATCTTGGGACGTGCGTTTAGCCCAGATTTCAAATGTACGTGGCAACAATTAATGTCAACGAGGTCCTGCAATAAAATATGACCCCCCCCCCACCATCCCCATCGCAAGCTCGCCCCCACCGCCCCCCCATGTGATGTGGCGGTTCAGCGTTACCACGGAAGCATCGGGTAACGCCTGCGGTGGTGGCCAAAGCGGGCGCCCGAGGCCCTCCTGCCGGAGCGCATGGTCCTGCGTGAGGTGCGTCGTAAGCTTCATGAGTGGGTTCGCTCCGCCACACTCCGCCTCCACCAGCTCGCGCATCGCCATGGCTGCCTCGTCTCCGCGGAGACCACCACCACGACCGGGCCGTCAGCCGCCAACAGCCACCCCTCCCTGCGTCTGTTTTAAAGAAAATTTTTACAAAAATACCAACTTAATCGAAATGCTGCTGTCATCGCGATGAACATGTACAGCCCTTTTATAAAATCATTTTGAACGGTCCCATGATGTAACAAACCATGTAACACCTACAATGGTAATCAATGCATGAAAACCGTGTCATCACAATTAGCAACATATAACTTTACAGTCTTCATCAAACATTGTATATGTGCATGTACATTTACAACCCTTTGTGAATCCACTGCTGGATGAGGGACTCCCCATGCCATGCAGGTTGTGGGATTGAGTTGGCCATGCAGCGCAGACTTTCGGATATCGTGGAGCAAAACAATGGGTTTTGCTGCACTACCCCTTAGCAGCCTGACACCTGTTTTATGCGTGGTGGTCACAATCCAAGGACTATTCAGGCACGAGCCTTCTTTGCTTCTGGAATCGGATAAGATCAGCAACATTCTGGGTGATTTTTGTTCAAGGGCATGACGGTAATAAAAATGCCCTTTACCCGGGGAAAGCCTCACTCAGCCTTGATAGGGATGTTTGGACAAATTCCATTAATCATTGTTTGACACAATGGAGGAAAATGGAGGCCATAGAGAAAAAGAAACGCAGAAGAGGAGGTAACACTCAAAGCGCTGTATCGACAGATTCAATATTCCACTGCTATACTACCATCTCTTGGCCAACTTACAGCCCAAGCATTTAACACCTGGTAGTCTCAGGCAGTCTCCCATTTGAGTAATATCCAGGCTCAACCCTGTTCAGCTTCTGAGGTCTGACAAAAATTGGGCACATTCATAGGGATTTGGACAGAGGAATTTACTGCGTAGCTACTGAATATGATTTAGTCAACGTTCATATTCAAAGTGACTGTGCTCGAGTGAGCACTGGCCAGTCATTGAGCCAGTGGTGCAAATTTCACATTCCTATGGCGAGGACTCGACACTCGGGATGGTGACAAAGTCACTGCATTGGGGTGGCTGTATATACACACATAGATATTTTGTCTATATCAGACGTCTTTATTCTAAAGGAAAACCTGGATCACAAAGCAAAACTCTACAAAGTATATATTGTGATCAAACAGTAAAACCATCAATAACCTCAACCCAAATTTTGATTTAAAGCTTTCGTGACTGCAGTAATTCATATTCTTAGTTTTTTCGGTAAAGTCACGTTGAAGAGAAACAACAGAATAACAAAATATATATAAAACAATAAAAAATTCTCACGACGTTTCGACCATAACTCAAACGGTCATCATCAGGTGTTTGAGTTATGGTCGAAACGTCGTGAGAAATTTTTTTATTGTTTTATATATATTTTGTTATTCTGTTGTTTCTCTTCAACGTGACTTTACCGAAAAAACTAAGAATATAACCTCAACCCAATCAAAATATTCAGTATAAGTCTGTTTTTAAGCAATATGATTAATTTTCCCATTTTAACTGTCTTACAGGGTATAGCTCAAAAGCGCTTACATGTTCATAATGACCAAGCCAAAAATTTAATAACCTGTTAAAATAGACTGGGAAGGAATAGTTTTTTTTAAACACCAGACATATGTAATCCTATTGCACGTCTGAGACACAGCATGGTCAATAGAACAAAGCCACAATTCTGACATTTCCAGACGTGAGGATCAACAAGGTCACCTTTGCAAACAATGGCCACAAGAGGCGCACGCCAAGAGATAACGTCAAATCAAATTAAACAGAATACAAAGTACTCAAACGTTTACTGTGACCCTGCCCTTGACAGATATGACTTGTTGCGTGCCTGTTCACCCACAATGGGCCTATACAGTGTCAAAAATACGTGTCTACATATCACAACTCATTGCTACTGTAACACATCCTGACCAAAAGCAGGCACAGCCAATAGCGTAGCAGAAAACAGTGTCAAATAATGACTCGCATCACCTATAACTTACCAACAGCATAACCGACAGAATCATTATTTACTATTTAAACTGTCCTTAGCCAGTGGAGCAAATTCCACATTTCTATTCCAGGTATAGTTTGTTCATTGTGTGCAAGGGCTTAATTTCTCGCTGGAATTTTATCGGGGTTGCAGGTGGACTAGGATCGGCGTGTGCTGGTAGACTACAGTAGGCACGTGGCATAGCGAGAGCTACAGTGGATGTGGTGTGCTGGGTAAAAAAAATTCCAGATGACCGACGCAGACAGACCCAGATGAAAATGAAGTCCTGACTATATGCTAAAAAAGGACTTCCTATAAAGTGGTACAGATGTATTAGTTATGTTCATTTTAGCAACCATGAAAGGATGATGATGATGATGCAGATTATGGTGCTGAGACTCTTAAGAGTCACCCATAGTGTGGAAATCAACGAATTACTTATCCATCATGAGTTCATATTATTGTGTCTTTCGTTAAAGTCACGTAGATAGGTTCAAAGAAAATAATAAAAAAAATAACAGAAAACTACAACGTTTCGATCGCAACGCAAGTGGTCGTCTTCAGGAAAGGCTTCAGGAAAAGGCTTTTACTGAAGACGATGCAGACAGACCCAGATGAAAATGAAGCCCTGACCCATCTACGTGACTTTACCGAAAGACCCAAGAACATGAATTCCTGCAGTCACGAAAGCTTTAAGTCAAGGTTCATCATGAGTTCATTACATTACCACTGAGACATTACACCTGCGATAACTGGGACAACTCAAACAGCAAAAAATTTCAATGGACTTAGCGTCTAAATGCAATGGCATATGATGCTTTGCAAAATAAAATTTAAAAAAATATAAAAGCAGTACTGTATAATTATGTATTTAAAGACGTTCAGCGTAAAGTTCGAAACCTCCTTAATGAGCTCAGAGTTTAAAAATCAGACAATTATCAAGCGGTCAGGGATCATGTGGTCTGCATTAACGTTTTAAAATATACGGCAGCGACATTACTAGACAGCTGAGAACACAAAGCCGAGGTAATTTTGTGCAAGATTTGTTTGCTTTTTTTAAGTGTCTTTATTTAGAGCAAGCAACGTAAAACATGTGTTACCATATGCATTCAAACATAAACTAACATTTGAAGAAAAAAGTTATTTAAAAAAATGTGTAAACAAAAATGTCATCCAGTGATTTTGTACATTTTCCCAATGGTTATCCAATTGTACAATCATATGGGGTCTATGTAGTGCAACATATGTTTGCATGGAAGCTCTTTGCAGAAAGCAGAGCAATTACCACGTGTCAATTAATTGACAATCGAAGATGGCATCACAGAACTATTTACTTATTACGTATTTTATTGACAATAGGGGCATAGCTCTCATCTGCCCTGCGAATAATGTGCATCGCTTGTCAATAATATATTTAAAATATATATTCCCAAATTGTATATGCCAGATTTAGTAAAAACCCAACTTCAATAATGCTTTTTGGCTGAGCCGTTGGCAACTGGGCTAACGCTATAAACCCATTACCCTCGAGAACACGGTTTAATCCCAGCTCAGTCGATCTACTGGTGACTAGGAAAGTCTATGGGTCTCAATACGAGTCGATGGGTCTCTAAGCATTTTATGGATTTCCATGTAAATCTATGGATCGCTAAGGATGCACAGTATATTGAACTTATTTCCCACCGTACGTAGCCAATCTGCCGGGGAAGGACAACAAACGAAATACGCAAAATTAGTTTTTTTTTTTCTTATAAAGAGGAAGGAACCGTGTGGGTTCAGGCGAGTCTATGGGTTTTACGTGGAGTCACCGATAACCCAGCTGCGACAACGGAATCCTAACACTTGAGAAACCAGGAGGATGTCAGCAGTGCAGGCGCAATGCTCCGATATCACATTAACCCCACTGTCTGACTGAAATCGCCTCTATCACAACAATGTCTTTTATTATAGCACGGGAAGCTTGGACGAGCATCAAAGTATTTTATGAATGCTCCCGCTCTGAGATGCGGGGCTTAATCCCAATCGATGGTGGCATTATGAACACCCTAAGTTACAGATTTAAAGCTTTCGTGACTGCTAGGATCCATACTCTTTGGTTCTATTGGGTAAAGTCACGTAGGTGAAAAAAACACAAAATAACAAAAATCACGACGTTCCGGCCACAACACAAGCGGCCTTCATCAGGTGAAGGGACGAGACTGTCTGGAGGACAGCGCTGTCTGGACAAAGGCCGCTTGTGTTGTGGCCGAAACGTCGTGATTTTTGTTATTTTTTTACCTACGTGACTTTACCCAATAGAACCAAAGAGTATGGACCCTAAGTTACCTCCACCACGAACGTCGGGCCAAGATAAATCCACTGCTGGTTGAAGTTCTCCCAAAGCCGTCGGCATTCTCTCACGCGCAGGCGTCTGCGATGCAACTCCTCTGTGTAACGTCCTCGATGTTTTTGTTGTTGTTGTGAGGCGACGCAACACAACAAATAACAACGCGACGTTTACAACAACAACAAAAAAAGACTTAAGTCGTTTCGGTCGACGCGTGGTTTTTTGTTGCTCAGGCGTTCGTGGTGGGCAGCCGCCCAAGGCCCCTGGCTCGGCCGGGCTAGGTGCCCTCCAACTCGGCCGACGATCTATCCGAGACCGCCGCATACCCGAAGGCCTCAATCGATAACGGGAACATTATTTTTTTAACAGCGGCAAGCGCCGAATCCACGCGGTTTTTTTTGTTGTTAAACATTCAAAGGACAAAGCACAAGTTGACAGATTAAAAAAAAATCGCAGGTCAAGGGAATGAAGTAAAATAAAAATAAAAACTCCTCACCTTCAACGTTGCTGTCAACAGCAAAACCCAGGGGCGCCTTACAACAGACGTCAACACGGTGGGAGAGTGGGTGGCCCCGAAACCTGCATAGCCAGCCACGGCCCCGAAACCTGCATAGTCAGCACGGCCCCGTGTGTCGTAAAGAGGATCGCGCTGCTAATGCAGGTTTAGGGTCCCCCCCCCTCCACCACCAGCCACAACCACCACCAGCTTCACCACCACCACCACCAACCACCTCCAACACCTCCACCACCAGCGTGAGCGGCAACGCCACGGGGTTGAATCTCTTCACCTTTGACCGCCGCGCAAGTGAAAGGGCGTTTCTTTTTTGTGTGTGTGGGAAATTTTTAGTTAATATTCTTGGGTCTTTCGGTAAAGTCATTTTCTTTTAACCTATCTACGTGACTTTACAGAAAGACCCAAGAATATGAATTTAAGTCAAGATTTAAATGTGTGTGTGTGGGGGGGGGGTGAGCGTTCTGTTTTTAATATGCAGTATGGTGACAAATGTGATAAAAGCTTAACTTTAAATATACACATTATATATAAATATCTACACGTACAGCCCTGATTCCCAGCGCTAGCCAGCGCGGGTTTGTGATAGGCGGCGGGAGCCATAGACAAGCGGAGCGGAGTACAGCACAACAAAAGGACTTTGGAGCAATGCCCTCTGCTAACAAAGTGGGCACCCCCACCCCACGGGTGTCACGACAACGGCGTCTCGATTCCGTTCGAGCGATCCGATTCTCGTTGCGTTCGGGTAACAGCATTGATGCGCGGTCGGCGATACGGAGGAATCGCGCGGTGGCTCAAAATCGATTGCGCGGAATCGTACGCCGGTCGTCGTTCTACAAAACGACTATTTCCCTTCAACGTGACTTTACCGAAAGAGCTAAGATTAACACACACACAGTAAAAATACCACTTTTAAAAAATCGAATTGGCTAAAACGAATCGATTCCTGCTCCCCCTACCACCTCCCGTCCTCCTTTGAAAAAAAAAACAACCAATGGCGGTTCCGAGAATTGTCCACCACGTGACTCGAAATGGACAAATGGGAGGCGCAAGCCACACCCCCTTTCTCCCCCCTCCCCTCCCCCCCACGTGCTCTAAGGTCATCCCAGCGACACGTGGTGCTGCGTGCGGCTCTTGCCACTGCTGCCGCTGCCGCCTCCTCTCCAGAGACGCCGCAGGTACCAAGGTGCGCGTGTGGCTCCGTCTACCCCCTCGGCCTTCGCCTTTCACTCGGCAACGCCGCGGGAGTTCGCGTCGGCTTAGTCGGGTGTCCGGTGTGTGTGGCGGCGGCTGTGTTGGGATGTTGGGTGTTGCAGCCTAGACTTGAGTAGGCCTCGCTGGGCCCTCCCGCTGTCGCGTTCAGGGTGCTGAGAATTGCCTTTGCGTGTTTTAATGTGCGCGAGTACTGCTATACATTGGATGCGGGCGTTTAAAGATGTACGATCCGTTAGTCCCAGCGGTGTTTTCCGACGTCGCGATTAACAGGCGCGAAAGCTTAACGCGTTCTTTTGCGTCTCCCACCAGCCCGCACTAGACCACGCACGATCGAATAACCCCTACGACCCACACACACGGAGTGGGGGCAAGGCCTTCGTCCGGCAGTCGATTGATAATGGCTCTTGTCGATGGCGATTGTGTATATGTGTGCGCAGTGTAAGCTATGTATTGTATCATTGGTAATCGGAACAATTAAGGGACTGCGTTGCAAGGGTGTTGCGTAAGTCCAAATTGAAAACATCGCCATTGCTCGGACCTCCAGCTTCCTTTGTGAAGCCATACTCACGACGGACGGTGGTGGCTCACTTGAACATTAATCGCGCTTGTTCACAATTAACGCTTATCATCGATGAGGGCAGAAGGGGGGTCGTTTTTTTTCCGACGGACCACGCGCGGTCGTGAGTTCAGTTCCGGTCAGGGGTTCGACTCGGCTCGCAACATCGTGTGTGTGTGTGCTTGGTTTAAATCGAGAGCAACCAACCTCTGTTCTCTGTGGGTTCACCCCCCCCCCCCCCCCCCCCGGGGACTTTTGAATTTAAAAGCAACGATATGCAAGCGGATGAAGAACGCAAGCCAAGTAAACGAATTGAATTTTTTTTTTAAAACAACGGTTTTATTACACAGGACGGGATTCCTGCAGTCACGAAAGCTTCACACGTTTTTATTAACAACTACGTTTAACTCACGGTCGAGAAGGACGTCAGTGGCGCGCCTGAGCCACGCGGCGCCTGCGTTTTGTGCGAGCCGATTCCACAGTTTAGGGACCGCGGCGTTTTTGACCTACACGAATATATATAAATAATAAGGCGTCCATACAAAATGTAAATTGCTTTAAAGTAGCGAATTGATGCTGATTTTGATACAGGCATGCATTGTCACCGGATTTGCGTACGTGTGCAAAATTTGGAATTGATTGGACAACAGGAAGTAGACTAACTTTTGATTACAAGATTTGACCACGACACAGCTTTCAAGTTAAGTAAAACCGTTGAGAAAAAGACTCCCTCCCCCACGCCGTGTGAGGATTGTGTGATGGAGGTTGTTTCACCATACTTGGGGGTGGAAGGGGTTTAGCCCAGAGGGTCTGCCCAGGATCGACACCTACAACACTCTAGACACTTATTTTTTGTTTGAGCTCTATAGCTCTCTTACAGATCGACCTGGCCATCACAAATGGTAATTGAACGAAGTGGCTCATCATCGTGTTGACATTTATGAGCAGCCAAATACTCCGAACGTGTGATGTTTATTCTAAATTTGGAGAGAGAAAAAAAACGGAGGACCCGGATAAATATCCACGCGACCACGGGGAGAGAGAGACACGCAAACTGCAAATATACAGGCGTCGGGATCGAGCCCACGACCTCCTGTATACCACGCAAGGTAGTTAATATCTCGCCACCGTGGCGCCCCTGACACTGATTGATGTTAGCCATGGCCAGGGATTTGAACCCAGATGGTTCATGGAGCATTGCTCCCCGCCCCCTACATAACATGGAATATCGCACTAATTTTTATTTTTTATCCTGTTATATGAATTCAGAATTCCCATGTCATGGACCAGTTTATTATTAGTGCTAGACCACTGTTGACCTTCAACAAAGTTGTGCTCATTTTATCGAACTTGATTGGGCTGTCAAACGTCGACTATAATTAAAATTCGCCTTAGAACAGAGTGAAAATGCTCTGACCAATAGTGCCACCGGCATATCAATATATAGGGCAACTATAATATACTTATCGACTGGAGGGTTGATTAAGTAGGAGCTTATCCCATGGTTATTACCGACTCCCGATTGTTGGCATCTTCGTTTCGTTGTCATCACTGCTGCTACGGTACCGCAGACCTCGCTCACAATGGCTCAGCAGCTCAAGGACATCGCTGGGAAGATGGGGGGCGCCCCTCGGGGTCTGGGCACGGGGCTGAAGTTGCTGATCGGAGCAGGGGCCCTCGCCTATGCTGCTAAGGAGGCGACGTACACCGGTGAGAGGCAGCTGTGCTCGTGTGATTGTGCGACGCGTTGCGGCTTCTGAGATTGAAGTGATGAAAGCAAGCCCGTTTGTGGCAGAGTAATATGGATTGTGGCATGACAGGACTGAGGAATATTCATGTTTTGTGACGATTGAATTTTTTATTTATTTTATTATCTTGCTCGTCTCACCCTCTCCGGACATAGTGGATGGTGGACAGCGTGCCATAATCTTCAGCCGCCTGGGAGGCATTCAGGAGAATACCATCCTGGCCGAGGGGCTGCACTTCAGGTGAAAATCTAACTCCGCATTCACCCTCGCGACCCACTCAACTCGGTCGTCGCCGCCCCATACTACTCAATGCCAGCGGCAGCAACAGCTCCTGAGACACTATGGATTTGCGTGCGTGCCACCGTTTGCCAAATGATGATGCAAAGGCGAATGCGAGGCTGTGACTCCGCGTGCCGGGCTCCCGGGCCGGTTCGGAATCTTGGCCGTTTCTTGCAAAGCTTGGCGATTTGGTCGTAAAACTGAACCGACAGCAGCAGCCGGGGTGGCTGACGCACTAGCGGCGACGTAGAGCTCGCCTACGGCCCACGGCGGCCGTCCTACCGAGAGGCCACGGGGGCGGCCGTCCGGCTGGACTGCGCACAGGGGACAGCTGTTAGCCCAGACGGGAGCCCAGCGACGGGGATCGCTACAGCAATGAGCGCCATTCTTTGGTAATCTGATGGCAAACGGTGCACGGGAGGCGATTGGAAGACCGGGAACAAAAAATTAGTCGGAGCGTTGCCTCCTTGTGTAATGGCTGCTGTGTCTTTGATACTCTCTACAAATGTGGTTTCGCTTGTGATTTTTTTTCCCTGTTGCAGGATTCCCTGGTTCCATTACCCGATCATTTACGACATCCGAGCCAAGCCCAGGAAGATTTCCTCGCCCACTGGGAGCAAAGGTGGGAGCATGCATCCTGTGCTGGCTCAAGCCAGTGTTGTTTTACACAGTTATGTTTTGCTATTATAAAATCCAAATAAATGATAGCCTATGAACAAATTGACTGAAGTGTGCCCCATCATGTCAGAATAGAAGGCAAGTTTGAATCTGGATAATGCTTGGATGCATGCCAGATTATAATTATCATAGGTGGCTATGTGGTAGTGGTAAATTATGGTAATCGGTAAGGAGACCTATTAACAAAAGGTTAAAACACATCTCTTACAGATTCTAAGTAAATCGCAGCATCGCCAAAGGTGGATGAGCCTCCTTTTGTGACGGTGCCATCCAAAAACGCAAGGAGGCCAAACCCCAGTGCCCATTGCTTCACCTGCCACAAGTGGCTGGTGGTGGTGAACAACCTCTTGACCTTGACCCCCCCATATCCCACTGCGGTACACAGACCTGCAGATGGTGAACATCACACTGCGCGTGCTGTCGAGGCCCGACGCCTTGAAGCTGCCGCGCATGTTCCAGCAGCTGGGCCTGGACTACGAGGAGCGCGTGCTGCCCTCCATCGTCAACGAGGTGCTCAAGAGCGTCGTCGCCAAGTTCAACGCCTCCCAGCTCATCACGCAGCGCGCGCAGGTGTGTGTGTGTGAAGCGGGGCCCGGGTCTCGTGGTGGCGCGTGGCAGTGGGTGGTGGCGGCCCTGGAGCTGACGTTGTTGGGTTGATAGTGAATGTATATGTATGTTGAACTTGCATCGTACGGAGCCAACCGTGCTGATCGGAGGTGCGATAGTGGTGGCGACGGCGATTGTGGTGGTTGGGATTATGGTGGTGGTTGGGGATGACGGTGTTGGATGGGGTGATATTGGTGGTGGTCATGTTGATAGTAGTGGTGTTGGAGGTTATAATGTTGGCATCGACAGTGATATTGATGGCTTTGATGGTGATAGTCGTGATGGTCGTGTTGATGGTGACGGTATTAGTGATGATGGTGATAGCGGTGGTGGTGGCAGTCATGCTTGTGACTGGTGGACACTGTGGTAGGGCGGTAGCAGCAGTAGTGACGGTCGTGACGGCCACAGTGACCGAGCCTTTGCTCCCACGCGACCCCCCCCCCCCAGGTATCCCTGCTGATCCGCCGCGACCTCAAGGAACGTGCCAAGGACTTCAACATCATCCTCGACGACGTGGCCATCACAGAGCTGAGCTTCAGCCGAGAGTACACGGCCGCCGTGGAGGCCAAGCAAGTCGGTACGTGGCTCCGCAAACCCACGAGGCCCTGCTGTGGATCCCCTTGGCCTCCTGGCCACGTGCCGCTCCGATTCCACATTTGCCTGCTTGCCCGCCGTGTCTAGCCGGCGCCGAAAGGCCAAAGCGGTGCAGCCTTTCGCCGTGACGGTACCACGCCGCTCGGCGCCAGAGCAACGTTTCCTTCGCAGACAACCCTGGTCTCTCGCCATGGGTCTCGGGCTCGCATGACAAGGAACAGCTGCTGCTGCTGCGATTAAAGGCCGTGATAATACGGGGCAGTTGTAGGGAGATCATCGCCGGAAATCGTTAAACCTGCCACACATTTACCATGAGTAGCCATGGAGGCCTGGCACGGTAGTGGCATAGAGCGGGGTTTTATCAACTGGTTGGCCAGCGGAATAGAGGTGGGCCGAGAAGGCTCCAGGAGTGCCCCGCCGAGACATAAAGACGTACTGATTTATTCTTAGCTCTTTCGGTAAAGTCATGTTGAAGGGAAACAATAAAATAATAAAATATATATGAAACAATCAAAATTATCACGACGTTTCGACCATAACACAAACGGTTGTTTCCCTTCAACGTGACTTTACCGAAAGAGCTAAGAATATGAATTACTGCAGTCACGAAAGCTTTAAATCAAAATTTAAAACGTACTGATTTGTTGAAACGATGAGACGTAGAGGTGACATGAAAGAGACGAACAAGAGACGAGAGAGACCTGGAGAAGAGGTACCGCTGAGCAAGTGCATGTATGGGGGTTATGACACCAAAATGAGGCGCGGTGTAAAGCATGTGAAACGCTCGTTAAAAAAGGAATTGGCCAAACATTCCAATGAGGTATCTTCCCGAGAAAGTCTTGAGCCCTTGGCGGGCCTTTCCTGGATGCAACGTTGCAGTTTGACACGCGGATTTATTGGCGCTGCCCCATCACATTGCACTTTTTTTTTTCCCAGGCACTCGGGTTTTACCTCCCAATCCTACCGAGATACTCGAGAAAGGGATGAGCCGAGCATCCTTAAAACGCAGAGCTCTTGAGGGAGTCTCGAGGCGGCTCGGTGAGGCTTGTCGAGGTGAATATTAAATGATGCCGTGTCATTGTCGTGTTTTTGCGGTGTTGTTGTTGGCTCTGTCTGCGTGCAGCCCAGCAGGAGGCTCAGAGGGCTCAGTTCTTTGTGGAGAAGGCCAAGCAGGAGCAGAGGCAGAAGATTGTGCAGGCGGAGGGAGAGGCTGAGTCGGCAAAAATGATATCCTTTGATTCTGTGGCTCGGCGCTGCATCGATAACACCGCTTCCCGGGCTCAAGACGGAAACCTGTTGACTCGGCTTGCAGTTGCATTTTGCCCGGGCGGTGGCGGCAGCGCACGCCCGTAAACCGGCACTGAATGCGAGGGTTGGTGGATCGCGCAAATTGTGTGTGCATCTAAAACTCCCTTCCCATGGGTGTCGAGGTAAATGGACCGAGTTGGAGATAGTGGAGTCTGAGGAAAATGAGCTGCCCGGGGTGCCCTCCGCCCCCTGAATGAGCCCTGGTGTTTGGAGGACGCGCGCGTGACACACCGAGTTGCGTGGCAACGGCAGCCGTCTGCGTTTTCCTCAACAAGCCGCGTGCACATCGGCGCGTCGCTGAGCCAGAACCCCGGCTACCTCAAGCTGAGACGCATCCGCGCCGCTCAGAACATCGCCAAGACGGTAACGACACATGGGATTGGGAGGGGGCGCACGCAGGCACGGGGTGGGGGAGCGATTGCCGGCTTGCGAAATGAAGGAAGGTTTGAGAGCGGAGTGCACCGGCAAAGGGAGATAGCCCAGAAGATGAAAGGAAAGGTGTACATGGGGACTGTTGTTTGATGAGTTGTCATGTATGTATGTTTGAACTTATCGTACTGTACGTAGCCAACCGTGCCAATCGGAGGTGCGGGAAAGGACACGCTTAAACACAAAAAAGCAGTTCTAAAGAAACGAGTTGTCTAGATTTAAAAGTGTGTTCGAAACACGAGGCACTTGGGATGAACGCCAGGAAAAAAGAGAAGCTGGGAGGGTGGGCACTTGAGTCGTGTGGGACTTTGAAGATGTTGGTGTTATGACAGTGTAGTTGGGCAGAATGGAAATCCGCTAACGGGACGGTGTCGCTCATCGTGTGTGCCCCCTTTGCAGGTGGCCGCCTCCCAGAACAGGATCTACCTGAACTCAGAGAGCCTCATCCTCAACCTACAGGAGGAGGGCTTCGACAAGTACGTGCCGTTCGCGAGCAGTCACGCTCCGTCCCTGGGACACAAACACAAAGATCCCCCCGTTGTAGCCTTTAGCAGACTGTTGGGGCAAGTGCCCTCAAGGTACACGAGGGGGTCGGTGGCCAACACTGCTACTGGCTGCCTTTGTCTCCCCAGTGGCGATGATTTTACACAGCGCACCAGGTACTCTTTTGAGGCCGAGTCGACCTAGGGGAGTCCCTGGACGGCACTGCACAGTCGCAGCAATGGCGACTTCTCTTCCAGTATTATGATAGCGATGCTGTATGAGCTGTTCACGGTGTTTGTGGAGGGGCTCCTGTCTCTTAACACCAGGCGGCCAAGAGGTATTTGCTCAAATAAGGCTATACCCTGACCATTGAGACTATTGAAGTCGAAACCCATCCGGAGCTGTCTTTCCAAAACAAATGCAGCTAGACAACTTTGATCTGGAAAAAGCTTTATTGGCTAGTGGACCCAAATGTCATCATATTTTGGTTCAAATGTGGTCTTCCTGGTTAGGTGCTATGTTTATAAAGGATGTGATCAACACGCGACCTCTAACCTGCAAAACCGCACTTGCATTACGAATGTCGTGGCCCAGTGGTCGTGGGTTTGCCGTTTGTTGCAGAGGTCTGTTCGAAGCCGGCGGCCGCCCTGGTCAATGCTGCAGTATTAACCGTAAAATACGACGCGCCCGCTGCTTTGTAGTGGACATCAAAGATCCCCCTGACGTCGGTCTAAACGAGTCGGCCATTGTGTGCCGCCACCGTCGCTTAATCGTGTGTAAAGCGTACATTCCGCTAACTCCTACTGTTCTTTTCTTTTCTGTTCCCTCCATGGTGACCTTCGCGCTGGACACGAATAGAGCAAGGTAAGTGGAGTGCCGTTAACCACAACTCTTGCCAACTCGCGCTCTCCAGCCAGTCAACGAAATTATGACACGGAAACAATTTAATTCGACAATTGATTATCTTCCCTTTGAATCGTTTCTCTCGCAGATGTTTTGCGCCATTAGCATAAATCTTTAGACCGTCAAGTCCATTTGCGAGTGGTTATAAAACAAGATAATTGATTCTTACGCAAGCGAGTGCCTGTATCGTGAGCAATGAGAGTCCACGTATGCATAGTTTCGTGCATTCTTTGTCCGATTTTGTCCTCCCGTCATGTGCCTTTTCAATCTTGGCGAAAAACCGTCAAGACTGCGGGGCTGGACGGGGGGAGGGGGGGGGGATGTATGAACGGCTTGTTGATGTCTCTTTGTTGTGTGTTTGCAGCAACTTCCTGTCGGTGAAAAAGAAGTGAGTCGAGTGAAACCTTCCTCATCCCAACCCGACACAGAGGAGGAAGAGGGACACCTTGGGGGAGGCAGGGGGGAAACGCAGCCTGCGGTTTTGTCAGTCGCCGTAAAAAAAAAAAAGCCGCCTCTGTTTTGAGCCGCGCTCGTTGGCACTTGAACGAGAGGGTGAGATTTGTCATTTAATTTGGTTCTCGGACATTGGATGAGTTCCGGGTTCGGGTCGGGTGTTATTTCGAAGCGTGCGAGCACTTGGGCTCCTGTTTCCCCACCAGGATTTGTGACGGCGATGACATGAATCCCGTCATGATTCCAACTGCACTTCCTGGCATAATCTTGGCAGGTGCTGACAGGCCATGTGATGTTCACACGGCATTGTGACATCATAACGCCTGGGCACATGAGCACTTACATGTCCGTGTTGTTGGATTGCCCATTCATCTATCTCTGCGACTATCATCTCTTGGTGTGTCGCTCTCAAGAGCGAAGCCTTCGTCCGCTTCACAGTTTAAGTCTGGATTAATCCAATCATGACTTTGCCAGTGTGGAAATAAGTGGCCTATGCTGCAAGTTGGACCTCTTGATGCGAGTGCAGGGAAACTGATGTCCTGCTTCTGAGGGACGGGGCCTATGAGATTAAGGTGATGGGTAACCGCCCCATGTGGTCAGTCTAATTGTGAAATGTTCAAGTTCCAAATAAAATATGGCTTACACATTCTTTCCTGTGTGCAAAGAATACGATTTATATTCACAATGGTTTTATTGTAAAGGTGATGTGAAAAAATGTTAAAACCCACTTAAAAAACTTGGAATTTTAATGTACATGTGTACATTAGCATTACACTTTCCAGAGTGCAAAATACAGTAACTGACATTTAGAAAAGTACAATATTTTGTTTGTAGGATCTCCTTCCTGCCTAGGCAATAGTTTAATACAATCTCAACCAACTGTTATTGTATTGCGAGTAAATATTAATGCCTTTTTGAGTTAAATGTGGCCTCGAGTGAATAAATAAATCTGGTTCATGGTCCACCCTGTCAGCTCAACCGACATTGCTCTTCACAAACCAATATAATTGAAAGCAACAACATGTGCAGTTCAACTCTCACGGCTTTGCAAAGGCCATGGAAGACTGGAAACTCATACCAGGCCCTATCTGACACTGAGTTACTCCTATTTCCGTGTTATTCTCCCGCAAGCGTTGGTAATCTCCATCCCATTTTGTGCCACCAGTGTCTTGGAAGCCATCCTTTGACCAGCATCTCGATTGATAATTTGCCCAGAAGTGGTGGCAAATTCATCATATACAGGTAGACTATTGGCTTACGAAACCTACCACAAATGGCTTATCCTTGGCAGATCCCAAAAGCTAAGCAGGCTGGAGCCTGGCTAATGTTGGGATGGGTGATCATCGTGCATAGAGTACGTGTTGTAGGCTTCCTGTCAGGGTTAGGTCGGCAAAACCGTGCAGGAAAACCGATAAACACGGCCAACAGGATCCTTCCGAGCAGCACCATTAAAGCATTGCCACGGATAAAATGATTTTTACTGCATATATCGAGGTGGATTGGGACTGGCCATAGCATAATGTACGTCTCTCATTCCTGCCCACCGGCGGGTGGTTGGGGAATGGTTACGGTGGTGGAGGGCTCCTCTCGGTTGCGCGCCATCAGACGCAGCTCCTGCTTTGACCGGCAGCGGCCGACCAGCGGCTGCAGCCTGGCGTCCTCGCCTCCTCGTCCGTCCCGGGGTCCCCTCGTAGACCCCTGCACGCACAATCTCGCAGGATCTGCCCCCGCGTTGGGCGCCAAATTCTGCGAGATTTTATTACATTGTGAGCAAACGCCACCCCCCGGAACACGCCTGGGTCCGACCACTTTCAACATTAAGTGTCGGCCCAATCCCACGAAATGGACGGTGGCGTGACACCGGTGCGAGAAGTCGGATAACGGTCCTGAACCACTTGGTCAAGTGAAATGCCGCCAGAGCTCGCGTGCACACGGTAGTGCGTGGGGGTGTAACGTGTGTGTCCGCGGCAGCCCGCGTGCGATCCCGATCCCCGCGCCAGCCAGGTTGCTGCACGATGCGTCTATTCAACAATTATGCTCGAGATGCGTGCATCCGACTGGGGCGAGTGAACATCTGATGATAAAAAACCAAGTTAAATGCAAATGATGATATGCACGCGTCACATACGGGTTCATGGAGTAAAACAACACTAAAGAAAACAGACGGAACAAATAACAATGGTGGAGGGCTGTGTGGCGTAGCGGTCTGCAGTGTGGTGAACTATGGTGTGGGGCCGTGGTGTGGTGGTCACTGCGTATGTTGAACTTCTTTTGCACCGTACGTAGCCAGCCGTGCTCATCGTAGGTGCGGGGGAAGGACAACAAACTGAACGCAAAAAGCAGTGCTAAAGAAATTCGTTTTCAGTGATGGGGCACGGTGAGGTGTGGTGGGATCAAGTGCTGCTCGGAGGGGTGTGGTGAGGCACGGTGTGGCTGCAGCGGTGTGGCTGCAGCGGTGTGGCTGCAGCGGTGTGGCGCACCGTGGTGGAGCGTGCGGGACCGTTTCGGCGCTTGGCGACGTGCAGCTCTGTTTGCAGGGAGTCGAATTTATCACGAAACCAGCGGTGGGCCTCCTCCAGGTTGGAAGAGATCTGAGTGACCGTCACGGCAGGGTGACACAGGGCAGCTGCGGAGGGACACGTGAAGTGTCCTCGTGCAGGTGGACGGAGGAACACCATATTCCCTCGTCTCCCTGACTTTCCATGTGTCACATTTTTTAAATATTTCTCTCCACCCCGGTTTTTTGTTCCCCCCCCCGCATCTCTTGGCTTTACCCCCCAAACGATGTCTTCTGACCCTTGCCTGACCTCTCCCCTCCCTGTTCTCGCTATTTCAGAACTGTCGCCTCCCGGGCCCCATCTGACCCTGGAACTGTGCTGAAACCTCTTGTTATTAATAATAATTTACATTTGCAAGGCGCGTTTTATCCGTAGATCCCAATGTGCCACTGGGACTTGTTGGTTCTGGTTACCCCGGGGACTCATTGAAGAGGGGTCCCGGGCCCTTGAGGCTGCCGTATTGGTGCCGTCCTGCTCGATACATACTGGGGCTTATTGTTGTATCATGCTTCTATGCTTTCCGTGTTAACACAGCCGCACATGCGGTCATCTATCGTTGCTATCCATCCGATTTGCCTCGTTAACGACGGCCTCACCTGCTGCGACTCGTCGCTTGCCTCCTGCAGTCGGCGCTCCATCTCCTCCTTGCACGCCCGCAGGTGCGCCAACTCTGCCTCCAGCTCCTGGGATCGGGGAGAGTGAGAGAAGTGACGAACCGAGTCACCGGCGACCGGACGGAGACCATCTACTCGCTGCACTTGAGAAATCGGTCTCGCCACAAAGCGGCTGAACCCCAGATTCGAACCCAGCATCAACTCGGCGGTGTCGGCTCGGGGTGCTTCAACCGCCCTGAGCGACCTGCCCACCTCACTCACTCCCAGCTTGCTCAACGTACTCTCCTGTACAATGGCAGGCCACTCCTTCTGCACCGCCACTTAATTAAGAGAGTCACGCAGCACGGCCGCGATAACCCCCACGCGGTAGAACCTCCACCGTTTTGCCACCGACCGCCGCCGCGAACCTGCCGACCGGTCAATAAAAACGGGCAATGCGTCGCATCGTGCTGCCGGCCTTCACGGCCTTGCCCACTCACGGACCTGCGCCCGCTGCTTCTGGCGAGCGAGCTCTCCCTCCTGTCTGCGGCACAGCTGCTCGGAGGCCGCCTGCGCCAGCGCCAGCGCCCGCTGCTCCTCCTGCAGCGCCTTCACCTCGTCGGCAAACCGCGACAGGCAGCCGGCCTGGAGCGTGGCGGGCGATGAAGAGAAAAAAAACGAACCGGGTTAGGGAGGAAAAAAAATCACGGGGCACCCGTGGGTCTTGTGACGCTTTCCAGCGTGCATTTGTCCACGGAGGTATTTCATTGGCGATAAGAGCCGTTACCTTCTGAGCCGTACGACCAGATGCCACATGCGATGTAATGAAGTGTCGATAGTATCTTGGGGAGGCGCGGTGCAGCAAAAGCCATTGTATTGTACTTCTGTGCTCCTGCGTCTAATGGCCCTAACCTTCACCGATAAACTCGCACTGATGAGCACGGTGGGATATGCTCAAATAATAATCTGCAATCAGATGGTCAGAACGATGGGGGAGGCCCTCACCCTAGCAATGGATTGACAAAAAAAAACGAGTACGTGCACAGCAGAGTGTGCGTGCTTGTGGTGCGTGTAGCAAGGCTCGCTAACAGCACGTTCCCCAAGTCTGTTAAGGCTACACTGGGGGAGCTTTGTCTTTGTAGCAAGGCAAATAATGAGGCTGCACGATGAGGCACGTGGGGAAATGTGTGCGATGAAGGGGGTTGTGAGAATTCGCGACGTGATACACGGCAATGCGGGGCTTTGAGAGAGCCGCGTGTGGGGATGCGACGAGGTGAGTGTGGCGACGCTCACTTGCTCCTCACTCTTCTTCAGGTACTCGTCGCGAAGCCGCTGCATGGCGGCAAGCTCGCCCTCCGCTTCCTGGCCGAATCGACGGAGGCTCTCGTGAATTAACGACATCACCGAAAGCACGGGACGCTTGTTTGTTAGTCGTGCCAAATTTAGACCACAACACCGGCACACAATGGCCCACCAGTTTACAATATCGTCAAGAGGGACCTTAAACGCCCACTGTAAAACAGGCCGGCGCGCCCGCAGCATCAACCAGGAGCGACCGCCCTCTACAACGAGCGGCGAACGCGCGCGGGACACGTGACCGCACACTCAAACGCGCGCTCGTGTGGTTCGCGCGGCGGCGACCTTGAGGCTGGCGCCGTTCGACCTGGCGACGTCACGTTGCCTGCGCCCTTCGGCGCGCAGCTTCTTGAGCGCGGCGGCCTGCGTCGCCAGCGACTCCTCCAGTGCCGCCGCGCGCTCGCGCAGCTCCCGGTTCGCTCGCGACAGCTCCGAGCAGCGCGCAGCGGCAGAGTCGCGCGCTCGCCGCAGCTGCGGGGGGCCCGGTGGGGTGTGGGGGAGAGGCGGAATACACGGAGCGGGGACTCGCGATCTTGGGAATGCTCCCAGTGGGTGGGCGAGTGAGCAGGTGGGCAAGTGGGTGTGTGCGTGGGAGGTTGCGTAGGTGTGGCGAGTAGATTGGCGGATGAGTATTTAGGTGGGCAGGTAAGCAGATGATTGATGAGGTCGGTAAGTGGGTGGATAGTTCGGTACCAGAGTGGGTGGGTGAGGATGCAACTGATAAGGGTAAATACATGGATGGTACTTAGGTAGGGGATGGCAGGCAATTTGGTGGATATGGGTGAAGACATGGGTGGATGAGTACGTGGGTGGGTGAGTATGTAGGTAAGTGTTTATGTATTTAGGTATACGAGTGGGCGGCTGGGTATGTAGGTAGGCGAGCGGGTAGGCACATGGGTGGGTGAGATGTAGATGCTGCGTGTTGTAGATGCCACGGTGAGGTCCCGCCACCTGGCTCATCTCCCTGTGCTCCGCGACCTTCGCCGCGTCCCTCTCGCTCTGGAACTGAGCCCTCAGCGCCGTCAGCCGCCCCGCCTGCACCTCGGCCTCCGCGCGCGCCTCCTCCGCCTCCCGCTCCCTGCCACGGGCAGCCCACACGAGGATCACCGTGGTCTATTACACGCGGGTCAAAGGCGACGCTTGACGCACCCCCGTAAACAATTCAGCGCTGCCCGGACGTTGAGAGATGTTAACTGCCTCGCCTGATATGCAGGAGGATAAGGGTTCGATCCTGACCCTGACGCCTGTATATTTGGAGTTTGCATGTCTCTCTCTCCCCGTGGTCGAGTGGATTTTTCTCCAGGTCCTCCGGATTTTCCCTACACATTTCGAAACACGCGTTTAAGAGTATTCGGCTACTATAAATGTCCACGTGATAAGCCACTTCATTGAGCTATCTTTTGTGGCCAGGTCACTTCTGAAAAAAAACTATATAGCTCAGTGGGCCTTACCTGGTTAAACAAAAAGAGTTAATAGTTTCGTTTCGTGCAGGGGTCATGCATAGACGTGGAAGCATATGAGCACAGTACATCAACGGAATTTGATGCTCTGCCCCGTGCTGACCACAACATAACACTGCCGCCCAGGACAACCTCTGTGCACGGTGGTCGCCCATCCAGGCACGACCCAGGCTCAACTCTGCCTAAGCTCACGAGAGGTGTTTATGGTCGAGTCAACAGAGGGGAAAAAGCTCCAGCCGGGTTGAGGCACACCATTGCCACAGTGTGTCCTCGAAATACCGGGCTCATTCAAGGGGGTGGGCTTCCCCAGGATTTATCCCAGTTTCAGCTTGCAAAGTCAGTTACATCAGAATCAGAATCTTTATTTCGACTGAAGGAATCCGATGAGCGATGACGCTCTTTTTCGCAGATGTCCAAATAACATTTTTTTTTCATAAAATCGTAAAAAAAAACGAGTCGTGGTATTTACGCGCTGCGTCCGATTTTGACCGTACACAACGGCACAACGACGGCCAACGACGACGCGGCAGCGCCCCGGGCTGCCGGTGTGCCGGTACCCCCACCTCGTTGCCGCGAGCTGCTCAGCCCGGCCGTTGGCGGCGTCGGCGGCGGCGGCGGCGCGCGCCAGGCGCTCGCGCAACTCCGCCTCCTCCGCCAACGCCCGCTCCAGCGCTCGCGCCAGCCTCGTGTTGTCGGCGTGCGACGACTCCAGCGCCTTCCTCGCCGGATCCATCTGCGAGGTTCGTGCGCGCGTGCGTGCGTGCGATATCGCGCACGGTTAAAGGGAAATGCAAACCGAACAAAATAATCAAACACAACGGCTCTCATCACGGACGGACAGGTGGTAAGATACACAGACACAGCGAGGGACACGAGGGTCAGTGAGACGCATGCACACAGCACCGCGTGTTCACGTTCGGCTGTGGCACAAATCGCTCAAAGAGGTGGTGTTAGGCGACACCTGCACACGCGATAGCTACACCACCATGCCCAGGCATCACAGGCAGCAGCCGCCGAGTACTCGAGTCTAGTACCTGGCTGACGTTCTGAGTCTCCACGGTGGCCAGCTTGGACTGCAGTGTCTCCAATTCCGTCGTCAGCTGCTGCAAAGCATGCTGGGATTGCGTCCTGCAAGCGGCACCAAAGCGCAATACAATTGGGAACACACTTAAGTTCCCAGCGCCCGTGGACAAGGTGCATAGGACACGATTTTCCAATTAAATTCATGGGATGGCTCATCACCAAATCACTGGTGTCGTTAAATGGCGTAAATCTAAGCAGGGTTTGGTCTGGATTAATGCTTGGATGGGCCAACGCCACGCACAAATCGGTTGTCGTCGGGCTGCGGAGCCATGCGCTGGGCAGCAGAGCAAGGAAAACTGCCGTTAGAACACAAACGCACGGGTGCAAGCTCGCGCGTCCAGCACTGTTCCTGCGTGCGCTTGCGCGTCGCCGTGCACATTAGAGTCCCCGAATGGAGCGTGGGGGAGCTACGGCACGCGACTTCATGAGGCCCGGCTGCTTTGAAACGGCCTGCAAATGACACAATAAGACACTGCCAGCATCTTAGCATTGGCTACTGGAGGGAGATATTTTTCGACCTGGCAACAACACTCCTTTGTAATGTTAGCACGCTCAATCACTTCTGTCACTGCAGGGGGCCTCTTTACATGCGGCTTATTTTGTTCCATGTTAATATTTGGCCCGCCAAAAGACATCGGCGAGAACCGAATCATCGGCCCTCAGTGAGTAAGGAAAATAATCCCCAGCCTTGCCCTGACAAACATGCGGACTCGCTCAACGGACGGCCTTTGCCAGCATGCAGACTCCGTGGAGTTAAAACGCGAATGTTCCGCCGTGCCACCCCTACTCCGCCCGCCCCACCTCTGCTGCAGGAGGCCGGCGACGTGGCCGTCACGCCGCCCCAGCTGCGTCTGCGCCTCCTGCAGCGCGGCCTGCAGCTCGCCGTGAGCGGCCGTCACGCCCTGGAGCGCCGTCGCCAGCCGCTCGCGCTCCGCCCGCGACTCCTCCAGCTGCCGCGACAGCTGGGTCACCTGGCGACGGCGGGGGCGGCAGCGGGTACGACCGTAGAAAGCTCGGTGTCATTGGGTTATCGTGGTCCACGTATCCGGCACCGAACCCTGTTCGCGATTACGATTACTGGAGTGGAAGATGGCAGCAGCCTTCACGCGGCCCACTCTGTGAAGTGAGAAATCACGACGAATGCCATCGACGTGGCGACCGAAACATCGATCATCGATCTCCCGGTCTCCAGAGAAGCCTCGTCGAGTCTCAGGACCAGTTAGGATAACACTCACTCGCCACTGATGTTAGCCGTGGCGAGAATCACAGTTAATTGGGCAGGTTCGTAGCTCAGTGCGCTGACGAACGCTCCACCACTCTTCGGTGTTTCATTAACTTGCACCTCCGATTAGCGCGTTTGGCTACATACGGCGCAAAAGAAGTTCAACGTACATACCTAAATTGGAACATGCAAAACAAAATGATTGTCTCATGAAGTGAAGAACTCTAAGAGTCTTTGGTTTGCTCGAGTCTGCACATACCCATCTCATTTGATACACAATCGTACGTTGTTACGCTGCCTTGTTTTAAACATTCAACGCAGCATCAAAGCTAAACCCTCGAGCCACCAAACATCCTCTCGTCCCCATCTCATCCCATACAGAAGACAAAGTCTCAATGTGGCCCTTTAATCCACACAGCCTATGCCCACATCTAAAGCAATACGCCCAATCTTGTCACGTGTGATAAGCTGAGCCGGTTTGAGCTCGGAGTGTTGGAATGGGTCACTAACAACACACTACGCAATAAACATTGTGGGCAGAAGAGGGCAGTGGAGAGCAATCCATTGCTGTTCTGTACTCCCCCCCCCCCCCCCGCGCCGACCAGCGTGGTGAAGAATGTTCAAAATATCCTTCGGGGGCCCACGAAGTGTGGGATTGACAAACACGGGCTGTGCATGTACACGCACAGACTGCACATGCACTACGGAACTTCGGGGCCCATTCAAATCTAAATCGGCGTATCGTCAAAACAAAGATGACCCTTGAGCCACGTGATACTGAAGCGTAGCGCCCTAGCTTGTCTCAAACGCTCAGTCCCCGTGGAGAGTCAATCGCTTGGTGCGCGAGGACGACCGCTGTGCACGATAAATCGAGGCGGATCGACCTTCTGCCTCTCCCGCTCCTGCGTCCCCTCGTAGAGGCCCATGGTCCTCAGCTTCTCCTGCAGGGCGTCGTCACGGGAACGGACCGCCAGGGCAAACTCCTCCTCCTTGGTCTCCAGCGACGACTCGAGCTGTGGCGCAGGCGTGGAGATGGGAGGGGGATGGGGGGGGGGCGGCAGCCAGTGAAACGTGAGTAAAGCTGCAGCGCGGAGCCTGCCTGGCGTACCGACGTCCGGCGAGAGTCCGGTGCATTCCGGGTGATTTGGCCACGGGCAAAGACCAATCTGCCAGCGTCGATAAGTGGCGGCTTATCGGTTTGTTCTGGCCTCACGAACAAATCACCCGGAGCGATGCCGGCGACGAAGCGCATCACCTGGGCGAGCTTCGCTTCCAGCCGCGAAACGGTCACCTTGCAGGAGCTCAACTCGGAGGTCGCCTGCGCAGAGACAAAAAAAAACGGGAGCCGCAATGGCCACTTTCATCGAGACGCGCGTGTGCACACAAAGACGAGGATCCCCCCCACTCCGCGCCGACTGGCGGGTGCAAGTAGTGGTTAGTGAGTGTCTATCTGTGCCCGTGGTTAGAGAGTTGTGGGTGAGGTCGCTCGATTCAAATACCGTGTGAAGTAGGGGTCAAACAAACCCCACTGTCGCTCTTGATGCAATACACCGAGTGGCCGCTTTGCGAGAAGTCAACGGCACTATTTCTTATTTATTATTTTACCAGGTAAGGCCCACTAAGCTACATAGCTCTTTTTCAGAAGCAACTTGGCCACAAATGATAGCCAAACGTAGTGGCTTATCACGTGGAAATTTAAAGCAGTCAAATACTCTAAACGCGTGATATAATCTAATACTGTAAACGCGTGATATTGGAGAAAAATCCACGCGACCACGGGGAGAGAGAGAGAGCGACACGCAAACTCAAAATATACAGGCGTCAGGGTCGGGATCGAACCCACGACCTCCTGTCCACCCGGCGATGGAGTTAACATCTCACCACGGTGACAGAAGCCTCACCTCGGCGTGCCTGGCCTGCAGAGCTGTGTTGAGCCGCGACAAGCGGCCGCTATCCGCCCGCTCGGCCGACAGACGGCGCAACTCCGCCTCCAGCTGCTCCACGCGCGTCTGGCGGAGTCGGCGGTCGTAGCGGAAGCAACGGGATCGGAGCAAGGAGGATCACGCGTGCACGCGGAACACGGAGGGCTTTCCCCCCACAACGGGCGTCTGTCCTCGTGAAGCGTTTATATTCACCAGCTCATCAACATCATCGTCGTCATCAAAGTCATCGTTCGCGGTGGCCCGGCTCAACCCAATAAACCGCAGGCCGTGTTGAGAGCCCGGGGGACAAATGGCGGCTCGGTCTGGTAGGGTGCGCAGCGGCAAGCAGGGGCGGGAGTAGAGGTGGCTCCCGAGTTTCCAGCAAACCGTTAATCAAACCGTCCAGTTTTCAACGGGATAAGTCCCGAGCAACAACAACTTTATCTCTATGACAGTTACCATGGCCCTCCACCCCAATTAGAAACGGACAGCGCTAACGCAATACATGCTTACAATCTTAGCTGGCAATTATTTTCAATTTGTGCGTATGACATGTAATTGGTTCACGTGACCTCTGCAGCCGCTAGAAGTCGCTAGATTTAAAACGAATTTCTTTAGTTCCGTTTGTTGTCCTTCCCCCCGCACCCCCGATTAGCAGGGTTGGCGACGTACGGTGCGAAAGAAGTTCAAACATACGTCCAAAATGTGTTTATTGAGTCTAATCGAGGGGTGCGAATCGTTCCATGCCAGGCGTCGGAGGAATGGGGTTGGCGGATCACGTGTTGGAGCGGCGGTCCACTGTGCGGTGTGTATGAATGTGGCCGTGCGCTCACCTGCAGCTGGCCTTTCTCGTACGCCAGCCGGTTCTTGCTCTCGGTCATCTCGCCGAGCAGCTGTTCCACCTGCCGCTCGCCACTCTGCTCACAATCAGGCAAAACAAAGGCAAAAGATAGACGGGCTTTATTTAGAGCCACCGGGAGAGGTTGCTGCTTCTCTTCTGCTGTGCACACGCACACGTAGGCACGCACACGCATACACACAGGCACACGCTCACACAGCCATAGACTAACAACCACACACAACAACAACAACAACTGCCACTCGCCACGACGGTACTTGTGCCAGGCTAGATGTACTTGAAGTGACAAAGGCTCTCTGACAGGTCACGGGACAGATACAGGTGTTATGGGCTGACTGAGACTACTGGCAGATGCACCACCTATGCTCCCCACTGTGCCAAATTGCTGCATTTCAGCCGCCCGACGCTTTGCACGTTGTTGTGAGTACCGCTCTTTCCACCCCCCATTGTTCTTATTGGAGGGCGACTGCCTCCCAAGTGCCCAGATGCGTCCTTCACGAGCCTCCTCCACAGACGCCGAACTTGACAAGGCTGGTATCAGTCATCGGCAAGTCCAATCAGCTCCACATCCTCCCTGTACTAAATCCTCTCGTTTCAGTGCATGTGGGAATACACAAATACACGCAAAGGCATGCATCCACTGGCATAGCCACACACAGGAGTACGTGCATTGTATAGACTAAATGATAAACAATTTTTTATTTTACCAGGCATGACTCACTGAGCCATACAGCTCTTTTTCAGAAGCAAATTGGCCACAAATGATAGCTCAACAAAAGTGGCTTGTCGCATGGAAATTAATCGTAGCCAAATACTCTAGACGCGTGTTTCTAAATGTGGAGGGAAAAAACCCGGAGGGCTCGGAGCAAAATAGACAAGACCACGGCAAGAGGGATACGCAAACGCCACATACACAGCAGGCGTTAGGGGTCGGGATCGACACCGCAATGAAAAGGTCAAACAAGCAAGAAGAACAATCCCTGGCCGGATGTCGAAACCCGCGTTCCCGCATCACGCGGAGTCACCTGCCGCTGCTCGGAGGCGGCGAGCTTCCCCGCGAGCCGCCCGGCCTCCTCCTCGACGGCGCGGAGGACGCCGCCCAGGGACTGGGCCTCCAGCTGGGGAAACCCAAGAAACGGAGAGGCGGTCATGTGGGAACCCAAGAAACGTCGACTGATCATCTTGGTACCAACGGGCACCACCTAACGATTCAATCGATTTAAAATAGATTCTTACGCTCGGCATACACAATTCAAATTCACGTTTATAATAATGGATGTGATTTTTATTAATTATGCGCACATCGCATGTAAATATTACCTTCAGGCTAATGACACGGACGAGGCGCAACAAGACAGAACATATGTGGGACACAATCCAAATAAGACAAGCGCATCATTGATTCTTGAATAGATTTGCCGAATACAAACTGTGAGAATGAACAGATAAAATCACAGTGGATAGGAGATGAATCTATGCAAGCCAGCTGAAAACTCTAGAAATGTCAACAAGACCAACTGGAAGCAAGAGGATCGTTGGTAAACTCAATAACAATCCCTTTGTCAATCCACTGCTGGATGAAGGCCTTCCCATGCTGTGTTTGTCAAACTTATTGCACTGCAACAGCCTGCATGTGTTAACAAGTGCAGGCAGGTGTTAGCCATGGCAGGGAATTGTACTCTGGTCGTCGTTTTCACACCGTAAACCTCAAAACACTTAAGCCGACTCATTTGGTCACGCATGAACACGTGGCCTCTCTGTATACCCAAAGAAGGTGGAGAGTAACGCGTTGGAAAGCAAAGAGAGGCAGACTTTGAAGCATAAAATACCTTGTTCTTTGCGTTCTCTGCTTCAAGTTTGTCTCTCTCTTCCGAATGCTGCTTCTTCATTGTTTCCATCTGAAACAGGAGAGAAAACATGAAATAAAAATATCGAAAAGTTATCACATGTTCATCTCCGAATTATTAAACAAATGGCTGTTTGCGATTTTCATGAAAAAAACACCCGTTTACACAATCCGGCGCATCAAATAACATCTCAGCTAAATGCCACCACTTCTCAGCTAAATGCCACCACGTCTCAGATAAATTCCACCACATCTCAACTCAATGCGAGCACGTTAGCTAAATGCCACCAGATATCAGCTAAATGCCACCACATCTCATCTCAGCTAAATACCACCACATCTCATCTCAGCTAAATGCCACCACATCTCAGCTCAATGTCACCACATCTCAGCTCAATGTCACCACATCTCAGCTCAATGTCACCACATCTCAGCTCAATGTCACCACATCTCAGCAAAATACCACCACATCTCATCTCAGCTAAATGCCACCAAATTCCAGCTAAATGCCACCACATCTCAGCTAAATGCCACCAACTTTCAGCTAAATGCCACCACATCTCAGCTCAATGTCACCACATCTCAGCTAAATGCCACCACATCTCAGCTAAATGCCATCACATCTCAGCTTCCCGGACCCTTGCCCTCCGACCTCTCGCAGCATGCCCCCCTTCTCGCGCCGCGCCTGCTGCAGCTCCTGATTGGCCGAGTCGAGCTCGCGATGCAGCCGGACGGCCGCCTCCTCCAGCCCGGCCTTCTGGGACGTGGCGCCCTCGATAGCGAGGTCTCGCTCTCGCACCAGCTCCACTCGTTCGTGCTGCAGGCTTGTGCTGTGCGGGGGGTGGGGGAAGAATAGAGGGGGATGATGGTGTGCGGGGAGGTCGTTTGGTGACACACAGGTGAGCCTCAACTATTCGCACTACAGCATGGGGGGTGGGGTGGGGGGCCTGGAGGTGGTTCATTGTCTTCTCAATGTTCTTCTATGGTATGCAAGGTGGCCAGGAGTTATGAAGTACATTTATAAAACACGCAACTCTTATAACCTAGGTTATGACAAGCGTGCAATGTTCATACATTGTGAGCTCTACTGAACGGTTCTCAACTATTTAAATGTCTGTGAAGAGTCTCGAACACGCAGCGGCAGTGAGTTCCAGGCTGATGGACAGCTGACCGCAGAAGCTGCAAGGTCCAAATCTCGCTGTCTACAAGTACAGCACAACTGGTACCAGCACAACCAGTCGGGCAAATGGATCGGCTCGAACTGTGTGAACAATTTCCTGTTCCCTCACGTACGTGCGTGGCAATTGTGCGCGTGTTGGATGTGCGCGTGCACGTACAGCCGAGCGTCGAGTCGCGCGATCTTCCGGCGCGCGGAGGCGAGCGGCTCCTTCACGCTCGCCCGCGCGGCCTCCAGCACGCCGTCCTGTTCCCGGATCCGCTCGGTCAGAACTGCCCTCTCCGCCTGCGTGCGCAACAACGAAGCGGACGCGGCGGTGGCGGCGGCGGCGACATCGTCACGAGCCCTCAAATCGGCACCGGGGGGGGCGCAGTGCTCGCTTCGGAAAACTCTCAACAGCGAACGTCGATCCAGGGAAGGTCATCAAAGTCGTGATATGACCCGAGCCTGAGGTCATCACGGCGAAGCTTAGAGCCGTGGAATTGGCGGAGCGTGCAGAGATTGCTACGTGCTAGAAGCACGACAGCAAAGGTGGTCACAGGGTGGCTCAGGAGCGCTGAGCTGGCGCTCTGCTGAGAGATCCTGGCTTGGGATCTGCAGTTGCAGCCACCCATGATTTCTAAGCCGGGTCCTCAAGTGTGGCGAGTCGATGGTCTCAGGCCGGTCACCAGTTACTACACGAAAAAAAAAACCACCCCGTCGCATTCGTTCTTAACTCAATTCGGTTGCATTCCAGCTCTGAGAATTTAAATATCGGTTTGCGGTGAACAGCACTCTCATACGTGCGGACTCACGAGAGGCGACTTGAAGAATTCTCAGAGGGGGCGGGGGGGGGGGGGAAGGGGTTCGCACTGCTCTGCCAGTGATCCCGATTCTCTGTCTCGTGACACGAAGCCGATAGCACCATCGGAACAAAATTGGGGGAACGAAAACCGCCGAACGCTAAGTAAGCGGCGTAGCAAGCAGGACGCTGATCTGCTCACCTGGAGGTCCTTCTGGTGAGCGGCGCGCGCCTCTTCGGCTGCGACCTCCGCGGCCCGGGCGGCCGTCGCGAGCGCCGCGTTCTGCCTCTGCAGCTCCTGCTTCTCGGCCTGGAAGCGGCAGCGCAGCAGGGATGGGGTCACACACAGCCAGAGCGCTATTGGTGCACCTACAATTACCAATGACAGCATGCGATTAAGGGCACTAACGCACCGCTCGTAAGACAGGGTGAATCAAAACCCATTCATTCCTGATTTTGAAAATGTCTAAAATATTCTTGGAACTCATTGAGGCTCCCTTGGGCATCATTATTATGATGACGACTATTAATACTACTATGATAAGACGACCTCTGTGCAATCGACCAACGATACGGACAAAAATAATGTATTCTGGGCACGCTCCACAACAACTGGCCCAATGACCTCCCGCGCAGTTCGCAGTGCATACCAAGGAGTCACCCCCTAACCTGCATCTTCTTCAGAGAGGCCACGACGGAGGAATTCTCTGCTTGCAGCTTCCCGCGTTCCCTCTTCTCCTCGTGCAGCTCCGACTGCAGCCTCTGCAATGCAAGGACCCGGGTTCGTTCGCGGTACGCGAGGTGCTTCATCCGGGGTGTGCGAGGAGTCACCGGTAAATCGCGTGAAAAAAAGATCTTAACTCTAGATTTGAAGCTTTCGTGACTGCAAGAATTCATACTCTTTGGTTTTATTCGGTAAAGTCACGTAGGTAAAAAACAAATTTAAATAAAATAAAAGAAACAATCAAAACACCACTGTTTCCACCTGAAGACGGAAGCTTGTGTTGCCTCCGAAACGTCGTGTTTTAATTGTATCTTTTATTTAAATTTGTTTTTTACCTACGTGACTTTACCGAATAAAACCAAAGAGTATAAAAAAATATCTGTTAAATCTTATAACTTCTTATCATTTATATGTCTTTTCCACAATGTTAATGCCGATTGCGTGGGTACCCGAACCGACGCGGGACTTGAATGTGACGCGTGCGTACACGAGCACTGACCTTCCCCTCCTCCGTCATCCGAGTGATGATCGACTCCCTTGCCTCTGCGAGAAATGAAGAAGCGAACCAACCAACGAACGGAACAACGAAGGGAATCTCCATATTTCCTGAGGAATCTGAACGCGGGACGAAACACTGGGAGGAAACAATGCCGAGAAGCAAAGCCCGGCGACGGAATCGCGGAGACGATTCGAGGGACCGACCTGCGCACCCGTGGAGGTCTGCGGCCCTCCCCTCCAGCTCGCTCGCCCTCTCCCTGTCTCGTCGCGAGCGCTCGGCCGCCGCCAGGCCCTCCTGGCGTACGCACGAGCACTGGCCCTGCAGCCGAGCAACCTGCGGGCCCCAACGGAGGGGCAGGGAGATGAACAGCGATAACATGGGCGGCATCTAACTTTGCTCAGTATTCCACGCGAACGAGTAGATCTCATTCATTTAGGTGTGCTGCAAGGTGTATGTGTGTGTGTGTGTTCTGGCGAGCCCAAGATTTAGGTGAGCCAACGTGAAAAATAACTGTCCATACGGTTTAGCACCGGCTTGTACCTATGTGCATATGAATGTACCTATCACACATACGCATACGTATGTACGTACATATGAATGTACATGTGTATGTGCATACGTATGTACATATATACGTACATATGTATGTACGTACGTATGTGCATGTGTGATCGTGACCCGTCTCCGCAATTCCCTCGCCCGATTTCTTCCTCTTCTTCTTGCCATCGTTTCCATCCAAAGTACGTACGTACCAAACGCGCGTGATTACACGCGCGCCAACAGTCCCGCGAGGATAAGCGTCGCGTCGCGACTGACCTCCGACCTCTCGGCCTCGACGATGCGCTCGGCGTCGCGCACGCGATCCAGCAGCGCGACGTGGGACTCCTCGAGCGTCGCTCTCAGGCTCGCCTCGCGCGACAGCTCCGCGCGCAGCTACGCCACCCGGCAGCGACACGCAGACACAGGCACAACACGCGCGCCCGCACACACACACACACACACTCAGACGGGTACACAACGGCAAAGGTCCCCCGTACAGCCTAAACGGACTGCTGGGGCAAGTGCTGTTAGCGAGCACCTATCAAGGCCGGCACGGCACACCGAGGGGGTGGGTGTGCCAGCACCACGCCCGGCCGCCTTTGTCTCCCCGGTGGCGATGTTTACACACCGCACTAGGTCCTCATTTGAGGCTGAGTAGACCTAGGGGAGGCCCTGGACTGGGTCCAGATAATTGTCACTGGTGGTGGCCGTGAGTGAATCTAAATCGGGTCGCCGGGTTCGTAGCAAAGCGCGCTAATCAAAACTCCACATACATACAAAAGTGCACACGAAGGTATACTTAAAACACACAGTTGGGGGTATGGCAATTATTACAATCAAAAGGAATTAAATACACACTAGGAGACACTTAAAGGCTGTTCTTATGAATAAGAAAGGGTCTTGAAGGTCAAGTTTTCCCAACTCCAGGTCTCGCGACCCATCCCTACCTTCTTTGCTCAAACACAGTTATTATATTGCTGACTCATATCATGTACAGCATGGCGATTCTACTCAAGATTTGTTAATCAGCCCTCCTCGGAATCTATTATCTGTTGCATCACTTGAAAAAGTTTTTTTCCATTCACGGGAAATAATCGATTATCACACACACGCACACACTAATTGAATGCGTGCGTTACTTTAAATCGATTGATGAATAAGTGGCAACGTGAATTCATTTCCCGTGCGGACGCACTCACCTCGTTCACGCGATTGTTCATGCGGGTCGTCTTGTGTCTCATCTCCTCGGCGGCGATCGCGACGTCACTCTGAAAACAAACATCGCAAATATGTGAACACGCTAAGGATAAACCACGCATGGGAGTACATTCTGGAATGCTTCCCAGCACGCCCTTTTGTCCTCGGAAGTATTTAAACTGCCCGTAATAAAGTTACGGATCAAGCCACACAATGAGATATTGCACGGCGCGTGACGTCGTGAGATGATGTCACAGAAGCCCGACGTCATCGGGAGAGGGGGCGTGTGCTTCCTTCTAGCGCTCATATTGTGTAGGCTCCCAGTCCTGGGTTTTGTCTCCCAAGTTTTTGAGAAACCCCTTGAAACATGCGTTTAAGAGTATTCGGCTGCTATAAATTTCCAGCTATCTATAGCTTAAGTCCTTAACAGAAACACAACTTCATATCGGATCATCTTTATGAGAGTTAATGTACCCCTCTGCCGCCCCCCCCCCCCCACCACCATGAGAGAGCCCCTCTAGTGCCCGATTAGTACAGCTAATATGCCCGCAGTGAAGGATACATTTAGTTTGCGGGCTGTTTCGAAGTGGCAGGCCTCATGTGGCCACAGACCCTACGAAACGAAGTAGTGGGCCGCATGCAGCCCAAGGACCATGGGTTCCACCATCCCTAGTACGCTAAAGCCGGGTAGGATCGCCGGCACACCTTGGTGGCCATGGCGACCTCGAGGGCGGCGGATAGTCGGGCCTTCTCATCCGCGGACGCCTCCAGCTGGTGCACGGCCTCGGCCAGCCGATGGCTGAGACGCGCCACCTCATGCTGTAGGCCCGACACCTCCTCGCGCAGCGATGACGCCTCGTCGTCTGGCGTGACGCCCGCCAGACATGCACGCACACGTGCGGGTGTGTACGCACGCACGTGAGCATGACAAATATTCCCCCCCCCCCCCACCGTGTAGCCTTATCAGACTGTTGGGGCAATTTCTGAAAGTGAGCAGCTGTGAAGGCCGGCACGGGACATGAGGGGGTGGGTGGCCAGCACGAATGACCGTAGGTAAAGACACATACATACTCGAAGGAACTTGTATAAGTTCGCACGCACGCAAAAAATAAACGGCACACATGCACGCACATACATAAAAAACAAATGCAGGCGCTCAAACACACGCACACGCACACACACAGGCACTTGCACACACACACATCCACGTATGCAAAGACATCCGGCGTAGCCTTCCTGGACCGTTTGGGCAAGTGTTAGCAAAGACCTTTAAGACCAACACGGCACAGAACGCCATGCCCGGCCACCTTTGCCTCCCCAGTCCCGATGTTTACACGATGGCACCAGGTACTGATTTGAAGGCAAGAGTCGATTTGGGGAAAAAACCCTGTGAGAAGGCACAAACCGTCGCTCCACCGCTACCCCCTCTCAGGAGCAGTTTCACAAAACGGTCACCTGACAATTCAGAGAGCACCACGGCGCAAGCCGGCAACCCACCCGCGTCCGGCGGCGCCAGCTCCCTCTCGGCCTGCAGGCGCAGCGCGGTCAGCCTCAGCGTGTGCAGGGCGCTCTCGGCGCGGCACACGCGCTGCACCAGCGCCTCGTAGCTACGCCACAGCATGTCCGACGCGCCCGGCGCGAGCGCTCGCGACACGCGCAAGGGAGGCAGCGGCGTCGGCGGCGACGGTTGTGCGATGCTGTCGGCCGTCGAGCTGCGGAGGGTGGCGCTCCTCGTCAATAATTTCAGACCAATGCAGCTAAACGTACGATTGACGGTTTACAATTAAGGGTTGAAAGCGCCCATGCGTTGGCTCTGTACGCCCGTTAAGTGGCGTCGACGTGATCCAATGGACGCGAAATTTTGGCGTAAAGATGCGTTGCTATTAGGGACTCACCCTGCAGAAAATCGTCCAAACTGATTTAAGGGTTGCACAAAACTTCAAAACGAATGGATAGGCTTTTTTTGGCCAAGGCAATGAGATCAGCGTACAGGCTGTGTCATCTTCACACGGTTGTGTTAATTTAAATCTAACGTATTTTTTAACGGCCTTCACTATTATTCTGTTATTGTGGGGTTTTTACTCGTTATTTACAAATGTGATCTCCCAAGACGTGGTCGACAGTCCACCAAAGGCAAGACTATAAACTAAACTATTTGTTTTAACCAGGTAAGGCCCACTAAGCCATAGAGCATTTTCTTAAGTGACCTGGCCACAAATTTATAACAGCCAAATGCTCTAAACGCGTGATATTGATAATAAATGCGGTGGGAAAAACCGGAGGACCCGGAGAAAAATCAACGCGACCAAGGGGAGAGACAAGCAAACTCCAAATATACAGCAGCAGCAGGCGTCAGCGTTGGGATCGAACCCACGACCTCCTGCACACCAGGCGAGGGATTTAACATCTCACCACCACGGCCCTTCGTACCCATCGGTGTGTCCCTTCGGGTGCCGCCCCAGGCCCAGCGCATCGAGGTCACGGACCAGGGCCTCGGTCTCCTCCTCGGCGATGCGCAGTCGGCGTGACAGCAGCTCGCACGCCTCGGGGGCCGTGGCCTCCATGGGGCCCGCCGGGAGAGGCCCACCCGTGCGGACGGCCATGCTGCTGTCAACGCTGAACGATATTAAGATGCAGAACGGCGTTCCTATGACTGGCGGCTCACAGGCCACATCTGACCCTCCCGAAAGCTCTTGGGAGTGTCCCAAGCACAGATATGTGGCCCACCGAGACATAGAGATCACCGGTTAGGTCACCCACAGTTACAATCGCGAGTGAAACTTCGAAAGTCGTTCAAACAAGCAACGGGGCGATGTTCCGTCTTTAACAACGCCAACGAGCCAGCCGTGGAAATTCGACATTCTCACGACAGGGCCAAGACCATCCACAGGACAGCCACTTGTGAATTAAGTGTCTCGATTGCTGCTCACACACAAGCAATGGAGCGAAAACGAATTCCATATTCCGATGGCAGGGTCAGACCATTCCGTTCGAATTAACATTGTCGGAGCTAAATTAATCTTGATTTAAAGCTTTCGTGACTGCAGGGATTCATATTGATTGCTTGTGCTGCAGTCGAAACGTCGTGAGAATTTAATTGTTTTATCTTTTTTTTATTATTTTATTGTTTCCCTTCTACGTGGTGACTTTACCGAAAGGACCAAGATGATGAGGAAATCGTCCGGAAAGCGCCCGATATCGTCAGTAGACATCGGAAAGCAAGCCGGGACGATCCTGGACGCTGCTCAGATGGGCGGGCACCTCGCGTGACAGGTGCTACAGGCTGCAGCGGGCCCCTTACGGTGTCAGCAGATGATGGCACACCTGTCAAAACCCCTTATCGGTGCATACACTTATCACTGACCAATCCACACCTTACTGGTCACCCCGTGCCCCATATATTATCTCAACGTTCATCCTACAAAGTCCCATCACAAGGCAGAAACACAAACAGTTAGACACGAACATTAATTTTGCTGTTGCCCGTATTGAAGCGGCTGTACACCGTATAGGTTGACAGATGGTAGCGCAGATATGCATGTCCATGGTTATACGGTACTGTACTTCTATGCGCCCCGTGTCTATGGGGCCGTCCATAAATGACGTCACGCGATTTTTGACCCCCCCCCTCAAAAATGACGTCACAAAGCTCTGCCTCCCCCCCCACCCAAAAACATGCTTCAAATCACTTTAAACTATTGTCATTGTAGCGCGTATTTAATGTGGCGCTGCACTCTGATGTTGTGGGAGAAAACATTTATTAAAAAGTATATTTAATTAAGTAGAACGTGCTCTCTATATTTATTTAAACTTGCGCATTTTGATGTGACGTCACATTTCTCAAACCTCCTACCCCCCCACCTCGTCACACATCGTCACAAATGTCTGACCCCCCCCCATCCCCCCCCCCCCCCAGGTGCGTGACGTCATTTATGTACGGCCCCTTAATGCGCACGCTCTTTCGCCATCCGGCACCGACCAACGTGAAGTTTGGTCAATTAACCCCCCACCCCCACCACGACAATTCCACAATTCCTAAGCCGGTGACACTCAACACAAAGAGTGCTGCTGTTAGCGAGCAGCAGCAGCAGCTACTAACGAAGGCCGGCACGGCACACGAGTGGGTGGGTAGCAACCACGCCCGGCCGCCTTTGTCTCCCCCGGTGACGATATTTGACGCATCTGGTGCCACATTTGAGGCCGAGTCGACCCAAGCCACGGCCGGTTTAGATAATCGTCACCGAGAGGAAACTCCGCCCGCTCCGGTTTCGCTGCGCCGACGCGCTAACCGCTGCGCCACCGCTCCTCAAAGTACACACACGCGCGCTCACAACTACTTCAACAGATTGCAGGGGGCAAGTGCTGTTAGCGAGCAGCACCTAGGAAGGCCGGCACGGCGCACGAGGAGGGTTTGGGGGTGGTCCAGCACCACGCCCGACCGCCTTTGTCTCCCCCGGTGACGCTGCGCAACGCATCCGCTCCAATTGAATCGCTTGGACAAGGCTGTTGTTACGACTCACCCGAACAGCAGGGACTCGCTTTATAAAGCGCGCGTGGCTCGTGAAGAAGCGCTTGCGAAGCGTGTTTATCGTTCCATAATAATCATAAATGCTATCATTATTATAACTCAACTTACAATTTCTACTTTACTTCCCCACCACCACCGGAGCCCAGGAATTTTTGTGTTCGTTTGAACGAAAGCGCATCGACAGCCGCTACCGAGAATCCCGCGGAGCGCTTTCCAAGTCTCGCGAGATACTCGGTATCGCGAGATCTCGGTCGAGTGGAGCGCGCGCGAGGCGGCGGGAGATTCGAGTGGACGTGGAGGGAGGGGGGAAAAGGGGGTGGCGGGGATTGGAGGAGTGGAGGGGAGGGGGAATTAGAGGAGGGGGTACGAGGAGTGGGTGGGGGGAACTGGAGGTACAGAGGGGTACGAGTGGGTGGGTGGGGGGGAACTGGAGGTACAGAGGGGTACGAGTGGGTGGGGGGGAACTGGAGGTACAGAGGGGTACGAGGTGTGGGTGGGAGGGGAATTGGAGGTACAGAGGGGTACGAGGTGTGGGGGTGGGGGGGGAACTGGAGGTACAGAAGGGTACGAGGTGTGGGTGGGGGAACTAGAGGTACAGAGGGGTACGAGGCGTGGGTGGGTGGGGGGAACTGGAGGTACAGAGGGGTACGAGTGGGTGGGGGGGAACTGGAGGTACAGAGGGGTACGAGGGGTGGGTGGGGGGGGAACTGGAGGTACAGAGGGGTACGAGGTGTGGGGGTGGAACTGGAGGTACAGAAGGGTACGAGGTGTGGGTGGGGGAACTAGAGGTACAGAGGGGTACGAGGTGTGGGTGGGTGGGGGGAACTGGAGGTACAGAGGGGTACGAGTGGGTGGGGGGGAACTGGAGGTACAGAGGGGTACGAGGTGTGGGTGGGTGGGGGGACTGGAGGTACAGAGGGGGTACGAGGTGTGGGGGTGGGGGGGACTGGAGGTACAGAGGGGTACGAGGTGTGGGGGTAGGAACTGGAGGTACAGAGGGGGTACGAGGAGTGGGTGGGTGGGGGGGAACTGGAGGTACAGAGGGGGTACGAGGTGTGGGGGGGAACTGGAGGTACAGAGGGGTACGAGGTGTGGGTGGGGGGGGACTGGAGGTACAGAGGGGGTACGAGTGGGTGGGGGGGAACTGGAGGTACAGAGGGGTACGAGTGGGTGGGGGGGGAACTGGAGGTACAGAGGGGTACGAGGTGTGGGTGGAGGAACTGGAGGTACAGAGGGGTACGAGGTGTGGGTGGGGGGGAACTGGAGGTAGAGGGGTACGAGTGGGTGGGGGGGGAACTGGAGGTACAGAGGGGTACGAGGTGTGGGTGGGGGGAACTGGAGGTACAGAGGGGTACGAGGTGTGGGTGGGGGGGTGAACTGGAGGTACAGAGGGGGTACGAGGAGTGGGTGGGGGGGGGGGGACTGGAGGTACAGAGGGGGTACGAGGTGTGGGAGGGGGGGTGAACTGGAGGTACAGAGGGGGTACGAGGAGTGGGTGGGGGGAACTGGAGGTACAGAGGGGTACGAGGAGTGGGTGGGGGGGGAACTGGAGGTACAGAGGGGTACGAGGTGTGGGTGGGGGGGGGGGAACTGGAGGTACAGAGGGGCACGAGGAGTGGGTGGGGGAACTGGAGGTACAGAGGGGTACGAGGGGTGGGGGGGAACTGGAGGTACAGAGGGGTACGAGGTGTGGGGGGGGATTGGAGGTACAGAGGGGTACGAGGTGGGGGGGGGGGGAACTGGAGGTACAGAGGGGTACGAGGTGTGGGAGGGGGGGGGAACTGGAGGTACAGAGGGGTACCAGGTGTGGGTGGGGGGGGGGGGAACTGGAGGTACAGAGGGGCACGAGGAGTGGGTGGGGGAACTGGAGGTACAGAGGGGTACGAGGTGTGGGGGGGAACTGGAGGTACAGAGGGGTACGAGGTGTGGGGGGGGGATTGGAGGTACAGAGGGGTACGAGGTGGGGGGGGGGAACTGGAGGTACAGAGGGGTATGAGGTGTGGGAGGGGGGGGAACTGGAGGTACAGAGGGGGTACGAGGAGTGGGTGGGGGGGGAACTGGAGGTACAGAGGGGTACGAGTGGGTGGGGGGAACTGGAGGTACAGAGGGGTACGAGGTGTGGGAGGTGGGGGGAACTGGAGGTACAGAGGGGTACGAGTGGGGAGTGGAAATTGTAGAGTCTAGGAGGATATTGGAGGTGAGGGGGGAATTGGAGGACGGGAGTGGGTACAAAGTGGGGGGGGGGGGGGGACCGGAGGGGAGAACTGGAGTGAGAGAGGTAACGATTGGGATGGGGGATTGGAGGAGAGGGGGAAAACTGGAGGGGAGGGGGGAATGGGAGAAGGGGAGGGGGTACGAGTGGGGGGAGAGATTTGAAGAGGCGAGCAGCCTGGAGGAGGGATGGTGGGACTGGGGGGGGGGGGTGAAAAAGGGGGAGGTGAGAGGGGCACGGAAGGGGGGTGAGTAGAGGGCAGGGGCACTGGGAGGGGGAAGAGAAGGGAGGGGGAGAGGGGAAGGGAGTGGGGAGAGCGTCACCATGGCAGTGACCCACCACAGTCACGTGGCCATCTGTGAAAACGAGCTTTGTAGCTCATCGGATTCGTCTCGTATAAATATTCTGATTCTGAATTTGGAAAAGATGCAAAAGATTACTACAGTTACCTGGACGACATCTCGTGTTCCAGGGTAAGGCCATCAGGGCAAGCTTATGTGGACAGTCACTGGACCGTGTTTACAAAGGCAGCATTGCCATGGCATTATTTTAATAAAAAAAATCCACCTAGAAAATCCATTGAGATGAAACATCTCGTTTGCAAGATGTTATTTATTTCTTTGCGGGCAGGGTCATCAGTAAAGTTACTAAATTTCTGGGATGCTCAACTGGGGCACGTGGTGAGCTGGCACCCCCACACTTAACCCCCCGTCACTCCTGCCCTCTTTTCAAAACAGTCACGCGACACTCAATCACCCTGTACACAGCGAGCAGCCTCACGTTTCGTGCCAAGGGCACGTGGGCAGGGTCAACCGGGTCATTGCCGAGCGGCCCTGCGTGTGTAAAATCGACCGGCCGGGGAAGTTTATGAAATCGAAATTTGTCTTTAATCCACGCGTCAAAAACGAGCAGTGTCGTTACAAAACGAGGACCCGCGCAATGGCAAGGAACGGAGTTAGACTGATGGCCTTAATCTTAGTTGTCTTGTGGTTGTTGTTGTTTGACTTGCATCCCACTGGGATTTTTGCACACAGCGTTGGTGTACGGTGCTATTTCAGGAATATTTTGATATTTTTTTCCTGTATTTTCTGTTTGCACAGTCACAAAATCACTTTAAGATGTTTTCTTGTTCATGTTTTTTGTTTGTTGCGGTTGCACCCGATTCAAGAGCCGAATGGCACACAGGGCTATACCAAATAAATGAACTATGAAGCCTAACAGCATGGCCATCCGGCAGGAAAGTTTTGTAAACACCATAAAATGTAAGGTTTTTGGAAAAAAGTTATTTGTTTTGTTTTAATTGCATGATCCGCACGATGCCAGACCCGTCCCCCCCGGGTCATATACTTTTATTTTCAACTGCACATATTTGAAACGCCCTGTGACACCGGCACCAACTACTGATTTTTATTTACTTATCCTGGGACTGGAATGCACTCACCTTCCTTTGAGCGCCACCTTGCATCGGGACGCAACCGTACAAAACGTCTTCCTTACCGAAAGCCACGTAGGAATTTCAAACCCCTCTGGCAGGCCATACACGGAACATAAATTAGAAGGGGAAAAAAAACTGTCGCCAGATCGAAAGAAAATCCCCCCCCTCGTCGTTCATTAATTGCGGCCAAAATTCTTCTTTCAGTGACGGATATATATCGTTTGCAATGCTGTTTTTAAGTGGTGGGTCCTCATGTGGCCGTCTGAAATGAAGTCACGGGCCGGACATGGCTCACTGGTGATCTACGTTCTCGACCGCACTCCGCTTCCTCAAAGGTAGACAAAACCGAAAAAAGAGCTCTTGTAGATGTAGACACCAGTCTAAGCGCAGGGATGTCCCGCATCAGTTTGAAGCTTCGTTAATGGGGGTGGGGGGGATACCTTAAAGATGTGGTCGAGTGCGACATTAAGTCTCGTTTACCGTTTCGTTTGTCATTTTACCCACAAATTTATTCCAACTGTGATAAAATTCTCACGAGACATTGTTAGCCACTTAAAACTGTGTTCGAGACTGGCCTATGGAAGCACATTTCACGAAACTTCTGAGATCCCTTCGTTAACTTTTTTATATCAACAAATTAAAGGGCGTTCACTTACTCACGCGCAGCTATGCAGATATGTGTGTATGATAGTGGTCGAACTGTAATTTAGCCAAATTTAGTGAGAAAATATTCCTGCGACAGCCTTCTTGTGCAAGTCATTGGTGACCAGGCTGAGACCATCCCAGAACACTGGAGAACCCGGGTTTAACCACAGATTTCAGCCAAACCAAGGTTTTGTCTTATCAATGAAGCTTCAAACTTGTGCCCGACAGCCCACGACAGTCGAAGTATGCATCTACAACTTAAAGAGACATTTGGCCAACTTTGAGTCGGGCGCGTCTGTAACCCGCACTCGGAAATAATTCAATCCTCATGCCCCGAGTATATCAAGTTCAATAGGTTGCCTTGTTTCGCAATATTTACAAATAGGTTACTATTCATATTCCAATTTAAAAACCGTTCATCATGATAAAAACAAATCTAAAATGTAATTCTCAAGCCCCGTGGTGTATAGTGTAGTCAGTACTCCGGCCTATTTACGTGCTACAGATGAATGGCCATTGTCTGAAATGTCGACTACTTATATGTTTCCTATCAAGGCTGTATTCTTAAAAATGATTGTTTTTGTTGTTGTTAATTTGCATTTCGGTGCGACAGATGTGAAAGGGTGAACTGTGGTGGGAAGAGAGGACCGAGGTTTGGGGAATCCCTTACGTTAACGCTTTGTATGTACGTTGAACTTCTTTCGCACCGTACTAAGCCAACCGTGTTAATCGGAGGTGCTTTAGGAGGCATATCTACTCACACCGCGTGGAATAAATAAACACAAGAAGTCCTCAGAAACAATTATAATATTGCAGTTTGTAACAAGCATGATCATTCACGGACATAAGTGACTAACTCTGAGGTGCGGAGCTGGTGAGAGTAATTGTAGCGTCATGAAAAAAACACTAAACACAAACTAACGTGAAACTATTATTAAATGACTCACCAGTCACTGATGACACTACATTTGCCGAAAACGTAATGCCAACAGTACGGATTGTAGTGTGCTACACAACCAAAGTATAAAACGTAGAGTATGTTTTGAAATGAACACTCACATATAATTCAGTATTAAATACAGCACTAAAGAAATCAAACTATTGACATCATGATTTAAGTTAGATCTACCCGAATTAAAACTCGTCAAAGTAAATGTTCCATTGAACGCAAACTTTCAGTGGATACCACAATCAGTGCTCAACCTATTCCTGTAACAACGATCCATAACATAAGCTTAAAAATGCTTCTTAACTTTCCCTTTTAAAACATTCTCATCCCCCCCCACCCACAACTCAGATCGCCAAACCTGCCAGTGCGTGCCGATACCACACACACACAGCACGGATTCAAGCGCTGATTCGCGACCATGAAAACATTAGGACGAAAAAAATGTATTCGTCAATGAAAATCCATCCGTGGACATTCAGCAAATTCCTCCTTTTGAGCGTCTTTTTAATTATATATATGTACGTATATATCTGTACACATATATGAGAAAAAAAACCGCTTTATACAGGAGGGGGTTCGGAATGCCTGAGAAAACCAACGCACAGGAAAGAAACAACATAAACCTGCTACTTGGACTGGCTCATGCAGTCACGACCACGACCTCCCCTCCCTGCCCAGCAGGATGCACCCCAACACACACCACATCATCCAGCCTGGTTACTAGAACCAGCGATTCAGAAACTTGCTCTCTGTCTTTGCGATCCAAAAAAATCCCAACCTCCACGACCCCCAGATTTACAGTTGTCCCCATCACAATAACAAGGGCGGATATATATACCGTGGTTTTTTTTGTGTTTACAAACGAGGACACTGCCAAGGGTCTATACAAAATTCTAATTTGTAAAAATAAGTTAAAATCGCGACTTTTCGAAGCTCCAAAATTTGGAACACCGGTCTAAGCAACGCAGCGGACACGTTGTTAGCTGCATCTCTATGCAACGCAGAATGCGGCATGCGGTGCCAGGATTGCCTTGTGATTTGCGGTGGTTTCAATTGTTTTTTTTTTACCTTTCTTTAATATCGCTATTTTTTTTGTAGAGGCAAGATTAACAACAATATAAACAGAAAATTGGTTAAAATCTGGTCTTCATGGAAACAAAACCGTTTTGGTGAGAAACACGGAGAATCTTGGGCACTCCACCCCTGCAGTAGCCCGGTATTTTGAAGATACACTGTACACACACACACACACAACATTCACCACCTGTGTAATTAACACTGCGTTAGCCTGTATATATATTTTTTTGTTAAACGTTAGAAAGACAGTGTTCATGATAAAAGAGGATTTCAGTTCTGCATCACTGCCAACAAACCCAGACCGATCGTAAACACAGCACGAATGGTGAACCAAAGCGAGGGTCACACGGGGTAACCCGCAGCTATGCGAGCGTTTCTTTTTGCTCAACGCAAGGAGGCATCGTGAGTTTGGGGAGGGTAAAGAGAAGAGCCTGATAAATAGGTCGTAACTCTAAAAAGTTTCCAATAACGCAAAATAACCACTCGAAAAGTTCCCTCGAGCTGTTGATACAAAATACTGATGTAGTGAGTATGCGTGGCCACCAATGATTACAAACCACGTGTTCATATATATACACAAAACCATCCAAGCTGTATAAATTTAGCTTATTGCTTAATTCAGCCTCATCCCATGTATGAGGGCTGAACGTTATAGATATTAAATAACCGTCTCGGATGAGGCAAAGACAGGTCCATTGAAAGTGACCTCACTAGTAGTTCTGCGGTGTCACCTTCCAGGAAAGTTTCCCAACATGACAATGGGAGGCTCTGCCAAGGGACGTTCCAAAATATTTTTTTGTCGCCCAATGCCATACGTGACTCGCCCAACTAGGTAACACAAAACCGAAGGAATAAAGTTTGAAAAGATAGAATACTTTTGGTGCAATTCGGAACGTGTCTTTAGGGGCATTTCACTTATTTCGGCCATTTTTGGCAGCAACCGGCAAGATCTGTCCTGGCAGAGAAAGTAAAAAGGCAAAGGTAAAAGTGCAGCCCTGCCATTGCTCGCTCATGCTGCTGCTGCTGCTAGCAAAAGGGCATCCATTAGAGGTAGCTAAAGGGAGCCCCTCCTTAGGGTATTGTGGTATAGTCTTCCACTCTGGCCAGATGCCCTGGTAGAAGTGGGAATACTCACACCGTACCCCACCACACGCAACCAACTGATCGACTTACTGCACTGCACCCATTTACATTGCAGGGATGGGCAGAGGCGGGATGATTTAAGAAACCTGCTCCGTTGTTTCATCTGCCGAGCCAGGAGATCAAATCGAAACCAGCCACTTTCTGGATTGCTGGTCCAGCGTGAAATCGAGCCCTTTTAAAACTAGAGACTTTCACGGTAGGGGAAGGGGGGGGGGGGTGGGCAGCCGGCATTTCCACACGACTTTTCACAATCAGTGGACCATGTGCTCGTCGAGCAGAACGTCCATGTGCTGCCGATGCTGGTGATTGTTGTTGTTGTTGTTGTGGTTGTGGTTGTTGGCGTGGCGAGCGTGCCGCGCGTGCAGTTGCGGCGGCGGGTGCTGCTGGGCGGCCGCCGTTGTCGTCACGGCGGTGGTCGCGCCGGGCGGCATGAACTGCCGGAAGATGCTGACGCTGCCGTGCCAGAACGTGGGCTGCGGCAGGCGGCCGACGACCTCCCAGCGACCCGCGGCCGGGTCGTAGCACTCCACCATGTCGGACAGCTCGAACGAGTCGTCGTAGCCGCCCGAAACGTACAGGCGGCCGCCCAGCGGCGCCACGCTGCCGCCGACGTGCACCTGCGACGCCAGAGCATCGATTCTTGCGTTAAGATGGATTATTATCGTCGTGGCACGTGGACTGAATCGGGCGCGTGCTTGTAACGACGACGACAAACGATGATAATAGTTGTGATGAATTCATGATGATGATGGTGGTGTTATAATACTGCAGCTGTCGATGCTGACAACAATGCTGCTGTTGATGATGTTGGTGGTAATGATCATGATGGTGGTGGTAAAGACAATACTGAAGCTGTTGATGCAGACGATAATGATGGTGCTATTGCTGCTGCTGCTGCTGATGATGCCAACCACAATGACGGCGATACGACTGTGGATGAAGACGATGATGATGCGGATGATTAACCCGAGGCCACGTCACCTGGTTCATGGGAGGAATCCTGATCCACCTCGATTTTATGGGATCCAGAGCATCCACCTGTGTAGAGTCCTCCCTAAAGGACACAAACAGAACAAAGACACATGCTCACATCATGAGCATGCGCACTAAAAAAGTCACTGGGCAGGATTTGAAACGCATATTTGTGAGATCTCAAGTGCGTGTGTGGATGCACTGTGCTGCGACATTTGTGATTGGACACCACACCTCGTGACACAATGCCGATAGCACAACGGGAATAAAATTGTAAAAAAAAAAAACACAAAAAAGTCAACAAGCGTATCAGGTCATACATATTGTCACATTGTCCTACTGCTGTCTAAAATAATATGGATACAATGTGAACTCTTGAGGTGGTGGTCTCATACAAGGCCATGTGCATTATACACGCACACACACATACAGTATGGCGATGGCTCGTGATAATAAACAAACGATGGGAAAACGAATCCTACGGTCACAATCGTGCCTTTTGCTGTCTGGGAATCCACATTACTCATAAATTGTTTCCAGCCTGCAAAGTGATTTGCTGTCCCGTGAGATTCTCACCGTTTACAGAGAGCGTTAAATTTGGTGAGGAGAGTCGAGGCTGTTTCGGCTGTGAAGCCGCCATTGTGTCCCGGCAGGATTTTGGCGCCTCTCAATGCTGCGCTGTTTGACCGCAGCCCAGCCCGGCATTCCCGCGAAGGGCATCGAGAAATAAAAATATAAAATAAACTAAACTATGGCCAACACTATCGGCGAAATGAATCTCCCCCCGTAAATTAACATCGCACCGACGGCGTGACGGGCACAATTATACACCCCGACGAAACGCGCCACCGACTTAGCCAAACACCTGCCAAACGTCGGCGCCCTACGCACTTGCCAGGACATTCTTTGCGCATCGCTTTACAAGGATGTAACACGTGCTCTCTGTGTTGCTCAACCCAAAAGCCGATCTCTGGTTATTGCAAAACATTCACGTCGCAGCTAAAAGAAACACTCCGTGAACATACTGTACTTGCGAGCGAAAACTACGCAACCTAAATATTTACGTCGGACATTTCACGAGCGTTCTTTTTGGAGAAAATGTTCCGACCGTCGACGCGGCGGAGCCCGGGCAGAGAGACGAGCGGCGCAAGTTGGGAGGAACAGGTCACGGGGCGGGGGCGAGGGTGCACGAGGGAGGGTTTTAAATAAATTCAGAGTCGTTACAACGCGTGGTAAATAATGTTGCGTGTAAAGCGAGCTCGGCTTTGGCACGGGACATTTTTTTTTTGTCGCGCCGGTCTCTGGGTTCGTCCGGGTACGGTGTCATTCTGCCACATTCCACGAGCACTCGCAGCGACATTTATAATTTCTCAACGGTGGCATGTGATGCGTTATTCACGAAAACAACATAAATAGGTCAAGGACGTTAAAGGCTTGTTTACGCTCTCAAACGTACGGGACAACAACAGGTGCTCTTTTAGCGCTGCTTATAACAATGATTTAGCATTTCCTTGTGCGTGCGTCCGCGTGTGTATGTAGGGTGCAGTGGCTATGCAGAAGGTAGCGCACTATGCTATGAACCTGGAAACAAGCGTTTGTTTCAATTGGCCACGACTAGCACGAACGGCAGGTGATATCGAAAGCGGTCCTCCATCATCCCCCACCCCTCCCACCACAAATACAGAAACCCACAGTGAGCAGCATGGAGACGTATGGTCAAATAACCCATTATGACCAGTGCGGTGTGGGCAGTGGATTGAAAAGAAGGGACCGTACATGTACATTCTCGTCAAAATGTGATCCCAATTAAGTAACTTACAAGACGTTATTCAGCATTGGGATGTTAGGCCAATACCAGTTACATTGTGTGTGTGGTTTTTTTTAGCTATGGAACGAAACCAGAGAACCGGGAGGAAACCCACACAGAACAGCCGGGCGGTGTGTGTGGCTATGCACGCCTGTAATCCAGCACTGTCGAGGCGAGGGTTGGCGAATTGCACGACTGTTGCGCAACTGCCTTCACGGTGGGTGGCGAGGTGCCCGTTACCCTGGCTTGCCAGGAAGAAGGCGGTATAGCAAAGTGCGGAACTAATATCATCTGTCCATTCTGTACGGCATAGAGTTTTGTGATTCATTGATTGGAGTGCTGCCCCCCTTGCATGCGTGGGGTTTTCTCCGGGTGCTTCGGTTTCCTCCCACACGCACTGACACTCATTGATCGTCTGAAAACATGTTAATATTAAAAAACATGTTAATATAAAAAAACATGTTAATATAAAACATGTTAATATAAAAAAAAACAATATAAAAAACATGTTAATATAAAAAAACATGTTAATATAAAAATACATGTTAATATAAAAAAGAGTAGAATGCAGGACCCTCCTGAAAATGAGTCCTTGGAATCAGTGTGGCTTTCCAGGGTAAACAAGTATGGGAGATAGTTGATGATCCAGTGGCTTCGGGGAGGAGGGGGTGCCGGATTTTCGAAACGCCAGACAATCACGAATCATTATTATTTAAAATAGCTTATTTTTGAAAATTATTGTACGACACTGTTTCTAGGTGTTGTTATGTTTTTTTTAGTGTTTCAAATTAGTTTCCTGTGTTCAAGTGGCATAAATAAACATCCTACTTTTAAAAGTTACTGTATTTATTGTACTGTACTTACCACTCCAATATGGAAGACTGTATGTGGTGATGTATATACGTGCAGCATTTTAATTACATTGTATGTGGTGTATAATGTACTGTAAAAATATTAAACACTGAAATCAAGCACAGCTATTTCTTTTGTCAGGCACGTGGTGCCGGCCGATAGCCGCACTGGTTACAGCCTTTGGAGCGGTTTCGTCAGTTTCGCCAGATCGGCCGAGGACCGCCGGATAATGTTGCAAGCCAGATAATAGCGCGGTGCCGGATAATCGATGATCAACAGTAATGATAATGCTGATACAGGGGAACGATACAAATCTCCACACACAAAGTGCATCCGTGTCAGGAATGAAACCCCTTCTTGCTCCGGGGAAGGGCGGGGGGGGGGAGAGTGAACAAGCGCTAGCACCGCGCCACCGTGCCGCCCACCTGATAAAGTATATGATCCCGTCGAGCGCCACCACGTCCAGCACGTACGACCAGCCGGGCATGCCGTCGGCGCATTCGATCTCGGCCCACGAGTCGGTGTCGGGCTCGTAGCAGTGCACCACCACGTCGGTGATGACGCCGCCGGCGCCCCAGCCCACGCCGCCGCCGGCCAGCCGCGGCGAGCCCACGGTGTAGACGCGCCCGCGGCACGCGGTCGCTGACACGTTCTCCAGCGGCTGGGGGAGCGGGCGCATCGGGCGCCAGCGGCCCTCCGCCGGGTCGAAGCACTCGCAGCCGTCGGGCGCCACCACGTAGAGGCAGCCGGCGAGGGCGGCGCTGGCGTGGTACTCGCGCGCGCGGCTCATCTCCGGCGCCTCCGACCACTCGTTGACGCCCGAGTTGTAGCGCCACACGCTCGAGAAGACGGTGGTGCCGTCGGAGCCACCTGGCGGTGGCGCCGGGTGGGTAGGGGGGAGTGGGCGGGCAAGGAGGAATTGGGTGAGGAGATCGACCGAGCGGGGTTGGGTGGATGAGAGAAGTCGATGGAAGGGGCAATTATCAAAGGGATTGAATGACTGCACCAAAACCGTTTGCTTGTACAAAACCATCCGTAGCTTCCAATTGAAATAAATTACAGGAATGGGTAGTATGCTTTTGCCTAAAACCCCATACAAATCACTTTATTTTACCTACATCAAAGGTATAAGGCCGTACATAGCTCATCAGCAATATCAGAGTGAGCCCTTACACCTCAATATAAAATGAAAACTGTAAGCACTGCGACAGATGGACTCACAGGTGGCCGAGTCTAGATTTATGGTCATTATGCATATGTAGGTTGGACAAAAGGAAAATGAAAAGTGCGTCGTTTGGAAAAATGGAAGGAACCGGACAGAGGGGAAGACCTAACAGAGAATAGCTTGACGACGACAGAAGAGATCGGTGCCAGAAAAGATGCGGCACTACTTGAGCATGTTGGCACAAGACAGATGGAAAGTAAGCAAATGACGAAATGTGCAGTGGACACCTACGGCTAATCTTCCCATGGAGCGTTTGACAACGATGATGACGATGATGACGATGATGACGATGATGACGATGATGACGGCAAGCACGCCCCCCCCACCTGTAACGTAGATGTCATTTCCCAGAGCGGCGATGCTGTACCCGCCTCCCACGCGCTCGGGCAGGGCTGCCAGGTAGCGCCATTGTCCCGTCACGGGGTTGTGGCAGTCGACCGACACCAGCTCCTCGCAGTCCTGGTCGCAGCCGCCGACCGCCACCAGGATCTCGGCGAGGCCCGTCGACGGGCGCGGGTGGAAGCGCAGCGGGCACAGGCGGTCGTGCCGGTCCTGAGGCGGGCAAGGCGGAGGAGGAGGAGGAGGGGGGGGGGGGCTCGTCACGCCCGGTCGTTCTCCCCAAGTTTTATTCCGCCTCCCGCCTTTGGCTTCGTCGTGCGACGAGACCGAACGTCCGCTCGGATCTCTCGCCGAGCCACGTGTCGCACCGCGTGTTCGAAAGGATATATCACAGGACTACTTCTGAGATCCCTTAAAGTGACCTCTTATCCAGGCCAGGGGTGCCATGATCTCACCCACTGTGCTGTACACATATGAGAGTCAAATAAAACATTTAACTGTTAATTCTCAAGGCTGGCAGTTTAGCCAAAGCAAAAACCCAAACGTAGCGTGTTATTGCGTGCAAGTCATGCGTGAGCCTGGCTGAGCCCATCGGACCTGCTGCAAACAATCCCATCACACACACCGGGCGCCCGTTACCTGCAGGGCGCCCTGGAGGACGCGAGCCTCGCGCAGCAGACGCAGGCAGCGCGGAGAGCGGTGCACCAGCGGCTCGCTCTCGACGTGCGCCAGCAGGAAGAAGCGTCGCACGAACGGGAGACGCACGCGCTCAAACAGCTCGGGCCAGAACCGCTGGCGGTTCTGCTCGCACGAGGAAAGGCAAAGACAAAGAGACCCCGTGTAGCCTTAATAGACCGTCGGGGCAAGTGGTGTTAGCAAGCACCTATGAAGGCCGGCACAGCACACGAGGGGGTGGGAGGGCCAGCACCACGCCCGGCCGCCTTTGTCTCCCTAGTCGTGATGTTTAAAGACCGCATCAGGTACTCATTTGAGGCTGAATCGCCCTAGGGGAGGCCCAGGACCGGTTTAGATAATCGTCACTCGTGTTGGCCATGAGCGAGAATCGAACTCGGGTAGCCGGGTACGCAGTGCAACACACTAACCGTTGCACTACCGCTCCACTCTCACACAAACGCACACGCACGCACAAACGCCGGTGTAAAGACAAAGATCGTCTGCCTTGCAGCTGCAGACTGTAGGTGCAAGTGGTACAGTATTCATGACCGTCTACTCAGGGAAGCACGGCAGCATCAAGGGGTATTGCGATCCGCGCCATGCCCTCAGGAGGTACAGTTTGTAAGTGTAAAGCCCTTCGGTCAATCCAGTGAAGGATGAGGGCCTCCCTACGATAATCCGTTCCTTAAGAGGTGGGCCGCTTTCCGTGCCCAGTCAGGGGGTGCTGGGGGTGGCACCTGTGGGTCGGCGTGCACCCAGCGCAGCGCCAGCTGGTAGGCCGCCTCCTCCTTGTCCACGGAGAGGCGGTCGTCTCCCAGGAGCTCCGACAGGCGCTTGGCGGGCAGCCGCTCAAAGTCCTCGCTGGCGCCGATCTCGGCGATGTGTCCCAGCGCGAAGATGCGCGCGTCCTCCACCAGCGAGGGGCACGCAAACGCCTCCGCAAACGCCTGCCGGGGGGGGGGGGGCGCGTGGGCCCCAACGGGCAGCAGGAGGAGGGGGTGCAGGAGGAGGATTGGGTGCAAGGAGGTGGAGGAGGAGTAGGACGGGGGGTGGTGAGACGCAGACAAAAGGTGGAGCAGGACGAGAAAGCGCGATGAAAAGGGGTTGATGGAGATGGAGAGCAGCAGCAGCAGGAGGAGGAGGAGGGGCGGCAGGAGGTTGAGGAGGAAGAGAAGGCGGAAGAGGAGGCTTCGCAGAAAAGGGAAGGATAAGAGAAGGATCGGTGGACGAAAATGAGACGAGGAACGAGGAGGTGGAGAAGATCGATGAGGGGTGCGGCAAGAGAAGGTGGAAGGGTTTGAAAGAGGGCACAAGAGTAAAACCACAACTCACCTCGTTTTCACACAGCGAGCGAATTGAGCAACCGAATGCAAATACGCATGGGAGGATGAGGATCGGGGTTAAAATTAATAAATTGCTGGGTGAAGACTTCCTCCCCATGGTCATAGGGTTATACACAGAGTTAAGATTGGCGGCAGGGTAGCGTTTGGACAAGCGTCAGATCTATTGTTATAATGAGGGTCATTGTTAGAGCGTTATTGCTAGGACGATGATGAGTTGTTAGCGTCAGGGTGAAGCTAAGGTTCATTGATGTGTGAGGATGTAACAGTTTACTCAATTGATGCATTTATTCATATCCTCACACATCAATGACACACTCGAACTGGAAACTGCAGACTCTCAAATAGGCTATTCAACGTACGCTCCTGAGCTACAACGATCGATTATAAATTAATCGGCGAAATGGCTGCATCGTCGCGTCGCTGCATCGAGATTGCCAGGCGTCGCCACCTGCATGTCCAGGCAGTTGGCGGGGTCGAGGTGCCGGGCCAGGTAGCGGCAGCACGCCTCCTTGACGGCCGGGAACTGCAGGAGGTCGGCGGCCCTCAGCAGGGGTTCGGCGTTGTCTCCCGTGACGCACACGCGCCCCGTGTACGCAAAGTCCAGCAGCAGGCTCAGCGACCCGGCGCTCACCTGGTCGCAAGCAGCACCCACACACGGGGCGTTGTGAGTTCACACACGCGCAACTCACACACACAAGGCGGTGGGTGTCGCGGAGTGGCTCAGGGGTCAGAGAAACCGAGATCCTGCGATCGGATTCAAGCGGTCTCCCGTAATTAATCTGGGTTCTTAAGCGTAGCGGGTTGATGGTCTCGGCTCCGACACAATCGAGTGCACACAAAAATAAACCTGTTACATGAATTTTTATTTTACTTACTTTGGCTAAATTCCAGGTTTGAGAATTAAAAACGTGACGAACATTTTCTTACTATTTTCTTCTTTTTAATTAATTTATTTTATTCTGCCTTAAGCCTCTGTTTTGCATCACCCATGTTTTTTGTCAAGTCGCATCGAGATGCCGTGGCATTCATGCAAACGAATACATGCACAACCTTATCCTTATTTTCCTATGGCAGGGCGTGTTGGATTTCACCCCTCTTTGCAGCTGTAGGTGGGGGGGGGGGGGGGTCACGTGATTCCACATTCACGAACCATAAAGTCGTGCGCACGATCCGATTCACGCGCCGTGGGCAATGTCGAACGCCTAGCGAACAATCGAACGGCAAAAACCATCCGACCGATGGGGTTGGTGGCGACGTCTCTACGCGACGGCACTTGGCTGCCGGAGGGGGTGGTGGGGTTCGAGGGGATCGGTTGGGGTTGGAGGTCATCTCACCTCCTGGAGCTGCACGGTCTGCTCGCGGCTCTCGCGTAGCGGCCCCCCCGCGAACATGGCGCGGAAGTAGGGGCTGGCGGCGGCGAGGACGGCACGGTGGCACGGGTAGGTCAGCCCGTCGGCGCGCAGCGCCACGTCGCACAGCTTTCCCTGCGCGCGCAGCTCGGCCAGCCCCGCCAGCAGGGCGCCCGCGTACGCCGTGTCGTGCTGGCACAGCGTCTCGTCCTCGTCGCTGCCGATGATGACGAAGTCGCCCGCCCGGATCTCGTCCTCCTCCATTCTGGCGCGCTTCCCACCGGAGCGACGGGCGCCTACAGAGATGCACAGGAGTCGCGGGCGTCGCACATGGGGGCAGCGGTTGTGCAAGATGTACCGTATTCTCCGGGTTGCAAGACGAACCTCTGCAAAAGCAAACGTTTAAGGGACGTGTCCTATAATTTCTGTGTTGAGTTTGTTGTCCGTCCCCCGCGCCTCTGATTAGCGCGGTCGGCTAAGTACGGTGCGGAAGAAGTTCAACATACATAAAATCCGGCATGTGGCCTTTAATGCCACCACGGCCACTTCAACCACGATTTTAATAACTTGAAAATTGTCAAGTTCAGGTTTATTTTGTTCTACAAGGTGAGAAGTCAAGAGACCAGGAGAGTCTCATCTGCCGAGGTGACCCTGGGTGTGGCTCTGCCAAACCGAGGAAGGATCATTACAAACGGAAACGCAATCATCTCGTGACATGGCGCTAAGAGCACAAGTTCAACAAATACTAAACAGAATATGTAAATTAAGTGAAATATCCAAAATCACTTGTGTACATATAGTAGTACTAGCTGTACTACCCGGCTTCGCCCGGGACTTGGATTCAACACGCCCGCCACCTTTGTCTCCCCAGTGGCGATGTTCACACAGCAGAGCAGTTACTCGTTTGATGCTGAGTCGATCTAGGGGAGGCCCAGGACCGGTAAAAATAATCGTTACAGGTGGTGGCCGTGAGCGGGAATCGAACTTGGCTCGCCGGGTTCGTAGCGCGGCGTGCTAACCACTACACTACAATGCGTTAAGCTTCCACATGGCCGGGTCACATGAAAGATTTAAAGTCACAGCTCACTTGCCGTGCAAAAAAAAATGCATTCTTGAGCTTCCCCCCCCCCCAAAAAAAAAACAAAAGTCTATTTTTATAATTTTTGCATGCTGTACAGTCTGGAAAGTACCCACATGGCAAATTTCAAGTTTGTTGCATTTCGGAAAGTACGCTAAACATTTTGAACAGACACACATTCACAACTCTGCCTTTTATATATGGAGATAAATCAGCCAGGTGTTGATGTCTAAAGAGCGCTGGACTCAAACGGTTGAAAGTTCAACTCTAGGTCGGTGATCATCTCGGCCCTTCATTGTTATCCCTTCCAGCAGGGATAAAATTAGAACCACTTTATGAAAGGTCAACAACGGTGGGTGTCGTATTAAGACTGCCCATTACAGGAACGAGAAAATGTTCCGTTGTTTTCTCAAGAGGAGCCGTGCAGTTGAGCACTCAGCCACAACCAGTTGAGCATGAGGACAGCTTTACATATCGAACCGAAATATGATAACACACCTATATAGTATGATATAATATTGTTAAGTTAAATTATTCAAATTTTGATTTAAAGCTTTCGTGACTGCAGTAATTCATATTCTTAGCTCTTTCGGTAAAGTCACGTTGAAGGTAAACAATAAAATAATAAAATATATATAAAACAATAAAAATTCTCACGACGTTTCGACCATAACACAAACGGTCGTCATCAGCAAACCGACACACCTGATGACGACCGTTTGTGTTATGGTCGAAACGTCGTGAGAATTTTTATTGTTTTATATATTTTATTATTTTATTGCTTTCCTTCAACGTGACTTTACCGAAAGAGCTAAGAATATTTAAATTATTCACTTCGAAAACATTCATACGGGTGGGGATCTGTAGACAACAGACTGAGGGACTTGGTTTCTAGCCAGTAAGGATACTTTCACAATGGTTTAAAATAACATCCGCTTACAAAGGAAACGCATGTACACTATGTGAATGAAATGTCCACCGCTTTCAGTTTCCAGGAGTTTTCCAGCGTAACGTGCGCCACCTTGGTAAGTAACAGCAGCAGGGCTATTCACCAATAGGAAAGTAGAACTGGCAAGAGGTTCCGTTTCGTTTAAATTAACTTTCTTAGTAAATCACTCCCAAGTCGTATTTATAAACAACATAAAAGCACGCGTGGAATCTCTTTGCCTCTCCAGCACCGACGTGTACCACCGCGTGGGTACACATCTTTTGAATTCATCTTCATCGCCAAACATAACAAAAGTCTGAGAGCAAAAGCATTTCAGGTGCGGTAAAATCACCGCTTCACTCGAGTTGAAAGGACATTCATGTTTAAGTTTTTTTTGCTGAACCAGATGAGAACTCAGGAGATTCCAGGAGAGTCTCATTTGCGAGCAGTGACCTCGGTCACCGAAACGCCGAGAGCCAAAACAGATAAAGGTAAAACGACGAAACGAACAGAAATCGAAAGAGTCGGACCAAAATCGTCCACCAAACCCGAACTTTTGCTTTACGAACACCCCCCCGCCGCCCCTGGGAAGACAAACGCAGACTCCCATCCCGATGTCCGTGCACCCACCACGAAGGAACATGTTGAACAACGGGCGTCACGCACCCACTGTCGCGCAACGCAAAACACACGGACGCCGCAGCATCCTTGTGCAACGAACGAGCAGGGAAGACTCGCAGGCGAAAGGCTCCAAAAAGGCCACAGACGGACGTCGACAAGGGTCAGATGGCCTCTCCCTCTTCAAAACTCACGGGAATCCAAGCTTGAGCAGCCTCCTGTCGCCTCGCTGGCAGGGGAGCTGTCGCAAGTTACCAAGTCGCCTGTGCCGGGAGCGCTGTGGGCGGTGGGGTGGAAGGAAAACTCTGATCGGGATGTCCACCGCCTCTCCCAAACGCGAGCGAGAGCCGCCCGTTATGTACACGAGGCCGCTACGTCAGCTGCGAGGCGTGGGCAAGAAGCACCGGGTGCCGCCAGCTATGCGCGGAGCTTTCTAAAAATAGCACCGCGCGCCAGACGCTTGAAAAACACTCACTCGCGCGGGGCTCAAGCACAACGTGCATCACACGGTGCTGTGGTTTCACCAGAAAAGAACGTTCCCTTGCGGACGCTGACTGGTTGAGGGTACGCGCGGTTGAGTCACGTGGACTTGCGCAAGCTCCACACGCACACAAAGATTCACCTTACAGCCTACGGGGGCGGTTGGGGTGTAAGTGTGCTTGTGCGCCGTTCGTGAGCAACTTATCCACGCCGGCACGGTACAATATGGGGCTGGTGGGGCAACCCACCACACCCTGGCACCTTTGTCTCCCCAGTGGTGATGTTTACGCAGTGCATCTGGAACTCATTTAAGGCCGAGCTGACCAATGGAAGGCCCAGGGGCAGTTCAAATAATCACAACTAAATGAAAACATGTTTTTTTTCTTTTACCAATATCTTTTACCAATAAAGAGCAATATCGCTCTTTTTCAGAAAAGACCTACTGAAGCTGGCCATGGCCAGGAATCAAACTCATGCTGCCTGGTTCATAGCGCAGTACGCAAACCACTATGCTACCACTCCACAAACACACAGATATACGCTGGACATGCTTAAATTTTGGGGATACGTGTCAGAGCAATGGTGGCAGAACCTCATGGCCAGACGTGGTCACGATAAACGAGCCACGCTTTATTTGGGATTCTGGGTACATATTTAAACATTAATGGCCATGCCCTGAGAATAGGAGACACACAAAGGGCCTCTTAAGCGAAGAGAATGAATAATACAGGATGTATTGTGTTGGCCAAACAAAAGCGATTCAACTTCCCAGAGTGGTGACCTTAAGTTTTCTATATATAATACAACTTATATCCCTCTGTCAATCCAAGCTAGATGAAGCCCTCCCCCTTTCACTGCGTCAGGGTCAAGGAGGATTGTTTGACCATACTTCCTCACGCTGGTCAGTTCGGGTTGAAGTGGAGTGGCAAATGGATCTCAAGCCACTGGAGTTCACAGCGCTTCGCGCTAACCACTATGCCATCTCTCCCCCCTCATTTATGCGTGTACAGTCAAAATGTAGCATTAGTCTTATTTTTCTACACACACAGTCCACTGCTGGATGATAGTGTGGGTTTGGTGAAGGTGAGGGACATAGACGTCAGAGCATAGTACGGAACGATGGATGTTGCTGCACCGCTCTCTCTGCTGACGATCTTAGCCTGGCAGCAGCCTTAAAAAACCTGTTATATGCATGGTGGTTGCCTATCCAACGAATAACTTACCTGAAATGCATCAGATCTCAACATGCCAATGTGGTTTAAGCCTGTAGAGTGTTATTATTATTAGGAATGTGAAAATCGAGACAATGGGCAAGACTGAGCTCACCATTTCAAGAAACAAGTTATCTTCTCCAATAGAGTAATAGCCAAACAGGACTCAGCCCCATCATCATCATTATCCCTCAGGAGGGTATCATCAGTTTCGGCTCATACCTGTCAACCCCTACGGATTAACCGTATTCTTGTACAAGGAAATTGAGTTTTCAGGTTCATACGGCATACAGCTGTTTCAATATGGGCAAAAAAAATGTCTATTTGTTTGCGTTTCTCCCTTGTGATGGGACTTTTTAGGATTAACATTGAGATTTATACGGGCACGGGGTGACCAATAAGGTCTGAATTGGTCTGGAAAAAGGTAGGCACTGGTGAAGTTACTTTGTATAAAGTCAACGGTGGTCATTGTTTTAAAGATGCATTGAGCCCCATTAGTGGCTCAAAAGGACAACACGTGTTACTTATTATATGATGTGGAAGCATTGATGTTTTTTTATTTAGAGAAGAATATTCATCGAAAGCACATCTGCTGCTCATATACCAGACAAGACGATTCACATCTGGTCCCTACGGATTCCTGAAGTGAATTAGAAGTTCAACCTTGTACCCTCATAACATCACATTGCAATTAAGATAAAATATGAAAACTTCGCGAGGAATTGTCCAGAATAAAAATTTTTTTGTTACATTGCACGAGGCACGAGACAAAAACTAACATACAATGCATAAAATCAGTAAGCGTACTTCGAGTTAAATGGCACAATCAGTGAGTGCCATGGAAAATGTCCCTTTTTGTAAACATGTTGGCAACAAGAATAAGTAAAGTAGCCAGGGTCCTTTCAACAAAATGCGAATCCTGCTCAAAGTGGTTTCCCATAGAATTTAGCACTGGTGGATTTCCCATTTCCCGTTTACAGCCCTGAGCGAGTGGTATAAATTCCACATTCCTATGGTGAGAGTATATTTATGGATAAATAAAACGTTAACTATATATAACAAAGACAGGCATCGGGGGAAGTTTTGAAGCGTGAGTAAGATACCAGCTCTTCTGCACTGGATTAATATTAGCGGAACACTATTTTTGGCTATTAGATTTTTCATCCGCTGTTGACCAACGGCACAAACTGTTCCCCAAGAAGACAAAAGGGAGCTCTCGCCATCCATCAGGCGGACAACAAGAGGCGAGAGCCAAAGTTGACCTCACCCGCATCGCACATCGGTATCCCGTTAAAAAGAGAAACCCAACTCGAATCGCTTCACTCTGAATTGCCCTGTTCCTATTGTTTTTAGGAGGGCGAGTAATGTTTCATTTTCCACAAATCGTTTCTCCGTCATAGACCCACCCCGCCCACCGAGGGGGGAGTTGAAGTGATGGCGCAGGAGTTGGCGCACCGCGCCGTGAAGCCGGCAAGCCGAGGTCGATTTCTGGCCACTTCTAACATTGGTGGCGAGTGATATCTTAGCCGGGTCCTGGGTCACCCTTTCACCAACACGCACAGAGAAGCGTGGTGAAGCATGGCCAAACAACTCCCGCCGAACAACAAGGCACGAGGAGGAAGCCTTCATCCAGCAGTGGAGCTACAAAAGGTTGTGAATTATTAATATGAAACAATAACAGCATGGTTCCCTCGCCTTTTCTGTAGCGTATGTTTTATTCAGCACTATTTTCTATTATTACAACCACAGCTGCCTCTGGGGGTTAGAGAGGTGGGTGTTTTGTGTTGGTTCAAAATGTTAAACAACTCTCATTCCAACTGGGATAGTAAGCTGAATAACCTCTTAGAGAGGCAGTATTGGGCTATAGAAAAGGTTTAGGGATTAGAGTTAAAGCTAAATTAGATTTGGAGTGTGTTAAGAATATAATAAAATATAGTATGAGCAGTGGAAACAAGGTATATGTTTGTATTTGGCGCCAGAGATAGTCTAAGAGTAAAGTGAAATTGGTATATGGTAGTTAGAACTTGGGATATAGTGAGTTTGTGTGTGGGTTAAGGTCAGTAGTAGAGCTAGTCTAAGTGGGCTGGTTGTTATGTCAGCCAGAATATTACACTCTGGAGCTCAGTGGGAGTTGGGTTATGGGTAACACTAATCTTTGGGTTAAAGCATACTTCAGTTCGAGTGTAAAGTCATTGGATTCGCAACTATATTATCGCCGCTTTCAACCCTTGAAATACTAGTTAGGAGTTGGATCGGCCTGTGTTGAGCTGAGTTTAAGTGGGCTAGGATTACAGTACTCTCACACGACCGTCTTTAGCCTCAACACAGTACCGTACGGCTGACCACAATGATGTCAACCATAAAATACTATGATGATGAAGTTTAAAATAATGATGATCAGTAATGCGGTGACATAAATACCCAAGCGTCATAAGTTATGATCATGATTAATAATGATGAAATATAAATACACGTTTATTCATGGCTTTGCCAAGTTAGATGATGGCGATGTTTATTTATTTATTACGCTAGCAAACTGTGTCAACCCATAGGGTTTCGCCCGTATTCTTGTACAGGCAAATTGAATTTTCAGGTCCATACAGCTGTTTCAATACGGGCAAACATTGTGTGTGTATTTGTGTTTCTCCCTTGTGATGGGACTTTGTAGGATGAACGTTGATATGGCTACAGGGTGACCAATACGGTCTGAATTGGTCTGTAAGAAGCTAGGCACCGATGAGGAGGTTGACAGGTATGAGGTTGTTTACTCAAGAAAGCTTCAACTCAGTCTCAAGAATCGCATTCAGGAGGGTCCTGCCAAACGTTCACAGTAGGGGGCGATGTTGCTACACGTAAATACGGAATTCAAAAACAGGAGAGTACAGTTTGTATTTTTTGTACCACCGGTCACTTAGTGTGTGGTTTGTTTTGTAGCTATGGGAGAACCCGGAGGAAATCCATTAATCACGGGATGGTGACGCATTCCACACAGAACCTTTCCCGAGTAGGGAATCGAACCGAGGTTCTTGCATTGGCAGCTAAATTGCCCAGAAGCCATAAAATACAAGTTCTCATTTCGGGGCACCTCGTCACACAAAGTCAGAACCCCCCTCAAATATGACGTCACAAAGGTCTGCCCCCCCCCCCCCAAGAAAAAACATGCTTCAAATCGCTTTAAACTATTGTCATTGTAGTGCGTTTTTAATATGCCGCTGCACTCTGATGTTGTAATGTTGTAGGAGAAAACATTTATCAAATAGTCTATTTCATTAAGTAGAACGTGTTGTCTATATTTATTAAAGTTGCGCATTTCGATGTGACGTCACATTTCTCAACCCACCCCCCACTCGTGACACATCGTCACAAATGTCTGACCACCCCCCCCCCCAGGTGCGTGACGTCATTTATGGACGTCATTTATGGACGTCCTCTTACACCAAAAAAAACCCAATTAATCTTTAAGCGACAAGGTCCCGTCTCGGTTCCACAATTAACAACACCCACGCACTGCAGATAACAAGAGTCACGAGGTTTTGTGTTTGTTTTGTTTAGAACTTTAGATCATAACCTCCAAGACTTCTTTGATGTAAAGCTTTCGTGACTGCAGGGATTCATATTCTTGGTTCTTTCGGTAAAGTCACCACGTAGAAGGGAAACAATAAAATAATAAAAATATAAAACAATAAAATTCTCGCGACGTTTCGACTGCAACACAAGCAATCATCATCAATAAAATAATAAAAATATAAAACAAAATTCTCACGACGTTTCGACTGCAACACAAGCAATCATAATCAATAAATAAAAAAATATAAAACAATAAAATTCTCACGACGTTTCGACTGCAACACAAGCAATCATCATCAATAAAGTAATAAAAATATAAAACAATAAATTCTCACGACGTTTCGACTGCAACACAAGCAATCATCATCAATAAAATAATAAAAATATAAAACAATAAAATTCTCACGACGTTTCGACTGCAACACAAGCAATCATCATCAATAAAATAATAAAAAATATAAAACAATTAAATTATCACGACGTTTCGACTGCAACACAAGCAATCATCATCAATAAAGTAATACAAATATAAAACAATAAAATTATCACGACGTTTCGACTGCAACACAAGCAATCATCATCAGGAGTGAAAACCAACGATGATGACTGCCTGTGTTGCAGTCGAAACGTCGTGAGAATTTTTGTATTTTTATATTTATTTTATTATTGTATTGTTCCCCTTCAACGTGACTTTACCGAGAGAACCAAGAATATGAATATAGAATTGTTATAACGCTAATTGTTATAACAACACTCCTACAACATCAGAGTGCGGCGCCACATTAACAACGCACTACAATGTTACAATAGTTTAAAGCGATTTGAAGCAAGTTTTATTTTAAAAATGGAAATATGGTTTTGGGGGGAGGAGGGAGGGGGGGGGCAGAGCTTTGTGACGTCATATTTGAGGGAGGGGGGGGCAGAGCTTTGTGACGTCATATTTGAGGGAGGGGGGGGTCTGACTTTTTGTGACGTCGTGTGACGAGAGAGAGAGGGTGGTGGGGGTAAAAAATCGTCCTAAATCGCGTGACGTCATTTATGGACGGCCCCGAATCAATGCTCCCACGGTCTGCCACTCGCCGCCTTCACGAACCCCGCACCGGCGGCCTACCACTCCCCCCCCCACCCCTCCCCAACTCATCCAGCAGCGGAGTGACCAGAGTGCACGCGCGCGGCGTGCTTGTACAGTACACGCGTACAGTATCCGCTCCGCTTAACCCCGGCGAGATAAACTTTTTGACGTAAAAAAAATAATTCGAGTGGCTTTTTTATTGTTAAAGCATTTTCCTCACCTTAATAGGGGCACGGCGGGCTCGCTGGATATCTTTATACGGCTCGCGTCGACCAAGTGACGGTGTTGTAAAGTGTTATAAAGTGTTATAAAAGTGTTATAAAGTGTCAAACGCTTTTACTTTAACTCGGCCACAGGCGGCGCCGCCTCCACTCGGACCCGGCACCTCGCGAGGGGAGGAGGATCCGGGATCCCCGTCGATTCGATTCCCTATCGCGATTCCAAGCACGGTGATTTGATTCAGGAGGAATCGAATCGATCTATGTGTTTATTTAATATATATTTTTAAAACAAAAAGCAGCAAATTTGGGACCTTTCTTGCCAGGATCAAAGTATTAGAATAGGTTTGAAGCTTTCGTGACTGCAGGAATCCGTACTCTTTGGTTCTTTCGGTAAAGTCACGCAGGTAGAAAGCTTTCCCACCTAATGACGAACGCCTTGTGTTGCGCCCGAAACGTCGTGATTTATTGTGTTTTATACCTACGTGACTTTACCGAAAGAACCAAAGAGTAATAATAGGTTTTACCCTTTCTGGCAGCAACCCAGGTGTTAAGGTGTTCATACACCAAACAGAATCCTTTTGCAAGTCCACACACGGTACGTGTGGTGAGCATGCAATCAAGAACATGCTTCCGGGAATATCAGGGTGCTTTAACAAGATGTTAACACTTGGGAGAATTTGCAACAACGCCACAAGAAATGTGTCTCCTCGGGGCTCTGGAGACCGCGTGGAGACGATCCCAGGCGTGTGCTGACAATGATGGCGAACAAGTGAAGCTATTAACATACAATTTGTTATCATAATTGGTTTAAAATCCCTTTTATCTGCCAACAAAACTGACACCTTTTTTTACAAGGATGCACCATACTCTGATGGTGCATTGTCTTTGAGTTGTGCGTCTTTTGGCGTCTTCTGGTCCAACACCATGTGAGACGAGGCTCTAAAGAAAGCTGTCTCGGGTGTGGACCAATCAATTTCAAGGACAGTGCCACATACATTATCAGAGTTGTTGTTTTGTGTTTGCGTTCCGACCGCAGGTATTGTGGTCAATGTAAACATGACTCCTTGTAAAAAAGGTGTCAGTTTTGTTGCCAGATAAAAGGGTAAAAAACCAATTATCATATTTTGTTACTGGCAAATGAGGTTTCCAATGGTGAATTTGTTATCATGTTACAGTGTATCATCCGTTCTTTTTCCATCAAAAACGATAGTCCCATATAAGTGTAGAACATATTTTAAGCACCTTGCATATGGCAGTCTTTTAAACTGATTGTTCTCCAGCAGTGGGAGACCCGATCGTGTATTGTATTGATGCTGTTCACCTTTTGGCGTTCTCTGGACTAACACTGCTAGTGAGACGAGGTCCTAAAGAAGGTTCGTCTGAGGTGTGGACCAATCAGTTTCAAAGACAATGTCATATTATCAGAGCGTGTTTTGTTTGCATGTTCACCACCAGTACTGTGTGGTTAATGCAGACTTGATTCCATGCAAAAGTGTTTCTGTTTGGTGTTTGAACATCTTAACACAACTGTTCTATTGCAGAAAGGGTAAAACCTATTCTTATACGCACCAAATGTATTTAATTATTATTCCACCAGTCAACCCATACAGTTTAGCCGCATTCTTGTACAGGGACATTTTAAGGTCCATACGGCGTACAGTCGTTTTAATACGGGCAAAAAAATGGTCAGTGTTTCTCCCTTGTGATGGGACTTTGTAGGATGAACGTTTGGATTTATAAGGGCACGGGGTGACCAATAAGGTCTGAATTTGTCTGTAATAAGGTAGGGCACTGATAAGGGGTTGATAGGTGTGTAGTGGTGAGTGTACTAGTGACAGGTGTGTAGTGGTGAGTGTACTAGTGACAGGTGTGTAGTGGTGAGTGTACTAGTGACAGGTGTGTAGTGGTGAGTGTACTAGTGACAGGTGTGTAGTGGTGAGTGTACTAGTGACAGGTGTGTAGTGGTGAGTGTACTAGTGACAGGTGTGTAGTGGTGAGTGTACTAGTGACAGGTGTGTAGGCCCCACTGAGCTGTTGAGCTCTTTTTGTCAAAAGTGACCTGGCTATCACGAATGACAGCTCGGTGAAGTGGCTTACCGTCGTGGAGGACATTTAGAGACGTCAAATACTCTAAACCAAAAATGGGGACCTTTTTTCTGCCAAGGGCCATTATAACATCATTCGCGGGCCATACAAAATTATCAACTTAAAAATTAGCCTGTTATATTTGGTCAAACATTTAATTAACTCACCCATAATGTGTTGGCTGGAACTGCTTCTCTTTGGTGAGGCGTGTAATGTTAGCTGGTATTGATGATGCTGCTACTCGCAACTGCTTTTCCAGGTTTGCTCCTAGATTTATTGAATTTCGAGTCCCGCCTGCGGTTGCCTTGGCAGGGCCACACCAAATGATTTCGCGGGGCCGGACGTTCCCCACGTTTATAAATGTGGAGAAAACCCCGGAGGACCCGGAGAAAAATCCACTCAACCACGGGGATAGAGACAGACATGCAAACCTACAAATATACAACAGGTCGGGATCGAACTCGTGACCTACTGCATACCAGGCGAGGTAGTTAACATCTCGCCACCGCGGTGCCCTATTGCACACAATCGGGCGGTGGGAAATATGCAGAAAACCATTAATTTCCGAAGTGGATTGTGGTCCTCTTGTCATCAAAATAAATGTGAGCGATGTGTGGTGCGCCATGGTTGCGAGATGTTAACTACCTCGCCTGGTATACACAAGCTCGTGGGTTCGATCCCGACCCTGACGCCTGCTATATATTTGGAATTTGCGTGTTCTTCCTCTCCCCGTGATTGCGTGGATTTTTCTCCTTCCACATTTAGAAACACGCGATTAGACTACTTTGCTGCTATACATTTCCACGCGATAAGCCACTTTTTTTTAGATGTGGCCAAGGTCGCTTCTGAAAAATAGCTGTACAGCACAGTGGGCCTTACCTGGTTATACATTTTTTATTTAGGTCGAGACCGACTCACGGCAACAGTCGATGCAGTGATTCGATTACCGTGGCCCGGTTTCGTCCTCACTGGGGCCTCACGAGCACTGTCACCAATGCTCGGTGCTGCAAAGTCTGCCTCTAAGCACCAAGTATGTGGAGTCGGCACTTCGCTCACCTCATGGGGCCCCAACGTGCAGAATTCCAACAGTAATGCAATCTGTAAATAACGAGAAAACTCCACCGCAACCGAATAACAGTGCAGGCTGGGAAATCACACGTTTCCAGGCCAGCACTATTATTCCAATGAACGTTTCCCCAAGCTCTGTCCAGTGGTGGAGGTAATTTGACCACAGTTCACTCTGGTCCGTGGAGATGTTATTGCATTTAAAATGCATTATTTACAACACTACGTATTCCACTGCGTTTTTTTACTTAACAGCAATGCGGCAGCCACACACAGCACGGGATCGCAGTCGATGCTTTATTACAATGGAGAGCGGAGGGCAGCACGACGAGTCACTGTCAAAACCACGCGGCATGTTCCGGGCTGGCCGAAATCCACAGCTGGGGTGGGTGGGAGGCAACCTTTACAGAGCAACAATTCACCCAATTGTGGGAGCAACTGCATAGATTAAACACAATTCATGAGCCGATTCCACTCAACGAACCATCTCGTCGGTTAAATCCAACCTTCAACAAACAAAAAAACCTTTGCTGCACGAGTGCTTCCAGTGGCATGGCTGTTGAGTGTGCAGGCGGTGTAACTGCACTGGGGGCCCAGTGCTGGGCTACGGAGATGAGAGAAATCGGACATTGCCAACCGTGCTACGTGACTGAATGCTTCCAAAGTGTTTGTCAGCTCCTGGGGTTTTCGATTCTAAAAACAGGACAAGTCAGCCTCAGGCTTTAGCACAGACCCAGCATCAGTTGTGACCTTACACGGGTTTCAAAATAATGTTAAATATGAATAAATTCCTCGCGTCGGGTGTGACCAAACCAATGTTGGCCAAACACCACCAGTCTGATATTTACAAGCGGCGGCGGCGCACCGTCAGCACCCCAGAGTGAAGGATTGATGCTCGTGCCCTCTCAACTCCGCCAATGACACCACAACAAAGCAGCATTTCCAATAATTCTAGACTCGCGTCGGTCGAAAGGCTCGCAGGTGACAGCGATGGGGGCAGAAAAAAAACAGCCCCAGGTCTGACGAGATCCACAATGATTTGTTGATTATTTGTCGCCAGAAAATGCGACTAAAATAAGGCGTTCGGAGTTCTGCAGTTGGTCAGGGTTTGCGCGAAACTATTCTGTAAAATACCAGCCAAGTCATACACGGAAGCCGTAACCAGATGTATCAATAACCCTTGTCTAATCTGATGCACACCCTTGGAACCATTGTTTTGTTGAGAGATTTAGCATGGGCATTTAATGTAAAATACTTGACTTTTTATGAGGGGTTTACCAACGAATGTGCCTTTGACCAAATCACCTGGTATGTGCCCAATATCATCAGATCTCAGTATTTTGAAAGGTATCCACCAGGTATAAAACAGGTTGTCATAGGGAGGCTATATAATGGGCAGCAGACGGCAGTGCAGCAAACTCCATTGTTGTGCTGTATTTCTATGGCCCAACATCTATTCTCCCCTTCCTCACCAACTCACAATGACCAGCATGAAGCATGGTCAATAAACCCTCATGGCCCATATGGCGTGGGGTAGGCCCTCTTTCAGCAAGCACATTGACAAAATGGCTCCACATGAAAATTGAAATCCTTGTCTGAATGTGACACAGAACCAAGCCTCATGAAGGAGGTTTAAAGTCCATGATTCAATACAAAACCTTGCACTCATTCCACGTAGAACCTTACGTTTCCGTTAGGGTGCATAATATCACTTGATGAACGCGGACCAATTTCACCCAAAAAACATAACGGAGGTTATAAATCCTAAGCGCGCATTGTTAAATACCGTAAAAACGCGTTCACGCGCCGTCACGAACGACTAGTAAGCGATTTTGCTATCAACTCAAGACCGAGCCTTAATCGACTGCGCACAATCAGTCGTCACAGGTCAGCTGCTGCCCTCCTACTGGTTCTCATCTGCTCCTCGGATGGATGTCGAGCGAAGAGTGGGATTCAAAAATAAACCCACTCATCTGTAACGACGGCAACATTCCGAATCGCTCTGGTGGACGAGGGGGGCTACAACTTTACACTCGGCGTCAATAAACATGACGCCGGAAATCGCAACGCGGGTTTCGTAGCAGCAGCAGCAGCACGGGCAATTCTCAGCTGGCTAGGCAGCTGTGCACGCGACACCACCATCTTCATTATCATTCGATGTCAATGGGAATGAAATGATCAGGAGAAATGATACACGCCATGTGCAAGAGGAGAAATCGAAATATTTTCTGAACAAAATATTTAAAAAGTCACCCCCAAACGAATGTAAAGCTGAGATACAACAAAAACAAATCACTTACGTCAATAACATTTCCTAAGAAAGATATAAAAAAATCATGACAGGCGACTTTTCAGGCAATGGTGCTTCTCAGGAACGTGCTGAGAAAGACGGTTTCGAAAAACGTAAATATGCTATGTTGAAGAGGCCCATTGCCTGAAATGCCACAAATGATTTTTCTTTTTAAGGCAGTGTTATTTGTGTTTGTTTCTGCACCACTGCCAATGCAGCAGCATCACCAAGTAACTTGCTTAAAGACTGACTGTTGTGTTGAATGTTTTTTTCCTTAAAACCTTCAATCCACATCAATAAAAAAACTGCTCCTTAAAATTCTGTTGTTCTCTCGTTTCTCTCCAAGTTGGTTTATTACTGAGGGTGTTTAAACGAGATGCATCTTATTGCGAGTTTGGAGAATAGTTCAGCATTCTCTGATGGGGTCTCGAGATAACTGACGGACCAGGCATTAGCAGATGAAAAATAATTATTATTTGTCATATATTAATAGGGGTGAATAAATTAGAAAAAAAAGGTAAGGAGATTTGAGTGAGGGTACACTTTTAATGTATGTCCTTCAATCCTCCTGGGCACTCTTGAATGAGTTTACGTAAACTCATAAACGATCCTATTACGCAGAGCGCAGAGAAAGACACAAATTGTCTTTTTTTGTTAAGTGTTTCTCCCTCCTTTAAAATTGACAATGAATAAACCGTCTGTTCTTTTTGCGTTGCCGTTGTCCTTCTAACACCACACACAGCCAACAACAGAGGCCACTGTGCATACGTTCTGACGTAACTGCAAAAACGTAAATCACCTTCAGGAGAGAACAAAAAAAAACGCACTGCGAAAAATTTCCGGGAATATTTCTGCGGTGCAACAACAGGGACGACGCGCAGGCTCCATCTTTAAGAGTCCAGGGTACGGCACGAGGTGTCAGTGGGGTCACCACGCGATGGAGGTCACGGGGCAAAAGTGGCGACTGGGGAAAGCATATCCAGCCGGGTGGCACAACCTCACCCCCTCTCCCGATGCTGCTGACGATGTATGTGCAGTATCACGAATCATGATCTTCCCAAGTTGACTTGCGGTTGTGTGGCGCACGTTTGCGGCTATAAAGCGGCCAACTTAGAGTTTCCGATGACAAAAACAACGTCTCGCGTGTGCGCGCGCAAGTCTGTGTACGTCTCGTGTTGCCGGGGATGCACAGCACCCACAGAGACACACAGGGCACGGTGCCGGCTGTTTCACCTACGCGCTACAACTCGAACTGTCAACAATGAGCTGTACGGGCCTCAGTGCGCTTCGATCGAGGCACCCTTTCATCATCAACGTTTCCATTATTTATCCACTCCCCCCCCCTCCCCATCAATTCTGCCAAATAAGCCTGCGTCCAAAGGGAAAACCGTAATGTGCTAACGAGCAGACAGATGGACAATCGAGCGATTAGGCAGATGAACCGGAAGGTGGACAAGTTAATAGATGAATCTGCAGGTGGATTAGCGGAATAAGTGGATTAGCGAGAGTAGGTGGAAGAGCGAGAGACCAAGTTGATGAGTGGGTTGATGAGCGAGCGAGCGAGCGGGTGCATGAATGAGCAAGTGATTGAAAAGAGTGAGCGAGTAGGTGGATTAGCGAGAGAGTAGGTGGATGAGTGAGCGACCAAGTTGATGAGTGAGTGGGTTGATGAGCGTGCAAGCGAGCGAGCGGGTGCATGAATGAGTGGTTGAAAAGAGTGAGCGAGTAGGTGGATTAGTGAGAGTAGGTGGATGAGTGAGCGGGTTGATGAGTGAATGGGTTGATGAGCGAATAGGCGACCGAGCGGGTGCATGAGCGAGTAGGTGGATTAGCGAGAGAGTGGGTGGATGAACCAGCACGTAGGCGAGTGAGCAGGCGGATAAAGCGATTGAGAGGGGCGGCGGGTGGAGCCTGTGATCGTGCAAGCCAGCGCGACCGCGGCGCTCAGATCATGCCCTCCTTGCTGAACTGCTCGTGCAGGACGTGCTTGTACTCGTCGAAGCCGCCGTCCACCCTGCGCACGCCGCGCTCCTCGCACACCCAGAGCTCTCGGCACACCGTGCGGATCAGCCGCTCGTCGTGAGACACGAGGATCACGCCGCCCTGTGGACAGAACCGCACGCCGAGAATCCATCATTCGCCATCGATGCTAGGGGCGCGTTAACTTTTTCAAGTGCAGGGGGCCCACACATTGCAATACTCAGAGCTCCCCACCGGGGGGGGGCCAAGAGGTTCACGTGAAAACACGCGACTATGACACCACGTTGATAAGAGCGACGTCATATTGGCGAATGCAATATCGCACTGATGTATGCAACATGTATAATGGAACTTCTTTCGCAACATACGTAGCCAACCGTGCTAATTGGCGGTGCGATATCACGATTGCGAGAGCGACGTCACGTTTTGGATGTTTCCAAGTTACCCTCTTCGCCTGCGAGGAGCGGGGGCCGGCCTGCGGGCCATAGTTTGCCCACCCCTGATCTGATGCCTTGATGATGACGATTTGCTTATTGAACTCGACATACAACAGAAGCAGTGCCCACCTTGAACTTGTTGAGGGCACAGCCGAGGGCCTCAATCGTCTCCATGTCCAAGTGATTGGTCGGCTCGTCCAGGATGTAGAAGTTTGGACTGGGAGGCGACACGCGGTCAGGGCAGTCATGAAACCATTCACCACCACTCCACCCACAACCCCCCACCACCCCCCCCCCCCCATGGCGAGGGTGAACGTTGGGTGAGACTGCAACCATTGAGAGAAGAATTTGGCAAGGTCTTCACTTGGGGAGTGTTAAAATGTGGTTACATGTTCACCAGAGGATCCGGTGAAGCTCTGAGAGATGGTGAAAATCTCACTGGGATATGGCTCTCACCTGGGCATGGCTCCCACCTGGGGCATGGCTCTCACCTGGGGCATGGCTCCCACCTGGGGCATGACTCTCACTTGGGGCATGGCTCCCACCTGGGGCATGGCTCCCACCTGGGGCATGGCTCTCACCTGGGGCATGGCTGTCACTGGGGCATGGCTGTCATCGGGGCATGGTTTTCACTGGGGCATGGCTCTTACCTGGGGCATACAGTGAGGGAAAAAAGTATTTGATCCCCTGCTGATTTTGTACATTTGCCCACTGACAAAGAAATGATCAGTCTAGAATTTTAATGGTAGGTTTATTTGAACAGTGAGAGACAGAATGACAACAAAAAAATCCAGAAAAACGCATGTCAAAAATGTTAGAAATTGATTTGCATTTTAATGAGGGAAATAAGTATTTGACCCCCTCCCAATCAGAAAGATTTCTGGCTCCCAGGTGTATTTTATACAGGTAACGAGCTGAGATTAGGGGCACACTCTTAAAGGGAGTGCTCCTAATCTCAGCTTGTTACCTGTATAAAAGACACCTGTCCACAGAAGCAATCAATCAATCAGATTCCAAACTCTCCACCATGGCCAAGACCAAAGAGCTCTCCAAGGATGTCAGGGACAAGATTGTAGACCTACACAAGGCTGGAATGGGCTACAAGACCATTGCCAAGCAGCTTGGTGAGGTGACAACAGTTGGTGTGATTATTCGCAAATGGAAGAAACACAAAAGAACTGTCAATCTCCCTCGGCCTGGGGCTCCATGCAAGATCTCACCTCGTGGAGTTGCAATGATCATGAGAACGGTGAGGAATCAGCCCAGAACTACACGGGAGGATCTTGTCAATGATCTCAAGGCAGCTGGGACCATAGTCACCAAGAAAACTATTGGTAACACACTACGCCGTGAAGCACTGAAATCCTGCAGCGCCCGCAAGGTCCCCCTGCTCAAGAAAGCACATATAAATGCTCGTCTGAAGTTTGCCAATGAACATCTGAATGATTCAGAGGGCAACTGGGTGAAAGTGTTGTGGTCAGATGAGACCAAAATGGAGCTCTTTGGCATCAACTCAACTCGCCGTGTTTGGAGGAGGAGGAATGCTGCCTATGACCCCAAGAACACCATCCCCACCGTCAAACATGGAGGTGGAAACATTATGCTTTGGGGGTGTTTTTCTGCTAAGGGGACAGGACAACTTCACCGCATCAAAGGGACGATGGATGGGGCCATGTACCGTCAAATCTTGGGTGAGAACCTCCTTCCCTCAGCCAGGGCATTGAAAATGGGTCATGGATGGGTATTCCAGCATGACAATGACCCAAAACACAAGGCCAAGGCAGCAAAGGAGTGGCTCAAGAAGAAGCACATTAAGGTCCTGGAGTGGCCTAGCCAGTCTCTAGACCTATATCCCATAGAAAATCTGTGGAGGGAGCTGAAGGTTCGAGTTGCCAAACGTCAGCCTCGAAACCTTAATGACTTGGAGAAGATCTGCAAAGAGGAGTGAGACAAAATCCCTCCTGAGATGTGTGCAAACCTGGTGGCCAACTACAAGAAACGTCTGACCTCTGTGATTGCCAACAAGGGTTTTGCCACCAAGTACTAAGTCATGTTTTGCAGAGGGGTCAATACTTATTTCCCTCGTTAAAATGCAAATCCATTTATAACATTTTTGACATGCGTTTTTCTGGATTTTTTTGTTGTTATCCTGTCTCTCACTGTTCAAATAAACCTACCATTAAAATTATAGACTGATCATTTCTTTGTCAGTGGGCAAACGTACAAAATCATCAGGGGATCAAATACTTTTTTCCCCTCACTGTAGCTCTCACCGAGGCATGGCTCTCACCTGGATCATGGCTCTCACCTGGGTCATGGCTCTCACTTGGGGCATGGCTCTCACCTGGGGCATGGCTCTCACTTGGGCATGGCTCTTAATTGAGCATGGTTTTCACCTGGGGCATGGCTCTCACCTGGGGCATGGCTCTCACTCGGGGCATAGTTCTCACTGGGGCATGGCTCTCATCTGGAGCATGGCTCTCACCTGGGCATGGTCATCTGTGCGAAGGCGACGCGGCTCTTCTGCCCCCCGGAAAGGCTGGCGACGGGGCGCACTGCGAGCTCTCCCGACACGCCGTAGAGACCCAGCTGGTGGCGGTACTCCTCCTCCGAGCGGCCTGTGTGTCGCACACGACACTCGCTACAGCCACACACTCGTTCGCTCCCTTCTCTACAGCTGGGGCCCTGTCAAGTAACTTTGGCTGGGGCCCTGCCAAATAACTTTGGCAGGGACCCATATTAGCTACGCACCTTCACGGTTTTGGAATGACAAAAAAAAATGTGGGTTCATCTTTACCGTGTGAACTAAACGCCTGTGCCTGCTTTCCTCTCACTAACGCGTTGATGTCTTACTTACAACAAATAATACACATCCACCGCAAAATGTAATTGCGTATCGAGTATGAAGTTCTTGCAGTGACAGAAGTGACCGAAACATAGCGTTAAAATTAGAAACTCGGTGTTTTTGCCGAGTCAAAAATATTCCCCTCTAGTAGTTTAGTGCGGCGAAGATTCTTGCTGCCGGCCAAGTGAAGTGAAGTCACAGGTCATGTTTGGCCCACAGGCCATATGCTCTCCAACCCCTGGTCTATGCTGCGTGACCAGAGGTTCCCACGAACACATACATACACGCAAGTGTGTGTTTATAACGTCTTTCGCACCGTACGTAGCCAACGATGTGTCAAGAGACGGACCTGAAAACTTGGCGGCGAGCAGCTCCACTGAGTTAACGTTGAGGTCGAGTTGATCCACGTGGTGCTGGCTGAAGTAGCCCAGCTTCAGGTTCCTGGTGGTTCCCAGATGGTGGCCACAGTGCAGGCAGGGCAGAGGTGAGACAAGACAGCACAGGCAGCACAGGCACGCAGTGCAGTCAGGAACACGGATTATACAGCATCAGGCAGGCAACGAGTCACACATGGACCATTCTGGCCTTAACAGGTGCTTGATAACAGTACTTTTCCCCATGGCTATTTGCAGGATTTTTTTTTCCTTAGTATGCATGTGTACTAACTAGAATCACCTGTGTGCATGCCGAATGCCTTGCACTGGTGACAAGTTCCCCATGAGAATCTTGAGCAGGGTCGTTTTCCCAGCCCCGTTCTCTCCAACCTGTGGCACGCGCACACACATATATATATATACCACACACACACATTCATAACCAACATGAAACACAGGGCACACACATATACCACACAAACACACAAGACGCACACACCACACACAAAGAGAACAGATACCCACATCCAACATGAAAAAAACAGCACACATAAATATACAAACATACCACACAAGCATAACACATACCACACACGCATATACCACATACACACCACACACAGAGACATACCACACACAGACAATGGACACAGTCAGATATAGAATCATGTATTACGCCTTTGGGCAGGGGGTCTCGGTAGTACGATCTTATAGAGAAAAGATAACATTCCAGACATTGGGAGCAGCTGCAGGGAAGGAACTTCCTTCCTTCAAGCAAACCTCGACCGAGGGTTTTTACCAGTTGGAGGAAGCCAAAACAAAACAATATTTATTTTACCAGGAAAGGCCCACTGAGTTATTTAGCTCTTTTTCAGAAGCGACCTGGCCACAAATCATAGCTCAACGAAGTGGATTATCATTCTGTGGAAATTTACAGCAGACAAATAATCGAAACACATATTTCTAAATGTGGAGGGAAAATCCAGAGGACCCGGAGAAAAATCCATGCGTTCACGGGGATAGAGACACGCAAACTCTAAATATACAGCAGGCATCAGGGTCGGAATCGAACCCACGACCTCCTGTATACCACGCGAGGTAGTTAACATCTTAACACCGTGGTGCCCTGTTGAGTGTGCAGGCATTGCAACTGCACCGAGGCCTACGATCAGAAAGGGGTCCAGGTTTTGGGCTACAAATAGGGGACAAAACTGAACACATGGTCCCAGTTCACTCCTTGCTTGCACAAGGGACCGTGTCAACCGCATCACTTGGGTTTGACAGGAGGCCTCAGTTGCTGGAGCAGAGGGGCGCACATGAAGGAGAGTCGGGAGTGATTGCAGCCATAAGTTAACGTGGCAGCGCCGGGATGGGGCACATTTGGAAAAACGATCGGGGCGAGAGGTTGTGCAGGAAACGCGACGGCGGTGGTGGCAGGGGGCGACGCACAATGCAAATGCGTGAGTCGAAGTCGGCGGAGAGGCAGACGTTGTGGAAGATGGGATCCCCGGGGTTGTAGTAGAACAACACCTCGTCGAGCTGCAGGATGGGCGGCGATAGCTTCTCAAAGCCGTCGGGGAACCTGCAACGATCGCAAGGCGGTGGGGGGGGGGGGTCACGATGGAATGTACGCATGCGTGGAAATCTCAGCGAGTGAATTAATCGATCATTCAATCGCGTGCGTCTCAAGTTTGTAAATGATGGCGTTTGTTTACTCAAAGACTCAAGACCCTTTTTCAGGATTGAAATGATGTACCGATTCATCAATTCCTTAAGCTCACACGCATTTTTCATATTCTTTGGGTCTTTCAGTAAAGCCAAGCGCAATCATTATCAGGTGAAAAATATAGCGGGCGAGCTGCTGAGGCAGGAAAAAATATATATGAATTCCTGCAGTCACGAAAGCTTTAAGTCAAGACTCGCACACATTACATGCATCTAATTGCGTGTGTAAGATTCGCCACTCTTCAATTTGTATTTGTTGTATGTAGTGGCTTCCCGCGATCCCTCCAGCCACTAGAGGGCGCTATGTTCACCACAATGCGGTCGCGGCGGCACATGCCGACTAAGGTGAAGTGAACTCGGCGAAACAAGCTGAGAGATGTCATTTGTAGCGGATTAAGAGGCGCAACTGGGAAGGCCCAGCAAAGACGAAAAAGGCACCAAAGAACTTACTTCAGCATGACCTCAGACTCCTTCTCTATTGGCGTCAGCTGTGGGCTGCATGTGGGCAGAAAGAGAAGATGGGGGATATAAGAGTTACAACGAGGCAGCTTGTGGACTGAAATAACAGCTTGGGTGAACAGCCACAACCACAATGATCAATCGCACTCCTACTTAAGTGTTTGCCATTCTAAATTTAAGTTAGCCGAGTTTGTGTGTAGTCTGTTGTCCACACCCGCAAACCTCCGATTAGCATGGTTGGCTACGTATGGGGCGAATAAAGTTCAACATATATACATAAAGACCACAAATCATCATCACCCATGGTTAATTCACTGCTTGATGAAAGGCTCCCCAACCTGCCACCATCTCAACAATATTTAATACATTTTACACAAGTAAAAGAGCAAACTACGCTTGCAATGACCACGGTCCTGAATGCCACAATACTTTCAGCAACAATAATATCCTTTACCCCATTGAAGAAATCCACCGATATAAGCGGTTAACACAAAGCTCTGCACAGATGGATTCAAGAATGCATTGTTGTTTTACCACCATCTGCTGGAATACACAAAACACATCTTGTAAAGTGGAGTGCGATGTTGATCGAGCAAAGAGGACTCCTCCCCCGCCCTACAGCCACCCCCAACAGCCACAATAAACTTCCGCCTTGCCAACATTGAAAGAGACGCTCACAGTTTCTCCAGAAGCTTGAGCTTGCTCTGCACTTGGGAGGCACGGTTGGCATTGTACCGGAAGCGGTCGATGAATACCTGCGAGAGCAAAGCGCGTTCCGTCATTAGCACCACGGGTTAAGTAATAAAAAAAAATTCGACACCGGGGGCGTCTCGGGGTGCTTTACACGCAATAAGCGACTAGCATCACGTCTCATCTCACGCAGTTTGGAAGGGCACCCCGAGTGGCTGCTGTCCCTGTGGGCACAAGAGTGATTTAACACCACACCTGTAATTGCGCGTTATGCTTCCAGTAGAGGGGGAAACGATTGCTTCTTGTAAAATACAAATTCAGTAATTTGTAGTCACAATTTTTCTGAACTGGACAGTTACGCCGGCAATGCCCAAGTTTTGCGAATGACAGCAGGGCATCTTTAACGTCCACTAGTAAACTGACGATGCGTAGTGTTTTTTTTCTGGTTAACACAACCGCAGTAATAACCAGGGAGGCCTGCCAAATTAAAAAAACCGCGAACCTCTGCAACAAGCGGGTGAACGGACATGCTACCGCTCTGCCACATTTCACTGCCACCGAATAAACCAAGCTGCCAAGCCAGTCCAGTCTCACGCTGCCTTCCACCGCCCACCATCAACGCGGCGTGACGCAAGCGTGAACGCACAAACGCATGCACGCACCTGTATGTGCTCACGGTACTGCATCTGGGCCTCGAACTCGCGCTGCTGGTTCTTGAGCCGCTCCTCCTTGGTCTTGATGAAGGCCTCGTAGTCCCCGCGGTACGCGTCGAGGCGGCGCGAGTGCAGGTGCACGACGTCCGTCACCACCGCGTTCAGGAAGTTGCGGTCGTGAGACACCACCAGGATGGTCGACTTCCACGTCTGTGGGCACGTGCACACGACACGGTCGCGGTTAGCGTGCTGCGCTACTGACCCGGCGGCCCGAGTTCGATTCCCAGATACGGCGAACACTAAGGGGTGATTATCTGAACTGGTCCTGGGTCTCACCCCAGGTTGACTCAGCCCTGATAAAGGCAGACGGATATAGAATCACCCGTAGAGGAAATGGCCAAGCAGTCAAGCAGAGGGACGACAGACAGACAGATAAAATCACGCTGTTGTCTGTCCCTCCATCTGTCTGTCCTTCCGTTTGTCTTCATGCCAAAGGAACAGACAGTGGTACAGAGAGATGAAATCACCAAACAAAGGCAAAATGACACCGAAACAAACAACAGATGAAATTGTTACCAAGTAGAAAAACCCTATGGCCAACGAACCTGGAATATTGCCTGATAGTCAGATCGCAGAGGCTAAGCAAGGTTTTGAGCCTGGAACATAGTGCTGGGGACGGGCGACCACCACGCACAAACAGGATGTTACAGGCTGCTGCAGAGGCTACGTGTTGGGCAGCAGAGGGCAACGCAGCAAAATCCATAGTGGAACGCCACATCTGTGCAATCACGTCTCCGCTCCTCGCCACCACCAATCCGCACTGGCCGGCGTGGTGAAGCCTGGTCAGGGGCTCTCTTCCAGCAGTGGATTGACATGAGGACTATGAATGTACAAGGAGAAGAGGTGATGATCACCTGCAGGTAGTTTTCCAGCCAAAGGATGGCCCTGATGTCCAACATGTTGGTGGGCTCTGTGACAAAACAACCATAAGAGCTCAGAGAGAGACACACACAAACATAAAACATGTGCCTGTGACCTAGGTCTCTCCTGTGAGAGACGTGGTGTGCCAATGAGCTTTCACAGGTTTTAAATATAAAAAAGAAAATGCAATGTAAGTGGGGCTGGCAAAACATCCCAATGTAGAGAAATTACCTGCAAAGTTACTCAATTTGGATTACACGTATAACAACATTGCCCCCATATTGCAAAAAACGTGACAGCACTGTCCTGAGAAGCAGCATTCAGACTCAATATTTTACTTGTCTATCCAGGATAGTGATGCTATCCTATAGTGAGGCTATCCTGGGCTAACAAGCATAATAATAAAGCAAACATATAGATAACAAATTGAAAAAAGCACGGTTAAAACAAGCATGGATTTCAGAGGGCCCCAACTCACCATCAAGTAAGAGCAGGTCAGGCCTGAGGGACAACAGACATGAGGAGTTTTACTCTCAATCAATTCAACACAACTCTTATTCCATAAAAAAATTACGAGCTATGAAAAGCTCGAGACATGTTGAACCAGATTTAAACTTGTTCACATGAGAACGCCTATATTTTGTGCTGACGTTGGGGGGGGGGGGGGAGCACTCTTGGCCCATCATATTGGTCACACTTATCTGTGCATTTTACCACTTTTTTCCACGCAAAAAAAAGCCGTGGAAAACGGCGAAATTTAGCCACAGCCATTGGAAAACATCATCAACACCAAGTTGAACCCCAGTGACAAAGTGATTTGCATGAAAGCTTCCTCCACGCGGCGTGTCGGTCACCAGGGCTGTTTGGCCATACTTCACTACGCGCTGGTCAGTGCAGGTTCGCGAAGGTGTGGTTCACGGATGCGAAAGCACGAAATTACAGTGCAACAATAGATTTCGCAGCGCTGGGCTCTGATATTCACCGCATAGCTCGCAGCAGCCTAAATAACATCCTGCTGTGCATGGCGGTCACCCGTCCAAGCACTGTCCGGGCCCAACCCTGCGTAGCTTCCAAGATCTGATGATACGTGGCATATTCCCATTGACTGAGTCATTGGCCGAACTAATAGAGATTGCTAATAATCATTTGACTTTTACGTACAAAAACCTTAGTCGTGTGTTGTGCAGTGATACTCACTTGGCAAAGAGTGCTCTGGCGAGCGCTAGCCTCATGCGCCACCCTCCCGAGAATTCCCTGTTGACGGAAGATAGCAAAAAAAAAGGAATGCGTGCACGTGAGCCGCCGACATTTATACACGCGACGCTGGAGCAGCGAGTATAAATTGGTCGCCAACCCCTCAATATTCCTATTCTTTCGTACGGATGTTAATTGATTATCAACGATAAATCTTTGCCGTCGGGGGTTGTAAATCCAGCCTTTGGCTTTGGAGGACGACGAGTGAATCCCACTAGCGCCCTCGTGGAACGCTCGCAGCGGGACACGGGTTCGCGTTGTGTCCCACCCCGTTTGTCGCAGCGCGCCCACGGTCTATTGTTCAGTTTTCCCTTCGCGGGAAAGGTGATGGTTGCACCTGCCGTGGTCGGCTTTCCCCGAGAAGCAGCTTCGTGGAAGACCCAAACCCCCCCCCCCCCCCCAGCCATCGGGAAGCTGGCAACCAAACACAACGAAAAAGGGGGGTTTGGTGACGATGGGTTTGTCCTCACCTCGTCGGCTGCTGCTGCATCGTGGGCGTGAAGCCCAAGCCGGCAAGGATGACGGAGGCCCTGTAAGCATTCCCCAAACGGGTGTCAATTCAAAACGTAGCGCCATGTACTTGCCAATGAGAAGATAATGTATCCAATCAGAGAACAAAAACGAATCTTATACAGCCACTTGCAACTCGCCTGCGGGATAGTCTAAATTACCCACACGCGCATGCGCAAAACACACACGGGGCCACAGATGGGACGGACAAGAGACAAAACACGTACCGTACGCGGCAATTGTTCACACAACACAGAGGAGACCATGGACATACACTGCCGGTGCCAGGCGCTCGTGGCTATGCTGCACAAATTTGTGAAACTCCCCCACCGAAGCCGCCATCTCCTGGCTTGCCAGGGTTTGGCAATAAAGCAGGTGCATTAGTTCCTATCTGTATTCCATCTGTACGGGGATTGACTGTCATTCCCCGAGCAAGGGTGGGTATTGTCCGGGCACTCCGGTTTCCTTCCACGTGTATGAACACTCATTAACGGAGTAGGTCAAACATCCCAATAATGGGCCACAGAGTTTGGGCAATTGTTGGCACCGGTTCTGGCGCTGTCTTCTGGCTTGTCTGTGGTTTCCCACGCCTCTGAATCATTCTCCCTATCTCTCGACATTGGATGGAAAGAATGCCAGCTACAAATTATATTATATTGTTACACACACAAGCCAAAATTCAAACACTTATACAATACAACATATGAGACAACACTTAAGTACACAAACAGAAGATGACCACCTAAAAAAACACACAACACACAAATGCCCGAGCCAATACTCACAAACATAAATATACACCAGAAAAAATTACACATGCCATAGGTGCCACACACGCCACACAACAAACAAGACACGGCACACGAGCGGGTGGTGTAGATATCACTGCGCCCAGCCACCTTCATCTCCTCAGTGCTGATGTTTTACACACCGTATCAGGTCCTAATTTAAGGCTGAGTCGACCTAGGGGATGCCCGAGACCTATTCAGATTTTCATCACCGTTGACCATGATGAGGAATCAAACATGAGTTGCCAGGTTCTTAGCGCAATGCGCTAACCACGACATCGCCACACCACACGCACATACTCGCACAACAAGACAACACCTACGATGCTGACCCCGGAATAATTATCGTGGCGGGACTAACGAGACGTGGAGGTGTTTTAAACAATGAGGGCGCGTTTCCTGTATTAGTACGGTCATGCAGTACGACTGGAAGACCTAAAAATTTCGAGACCATGATGATGAATCCCTGTGCGACTCGCACACGGCAGGAGACGAAACAGAACTATGCCAAGCCCCGCGTGTCACCTGGCAGGCGCCTTGTCGGCCTCGATCTCCTCCAGGCGGGAGAACACCTCGGTCAGTTGCGCCGCCTCCGTGCCATCGACCCTGTGGCGTGCGCGGAATGAGAGAACAACGCGAGTTCATGGACGCTGCATGGTCACCGCACCTTGGTTATGAAGTCAGTGAGAGCTCATCCAACCTTAAAAGCGGCACTCTAGATTATCCACGGACAGAATTGTCCGGGTTTGTAAATTAACCGTGCTTGCGGAAAAAAAGTTTATTCTATTTCCGCGGGCACTAGTTTTATAGTTAGCCGCTGCTCCGCTCGTCGTAGGCGAATGACTCAGTGGCCACGTGACCCAAAATGTCCACAACCGATTACAATAAAAACAGACGGCACACTTTGAGTCTTTACCCCAATGTTACAATGGTAAAACAATATTATTATTTTTCCTATAATCTACATATATGTTCCGCATCGTCGGCAGAGAGCCGGTTGGCTGCCAGAGAAAGCAGGAGGCGGCCGGCGACGTCCCACAAGACGTCTGCGAAAAATAACTCATCTACATCATTAGACCTCCTTTGCCAGTACCAAAATGTAATAATAGGGTTTTGCCCCTTTTTTTGGCAACAAAACTGAAACCTTTTACAAGGATTCATGTCTGCATTAACCACAATACCTGCAGTCAGAATGCAAACAAAAAACATAATATGATAATATATGCATTGTCCTTGAAACTGATTGGTCCACACCAAGGGATGGCTTTCTTTGGTATGGACCAATCAGTTTCAAGGACAATGCATATATTATCATAGTATATTTTTTGTTTGGATTTTGACTGCACGTATTGTGGTTAATGCAGACATGAATCCTTGTAAAAAGGTTACAGTTTTGTTGCCAGAAAAAAGGGGAAAAACCCTATTATTATTATTAGAACTTCATAGCTCATCAGATTCCTCCCCCAGTCTAAATAAAGTTTCTGATTCTGATTGATTCTGTCGCGTAAACCACGGCTGAGTGGCGCCGGCACCGGTGGTGACGGAAGACTCACACGCCGGCGGCGAGGCGCTTGTTGAGCTCGCGTTCGCGCAGCAGCAGGCTCTCCCGCTCCGTGTCCGACTCGAGCACGCTCTGCAGCGCCGGCGTGTCATCGCCCGCCACCTCCTGCTCCACGTGCAGCACCGAGATGTGCGTGGGCACGCGCAGGCTGCGGCTGTAGGGGGGGGGGCGGAGGGGGGAGCAGGGAGGGTTAGGAGGGAGGCGGCAAAGTGTGCATGCACGAGGGAGAGTTTTAGAGCAACGGCGGATGATCGATGAAGCGCGATTTAGTTCCATACGGCCGGTGGCCACAAGAAAGCCTACCACTTCGAAACGTCCTGGGTTCCTGGCAAAGCGCCCTAACCACCAAGCCATTGCTCCACCAGATACACGCCAGACAATTATTCACAGACGTACAATCGAGCAGCCGCCTTTTTCTCCCCAGTTCTGATGTTTTCACACACCGTGCCAGGTACTCGTGTTTTCCGCGACACAACAACAATAACCGCCATTCGCCATGAAGTGGCGGTGATGTCACCGCGGCGCTTGTGAGAGGCGATGTGCACGTTAAGGCCACGTGAAGTGTCGAAAGCCCGCTGGCAGGTCACGGGACAGACCCAGGTGCCATGGGTCAACTGACTGAGATGACAGGCCGATGCACTACCTGTGCCCCCTATTAGCAGCAATATATACATGCCACGACACACATTACCCAGGAAAGCCTCACTGAATCTCAACTCTTTTTAAGGATTCTCCCGAGTTTTCGCAGCAGGGGGCAATGTTGCTGCGTGTAACCCCAATTGAGTAACGTTGCAGGTAATTTTCCAGCATTGTGATATTTTGGCCAGTACCAGTTGCGTTCCTTTTTATTTGGAAGGAAACTGTTAAACCCGGAGAAAATCCACACAGAACACGGTGAGAACATACGAACTCCACACAGAAAGGTGCCCGAGTTAGGAAACGAACCCAGGGCCTTCTTGCTGTGAGACACAAGCGTTACCACTGAACCACCCTGATGCCCAAAGGCGCCGCTCACTTGGCGATCATCTTGAGCATCGTGGTCTTGCCCAGGCCGTTCCTGCCGATGAGGCCGTAGCGCCGACCGTACACGAGGAAGAGCTCCGCGCCACACAGCAGCGACCTGCACCGGGAGAACATCCACGCTCGTGCCCGTCAGTCGGGCAAACCATGTTCTGTTCAAGCGGCGGCAGCAGTAATGAGAGAAGCGGCAGAATTCATAGGAGACGCAGCAGGAGTAAGGGCAGCAATACTAAAATCATCATCGGCAACCATAGCTAAAGCAGTAGAGAAAGCAGTGGCAGGGACGGTAAAAAGTAGGATAATAAGCAATGATAAAATGAGAATCAGCGGCAGCAGTAGTATTATTGGCAATGTCAGTACACACGTACATACACACCTCTCTCCAAAGGAGATGTCGAAGTTCTCTATGCGGATGTCGAAGGTTTTGTTCTTCCCAGAGGCCTCTAGCTTGGTGTCCTTCCGGCTGGAGGCCTGGCTCGCCGACGCCTCCTCCAGAATCCTGAAGCAAATGGAGCCGCAGAACGTATTCATTCATTTGGCGTTGTGGTCATTCATTTGTTTGTTCATTCATTAATGTGTTCATTGATTGGGGAAATGTCGATGAAAATGGGGAGATGTGGACTATGGTCAGACTCTTAACTCATTGTAGATGGCAGCGCTGATTTAGCAACTGATTAAGATGCTGACCATATATAATGTAATACAGTTGCGGAGCACAACCCCAAAGCCCCAAAAACATGATGCAGCCAGCAACAACCAGCCCTATCAAAGTTGTAATAGATAAGAATTAATACATTTCTCAAATTGAGAAAGGTCATACATTTCTTTTAGAAAAGAGACTATGGCAGGGAATTACAAAGTGCAGGTGTACGATGTAAGAAGCAGGAAGACAAAATGTTGTGACCTGCAGTGTGGTCGTTGAACACAGTGTGGATACGATTAAACGGCCAGTGTGGTAGACCAAGTCCTCAACATGGGTGGAGGGATCAATGGGTAAAGTACAAATGAAAAGTCACAATGGACGTGGCAATAGAAGAGCGACGAGTGCTGAATATTATTCACAGTACAATCAAAAAACCACTAACACGGCGCACGCACGCGTACAACACACACACAGTCTTTAATACAGCCTGCGTTACGCAGGCACAGCGTGGAGCAGTTCAACTCTGGGGGACTTACACGGGGCCGCGGGGCCGCCCTGTATCACGCTCTGCCCGCCGCTCCTGCTTTGCCTTCAGCTTGGCCTCCGCCTTCCCCAGCTTCTTCTGGTCCACTTGCTGCCAACGCACAGACACAACGATCTGCCGCTTAGCCTCGCACGATGCTGTTAGCGAGTGTCTTGTCATAATAATACGTTTTATTATTATTTAAAATTCTTACGCGCCGCACAGCATTCGCTCACTTTCGAAGAGAATGACTCGGAGGTGCGAGGAACCCACAGACGAGTGGGAAAGACAGCCACGCAGTGAGCGAGTGCCAAAGGCCCACCTGCGAGCTCTGTGTTCCTCTATATATTAAGGTGTTTATGGGGAATTAATGAGTGTTTATACATGGGAGGAAACTGGAGCGCCTGGATACAACCTTTACGTGTGAAGGGGCAAAACTCTATCCCGTATAGATGGAACAGTTGGGAATCCACATTGGCTGTATCGCCTTCTCCGGGCAAGCTGAGGAATGGCACCTCGATGCCCACAGGAAAGGGAGTTTAACAACAATCTCGCAACATTTGCGCGATCCGCCAGCCCGCGCCTCTACACAGTGCTGGTTTACAGGCGATTGCGCCACATGTCCGGTTAAACAACACCAAACGGTCATGTGGCCAATGCGACGAACACACGCACAGGCCCCGTCACCAGATAAACACTTATGATGTCGAATACACCAACACAGCGCTCTTTTACATTGCTGGTTGTAGGAGTGTGTGTGCAGGAGAGGAGGGTTTGAGAGGTTAAAGGGTCGACGTATTGTCACAATCCATTCCCTTTTGTATCGTCTCGTTTTTAGTCGAATTTGTCCGCATTAACAAATGTGTTGAGGAGTAGTTGACGACGTCACGTCACCCTGGGGTGTATGATGGATGACGTCTTGTCACCCTGATATATAAGGGGGGACCCGTCACGTGAAAGGGGTTAGTCGTCGGGGCCCGGGAACGAGAGTGGTTGGAAGTCAGGACCCAGGTTAGGGGGAAATTAGCACCAGGCTAGGGCGGCTACTTCACCCGGCCGACCGAGTTGGCTGATCTCTCGGTCGGTGCTGAGGGAAGAGCCTGAATAGCCTGGGTGGGTAATAGGGACCTCCCAGTACCCTTCCCTCGGGGAGATATAAGATAACCTGTAATAGCTGTTAGGCGTAAGCCCTGTTAAGTTCCTAGGCGTAAGCCCCTAATAAACATTGGCATCAGCCCTTACGAAGATCCGTGTCAGCGTCGTCATTTACACCACAACACATGTATAATTTACATATAATTGCATAAATTATAATAAATTGTGACATATGTGATTGTTTGCATTGCATCGCGAGCCTAAGAATGAATGGTATTTTATTAAGTTGTTACACGCCTGGTAAAAAGGGTTCCATGGAAGCCTTGCTTTAATCCCAGTACGAGTACTGTCCGTGTTTACGTACGCCAGCCTATTTCACGCGCGTTCCTCGTCCTCTCGCGTACGTGGTTACATCGTACGGATTCCCGAACGCCTATCTCGGCGGGGCCACAACTCACCGTGTTCGGTCCTTTCTTTGCGATGAAACTGTGTGTTGCGTTCGAAGAAGCGCGTTCTTTAAAAAAAAAACGAAAGTAAAAGAAAATGCAAAACAAAAAAACGGAAGGTTAAACGATTCCAATGTCGTGCCTTTTAAATTAAGGTACACAAAAAGATTAGGAAAGTATACTTTTTAAACGAAAACAAACGTTTTTAACGTGTTCGCCCTCAAAATAACGTTAGGCTTTTGCCAAAAATAAAAACCGGTAAAGGTGCAGCCCTGCAATTGCTTGCTCACGGCACTGCAGGCGGAAGGGTGTCCGCTGAAGTGATTATCTAGTAGAGCCTCTCTCATAGGGTACCTTGACTTACTCTTCCACACTGGCTAGACATTTTGTTCAAGGTGGGAATACCCACACTTTACTCCACTATACATGTCCTGTCAATTGACTGGTGTACTCATTCATGCTGCCAAGTGGAGAGATTTGGCAAGATAAAAAAATGTATACAAAATATAACGGTCAACTGGATGAAAAAATCTTCATAAAATATCGCATGACCAAAAAAACACAAGCACTCACCAAAATTTCCAGCCATCTCCGCCAGCTGTATGGGAGTATCAAGCCTGGATTGTAGCCTCCCTGAGCCACTCAGTCCATTCCTAGAGGTACAAACAGCAGCTATAACTTTGTGTTCTCTGAAAATAACCTTCGAAGCCAGTGACCTTAGCGTGATCCCGAAGAAACTGGACGAACATAAAAAACTGGCAGGGGAGAGAGAGCAACGGCATAATATGACTGGCTTCAACAGACTGACATGATATTAAGAACCCTGAGCTAAGAAAACCAAAAGCACTTATTTGACAGTCATGCGCTGGCATAAATCGTCAAAAACTAACTACATGTCAGGAAAACTGTCTTAAAAACGAAAATGATATACCGATTCACGATAGATTTCTGAGATAGGCCACGTAATGATCTGGCCAAATTTGCACAATAAGACCCTGCACCACCCGGCATAGCCAAGCAAAATAAATTGTCATGGTTTGCGAAAATCTACATGTACCTTTCTTATAACATATTATTCTGACGCTTAGAGGAATGGCTCTTCTTCAGAGCAGAGATAGAGGGCATAAAGATGTGGTCAAATCTGATCATTTTTATTTTAATCCATTTATTCGTGTACTTTTGACTTTTTATAAGTATATTACACTTTAACACATATCATTAAAAAAAACTTTTAAACTTGTAAATATCTCAGGGTCCCTGGAGCGTTAAAAGCTGTTGGTGATTGCACGTAGCGCGTACACGTGCAGCGCGTTGAACATCCTCTGGCACACGTCTCTGATGTCCTCGTTGTCCTTGACAACCTCCGAGCCCTCCTGCAGCACATCGCCCACCGCGTCCACCACATCGTCCGCCGACTCAAAGTCCAGAGCACTGCACTCGAGGACACCTGGGACACGGGATGAAAAACACGCGGGCGCAGACAGAAACACAGGGCAGCGATTTAATGGAGGACTCAACCCAACAAAAAAAATGTAGATTCCTTTTCTTGTAGGTATAGCATATGTATGTACGTTGAACTTCTTTCGCACCTCCTTGCTCCTCAGATGTGTGATTATACAAGTGTCATGTGGAAAGAGCCCCAACTGGTAGCACATGGCCGTGACAAGTGGAGGCACTGGGTCGCCCGAAATGTCACAAATACAAGACAAAGTACTACATCTTGTGGACTAGCTTGAGGGGCGCCACCTCGCAAGCAGATGTGTTCGCAATTTTCCATGCGTTCCCCACAATAAATGATGAATGGCATGCAAATCCCCACTCTCTTCACCTTGTCACTCACAATATATTTATTTGCGACTCGTAGACTTTTGGCCCCCTGCAGTGGAGCAGGAGAACACGGACGATTACATAATGTACAATAGAAGAGTTTCACTTGCCAAGTGTGACTTCTGTGTCATGTCTGCACCAGTGACCTAAATGAATAATTTGCCCATGACCAAATCACTCTTAATATCCTCAAATTACGTCAGACCTCAGAAGCTAAGCGGGCTTAAATATGGTTATAACTTGGATGTAAAGCTGCACAGAAATATGAGGCTTGGGCAGCAAGGTGACCAACATATGGCAGCACCACTCTATTTGTGCAGAGCTTTTAATATAACCCCCTCATTTGCATGCAGCTTTCCTCAGGCACGCTTGTTTCCTTCCACATGAAGCCAAACATTAGTGGAATTGATCAAACATCTCGATGCAGGATCCTGCGACATAAGTGTCTGAAATCGCATTGAATATTTCCCTGTGGCACAGTAGTTGCTTTTTTTAACATCGTTACAATACCCAGGCAGCTGTCAGTGATTGTTAGCGTTCCATTAAGTTTTAAAGCTGAGTGTCTTAGAGTGTCTTAGATTGTCTGACATGAGTTGTGTCACTTTAGGATCGTAATTGGAGCTATATGAGTGTGACTCGCCACGGATTCAAAGTATTGTAGAAGCCTTCATGCAGCAATGAACTGACCATGACTGATTGTGAACAAAGCTTAAAACTTGTCAGACAGAATGGGAGAGTCAAGATAAGCCCACTATCTACAACACACGTCCCCGAGTTGTCTTACTTTGACCACATACTCATTGTTGGAAGCCGCTCTCGTCAGCTGTGCTCCGATAAAACTTTCCAACGACACATGTCAAACACATGCGAACCACGGACAGTACAGGATTCATGACCGATGACAGTGGCCGTGCATTGTACATGTGAGCCTGGGGTGGCGCTAATCTCAGCAGTCCTGAACTGATGGTTTATACAACCACATTGCGTTGACGAGAACGGTCATGACATAGGACAATTTCCGGAAATCAATAGTTGTATTATATAGGGCAGTTAATCGATATAATCATGTAGTTTCCATGTCACGCTGAAATGAGCGCGCATCAGCAATAGGGCACGACCGATTAACCCACTTCCCTCCATGTTTTGACCATGTGGCACATAAGAATCTAAATTTGTGCAAATATATGGGATCAACAATTGTAAAAAAAAACAATCTAGCAGTTAAATCTATAGAATCCACAGTAGTGCGAATTTAGTAATATTAATGTCCATAATCTCGTGGCAATCTAAAGTAGTCCCGAGTCTATATAATCTAGATGTAATTAATTTAGATGTAATTGCTTTACAGCTCTGTAAATCCACTGTTGAATGAAGGCCTCTCCCAGTAATCTCGGCTATAGTGGTTGTTTTACCATAATACTTAACCAGCTCATTAGTCAGTGCGGGTTGGCAAGGGGTAGTGACTATAATACTTAACCAGTTAGTCAGTCAGTGCGGGTTGGCAAGGGGTAGTGACCATAATACTTAACCAGCTAGTCAGTCAGTGCGGGTTGGCAAGGGGTGGTGACCATAATACTTAACCAGCTCGTCAGTCAGTGCGGGTTGGCAAGGGGTGGTGACCATAATACTTAACCAGTTAGTCAGTCACTACAGGATGGCAAGGGGTGGTGACCATAATACTTCACCAGCTCGTTAGTCAGTGCGGGTTGGCAAGGGGTAGTGACTATAATACTTAACCAGTTAGTCAGTCAGTGCGGGTTGGCAAGGGGTAGTGACCATAATACTTAACCAGCTAGTCAGTCAGTGCGGGTTGGCAAGGGGTGGTGACCATAATACTTAACCAGCTCGTCAGTCAGTGCGGGTTGGCAAGGGGTGGTGACCATAATACTTAACCAGTTAGTCAGTCAGTGCGGGTTGGCAAGGGGTGGTGACCATAATACTTAACCAGCTAGTCAGTCAGTGCGGGTTGGCAAGGGGTGGTGACCATAATACTTAACCAGCTAGTCAGTCAGTGCGGGTTGGCAAGGGTTGGTGACCATAATACTTAACCAGTTAGTCAGTCAGTGCGGGTTGGCAAGGGGTGGTGACCATAATACTTAACCAGTTAGTCAGTCACTACAGGATGGCAAGGGGTGGTGACCATAATACTTCACCAGCTCGTTAGTCAGTGCGGGTTGGCAAGGGGTAGTGACCATAATACTTAACCAGCTAGTCAGTCAGTGCGGGTTGGCAAGGGGTGGTGACCATAATACTTAACCAGCTAGTCAGTCAGTGCGGGTTGGCAAGGGGTGTTGATCATAATACTTAACCAGCTAGTCAGTCAGTGCGGGTTGGCAAGGGGTGGTGACCATAATACTTAACCAGCTAGTCAGTCAGTGCGAGTTGGCAAGGGGTGGTGACCATAATACTTAACCAGCTCGTCAGTCAGTGCGGGTTGGCAAGTGGTAGGGGGGATTGGACGAGTTTAGATATTTCACTCGTCACCCGTTCGCCATGGCCGGGAATTGAACCCTGGTGATCCATGGTATTGTGCCAACTACTACGCCACTGCTCTGACTCCACGAATCCACAGTGATATGAATGTATAAATACAAAATCTAGTCGTATACCAATAACTATACAGCGTACGCTTTAAATTAATTAATCGATTTTCACAGGCAGGATCAATACTTTCGCCGAATGATCAATTTAAATCGGCGATTCATTCATTGGCCGTTGCATACACCAGCTGGACACAAGCGCTGGGCAACGGAAGAGAATGAATGAAATCAGGCATTACAAAAAGTAACATTCTGGAACATTCTAGCCTATAACACCAATCATCTCGGCAACATTTGATGATGCAGTACTCAGGACGTCGATACCGGTCCCAAGTTAAAACAAAAAGCGCTGCTGGATATCCGGAAGGCATTTACACAGACGCTGCTCAATTACGGTGGGTGACATTGGCGTTCGTTTAAAATTGTATTTCCACAATCATCGGCCAGGCTCAATCCACTGCTGGATAGAGGCCTGCCCGAGTCGCCGCCATCTCGCACAATCCAGCGAAGTCACCGACACCAACTTCTCTCCCGGGAAACTTTGCAACGAGTGTACTTTTTTATATTCTTGGTTCTTTCGGTAATTAAATTTGGCCTAGCCGGCGACGAGAGGCGTGCAGACCGGAGTTGGTGGAGGTCGCCGCCACGAGAAGCGGACGAGACACCGCGCGAGCCCCCCAACCTCGCCTGGTTTCCCTACCGACCACGAGCGACCCGGCACGGGGGATGCTGCCTATTCGAGGGCGGTCGAGGCCTAATCGCCTCGAGGTGGTTGGCGGTGGCGGTGAGGAGGTGGGTGTGAAACGCGAGCCTCAAACCCTGCGGAGCGCCACGTTGCCAGCGGCACCCGCGCCCCTAGCCATGTCGGAGGTTTCGCCGCCGTCACCTGTCACGTATTCGAACAGCTCGCTGTCGATGAGCGGGAACTCTTCACGGAGCAACTCAACGCACGCGTCCATAGCGGCTCGTGGCGGGCGGGTGACGTTATCGGTGAGGGGAGTGGAGGTGACGTCAGATGACGTCATCCAACATTCGCGCGATGGCGTCATTGTAAAAAAAAACTCTGTCCCTTTAAATCGAAATGATTTAACTCCCGATGACGCCTTCGTGCGAGGTTGCGTTTAGAATGAGTGGCGTCATCATTCGCTATATAAAAAATAATGTTAAACTAATTACTTGGCGACGACGCTGCCAGAATTGCTTGTGCTGCACAAGCACAAATTAATTTTGATTTAAAGCTTTCGTGACTGCGGTGATTCACATTCTTGGTTCTTTCGGTAATGTCACGTGACTTTACCGAAAGAACCAAGAATAAGCACAAATAATGCAAACTCAACAACGCATCCGTCAATAATAACGCCGAGTTGTGTGTGTGTGGCCTTCAAAATAATATATAAGGTGACGTGTTCGGCCTAATGTCTCTTATTCACAAGCACACGAAGAGGCGAGAGAGAGGGCTAAAGTCCGAGTGGCAAGTAAATACGTCATCGGGTGACATCGTGGTAAAAAAATCGACGCAATCGCGCGATGACGTCATTTATGTGACGCGTGAACGGGCGTGAACGTTTTGCGAATACGTCACTCAAAAAAATGTAACGCGTGCAGCGGGAGCTGAGCGATTCGGTTGCATGCAAGGTGGTTGCGTGCAATTGTCACAGCTGTCAACCCCATACGGGTTCATACTCTTTGGTTCTTTCCGTAAAGTCACGTAGGTGAAAAAATAAAAACGGCGCGATTTATTTCTTTCATATTTTATTTTTATTTTATTATTTCACCTACGTGACTTTACCAAAAGAACCAAAGAGTATGGATCCTTGCAGTCACGAAAACTTCAAACCCATACGGGTTATTAACCCCGTATTCTTGTACAGGGAAATTGAGTTTTCAGATCCATACGGCGTACGGCCGTTTCAATACGGGCAAATAATATATAGGTTGTGTCTATTTGTTTGTGTTTCTCCCTTGTGATGATGGGACTTTGTAGGATGAACGTTGAGATTTATGATGGGCACGGGGTGGCCAATGAGGTCTGAGTTGGTCTGTGATAAGGTAGGACACTGATAAGGGGTTGACAGGTATTTCGGATAGGGATAGGGATAGCATACCTGTAAACCCATACGGTTTACCACGTATTATTATACAGGGACATTGAGTTTTCAGGTCCATACGGCGTACGGTCGTTTGAATATGCGCAACAAAAAAACATGTTTTTTTTTCTATTTGTGTTTCTCTCCTTGTGAGGGTGACTTTGTAACGATGAACGTTGAGATTTATAAGGGCACGGGGTGGCCAATAAGGTGTAAATTGGTTTGTGATAAGGTAGGGCACTGATAAGGGGTTGACATGTATGTCAACTGATAATCGTATACACCTGGGGGGGAGAGAGGGGGGTCTCTGTAACCGGTTGCTTACAAGCGACCTGATCAGCGATTTATTGTGACATTGCTACTCAATAGGTTACTCAAGAAACAATTATAATCGCCAATAGCACTGTGGCCCTAAAAGGAACATTACATAATAGGCGATGCTTCGGGCAATGATCCTTCATTGTTCGAAACGGTACTTTCATTGACAAAGTCAAAATTGACGAAGTCAAAATAATGTTACAATTATGCAATAATAGGTGTGCCAATTAAAAAAAATCGGAAAATAGTTTTAATCTTGAATTATTTATTAATGTGCTATGAAGAATATAAATTTTCCAAATCGTTGCCCGTTATATATAATTACCTTTCAACGCCGCAGTGTTATTAAAGGACGTGTCGAGTTTTTGTACTTGTGCACCACTGCCAATGCAGTATCATCAAATAATTGGATACTATCTACGTGTTATGCTAGACATGCGTGCCCAGACACTCCAGCCATGCCTAGATGCGTCCTCGTTGCGTAACGTCTCGCTCAGATGTTCGGACAAAGCAGCCCGTGGCGGTCATTAAGCTTTGCGGTTTCGAGAGCCTTGTGGTTGTGCACCTGATCTCTTGGGTGTGGGCTCGGCCGCATTGTGGGAGAACCAAATCTCGGGCGGTAGGGCTGATGGAGACTGACCGACCCCCCTTTTCCCCGACCACGTCTAATGTATTTCATCGTATACACATAGTGGTGAGAGCTAGAGCAGAATGCATGATGTCCGCTGTGACATCACAGCGTGCTCTGTGATGTCACAGCGTATGGCATCACTTTATCTAGTGTCATCTCAACCAACGTCCAGCCACTTTAGGAATCCGTGTATCTCTTCACAACTCTTCTCATTTCTCGCTCACTCCCGTGGCCACACCTTAAACGTCATCATTTCCAATACCACCACTCGCATCACCATCGCATCTGTCACTTTTTGTTTTATATTTTCCATCCATAAGCCACCTCCTTCCAGATCCAAACTTACCATCCACCTCAACCATACACCTTTCTCCTTCACAACTCTATCCCTCGATACTGTTTAATGCACCCCAAAGGTCTTCTCTTGATCACAAACATTCGAAAGACAAATTATTCTTCCAGAACCTCCCCAGCCCCCTAAATTCCTCGAGAAAATGTTATTAGGGCCATAAGAATATCCATAATGGGACATTTGGAAGAACGGCGTATATTAGCTGTTGAGTGCGTAATGTTCACTACTTTAAACAAGGGATTTTGGGGCCCGTGGCATTGAAAAAAGGGCACACTCAATATTGATGAAATCGGGCTGTTAAGGACATTAAAAGTCACATAAATCTAGGAATTCTAATGACAAAAACACATACATTTACAGGAATCCCAAGTGTCATGTGTAAGACTGGTCCATAAACGACATTGATAGTCCTGTAAATCTTTGGTATCCTGAAATTGTAAAGTAAAAACAACAACCATGAATGTCCTCTGTAAGCGAAGTCCAATGAGGACCTTGAGTATTGTTGATGGAGGCTCAAGAGCTCCTGCTTAATTAAATAACAAACAAAAACTCGAAACATTCGTTGAATAACCCTGCTCTAAAAGGTGAATAGGCAACGTTTCGGGCAATGGTCTTTGACATGGTCCTTCATAATTAGGGTCTGAACAAGAGACCATGGGGGAACTCTGTATTTACTTATAAAGAGTGGAATTAAACACACACATACGCAAAATCCACAACATTAAATTCTTTACAGCCGCGGCATTTCTCATGGGAACGAGAAAACCGCGTCCTCTGCACAAAACAAATGAACCACGAATCGTAAATAAACAAAATAAAAAATAAAGAAACACAAATTTAAATTAATAAAACAAATCCTCACTATTGCACTACCGAGACACGGCTCTCGAAATACGTAAGCCGCATCGGCAAGCCGACGCCGGCCATTGGTCGGGGGCCGTGCGCGTGACGCGGTGCGCACCAATGGGGAGGCGGCGCGCGCCTGTCCGTTGTGGGAAATGTGAACGGGGGGTGCGGCCCGATCGCTGAGCGGGCGGGTTGATCAGCGGCGGCGGAGGAGGCGGCGGTGCAACTTCTCCTGGACCCCCCCGCCGCCGCCGCCACCGCCTTGGAATCGGCGACTTCTTCCCCCTCGTTCGAGCGGCTCCTTCTCTGCGCCGGTGCAAAGGAAAGTGAGGAGGAGGCGGAGGAGGAGGTGGCGGCGGGGAGCCCTCGCTGTGCGGCCGCCACCGCCGCCACCACCACCAGCAGCAGCAGCATCAGCAGCAGCCGCCACCACCAACCATCACCATGGCGGGGGAGACGAAAATCATTTATCACATGGACGAGGAGGAGACCCCGTATCTGGTGAAGCTGCCCGTCGCGCCCGAGCGGGTCACCTTGGGGGACTTCAAGACGGCGCTCAACCGCCCCACGCACAACTACAAGTTCTATTTTAAGTCCATGGACGTGGATTTTGGGTGAGCGCCTCGCGTTGCATTGTAAAGCGTTAGTGGTGGTGGGAGGGTTTGATTGCGGGGAGACGAAAGGGTGGTGGGGGGTAAGGTGGTGGTGGTGGTGGTGCTGAGTGGGGGGGGGGTGTGAGGAGAAGGGGGGGGGTGTTGGTGACTGGTTGCCGATTGCATTTCGCAGAGCGGATGCGCCGCGCTAGATGTTACGCCTCGTCATGTCCGCGGCCGATGGCCAATGGGCGTCGTCGACACGGCGCGCGGCGCCTATCTGCGCTGGGCAATGCAGAGCGCCGATCTCGCCGATCCGTTTTGTGTTGCGTCGGCGGCTGTGCGTGTGTGGTGGGTTGGGGGGGGGGCCCCTTTTGCATTTGGTCGCGCGCACGCGCCAAGCTACGGCGCCGATTGGTCGGCGGCAAGCCGCTCGCCCAATGGGGATGCGGCTCGGGGCCACTCTTCGCCCATGCGGACTGCGGAATGTAAAGGGACCGGCCGAGCGTCTTCCTCCATTTTATGTTGTGTTGTGTGAGCGGGCGAGGCTCTCTTCCCCTCCCCTCCCTCCTCCTCTCTCTCTCAAACCACGACCGCCACCACCCTGGCCAGACGTTAATTCTTAAGAGATGTTTGACAAAGTAACGTGGTGGAAGGTGGCGGTGGAGTAGGCGGAGGTTGGCCGTGCCGGGGTGGTGGTGGTGGTAGGGGGGGGGGTCTCGGTTGCTACATTCCCTCTCATCATTGACGCCTCGCTCGCTCCCCTCCCTCCCTCTGCCATGTGATGTCACTCAATTACATCACCGGCAAAAAGAGTTGGCCATTGTGAACCTGCGTCTGCAGCCCTAATTGCCCCCTCCCCCCCTACATCTCTACGTGGTCAGCATTGCCCCCCTCCCACACCCAAAGTTCACGTGAGGTTAAGTTGTAAATGACGCGGTGCAAATCAGGTGGGGCACATCGATTTAAATCACCCACCCGCCAACCCCACAAATTGCCGGTAGTGGAAATTCCACATTGTTATGGCGCGTGCAAGGTACACGTACTATCTCGGACAGCGACTGTGCGTGCTGACTTGAGAACTACATAGTTTCTGGTGGTGACGTGCCCTGAACAGCCCGAGTCTCAAAATCTCTTCTTTCCAGAGGGCTCTGTATTGGGATGCCTGGGTGCAGGCGTGTGGACATTTATTAAGGAGTGGCACGATGTGGGAGAAAACCTGAATTATTAGAGTCAATGTGCCCAAAGATTTTTTAATTTGTTGGTACAGAATCTTTTTTTTAGAATCAGAATATTTATTTATCCTGGAGGAATCCGATAGGCTACGAGGCTCTTTTTCACCGATGTCCGGTCGTACGACTTGAGGTGGCATTACTTTACAGGTTTCCAGATTCTTTGCATCCATTCACAGTGAATTACGTGAATATCGCTTGGAACGACTGGGGTACAAAGTAATTGACCCTTATTCGCTGTATGAATAAATCCGAACTGCTATTTTCTCTTCTGGCCCATGGACTTTGAGAATAATGTATGGCCGCGGCTGAATTAAGGCTTCTCCCAAGCTTGGTTAGTAGTGTGGGTTTGTGAAGAGTGGAACGATTCAGATAGCAATCACAGTCCATTTCGGGCTATTGCTTGGAATCAAACTCAGGTGGTCGGTTCATAGCGCAGTGCCATTATCAATGAACTACTGCTCTCCCTGATCGTCCAGAGAAAGCCCACGTATGTTAGAGAGGTTAACATTCACATGTCTGCACAGATGGGTTCAAAAAGATGTTGCTTTACTCTCATCTGTTGATCTTTGAGTACAAGTCTAAAACAGCCGCTGCTTGCCAGGGAATCTCCCATGAATCTACTAACCAGGTTCAACGCAGCTTAGCTTCTGAGATATGATCATTCAGGATGGTGTGTTCCTCAGCCAAACAAATGTAGATTCAGTTGTCATTTTAGACCTTCGGCCTATGGTTCTTGCAGACTGTTTTCTAGGTGTATTTGTTTGAGCAGGAAAACCGGTTTTTTACTTTATGAGTCACATCGGCAGGGTCAAGCAAGTTAAATAAACGTTGCTCATTTGTCAGACATGCACACAGCACAACAACAGCTGATCTGGAGTGTTACAATATTACATTTAAGATGCTGTGGCATTAATAAACTACTGCTGATTATTATAAAACATGCAGTTGATCTTATTGTATCGCTTTAATGTAAATGATTGAGAAAAAGCTTTAACCTTTGTTACTTTCAGAGGCATTCATTCCGAGATTAACAGTTTCAGTAGGAATGATTTTGTTAGCCTTTTTGGGTATCGTCCTGTTAAAGCGAGCTGTTGTCCAAAGTCAGTCATTGGAATTCCACGTTGCTATGTCAGTATATCCACAGCGCTATAATGACTGTTAACTTTGTATTAAATTGTGTAGCCTTCACTGGTTGGGAATAATTTTACAAACTTGAGTAGGGATGATGATGATGATGAGCTGGTGATGATGAAAATGATGAAGGTGATAATGAATGGCGGTGATAGTGGTGGTGATGGTTGTTTGATGATGGTGGTTGTGTTTATGATTGTGGTGATAATTATAACGTTGACAATGGGGGTGATGTTGACGGTTGTGATGATGATGCTGGTGATACTGGTGTTGATAATTAATAATAGATGTGGTGATAATGATGGAAGTAGTGGTGATGTGGTTGAAACGACCCCGAGCAGAAATTCTACTCGGCACTTTTGTGCGGAAGTCTGCTTCTCTTCCAGCGTGACTATGTATTATTATATTTTACTGTACAGTTGATTTTCAATACACTGTTAAATGAAGGCCTCTCGACCCATTATCATCATGAGAGTTGTTTGACCATGCTGAACGCTGGTTAGTGCTAGGTTGTTGAACGAGGGTCCCGGGACTGGTTCATATATCACTCGGCGTTGATGTTACCTGTGGCCAGGAAGCAAACTCGGGGTTAGATCGCGTAAATATATAATGTGCCGTTAAACCCACCACCACCCGACAAAGCCAATTATTAAGGTTTGTCACGTAAACAGAACATGCCAATTCGTTACTAGTACAGCAAAACGGTGCGTTGGAGAGCAAAGCCAGTCATTACAACTAGCTTCAGATGAACCTGTATTATGGATTATATTGGTCGCGAAAGCCTACGTGTTAAACCAAGCAAACTCAGGTCGCCGGATTCGGATTGGATTAAGATGACCGTTGCTGCTTCTCCACTCCACTGCTATGCAGTGTTGTCGTAATGTAGTTTATTAGGAACATTAAGACAATGGGCTGTCATCTCACTTTGGGTGAAATATGTTAACCAGTTTATTTCAATACGCTAACCCTTACGATTGAATGTGCTCTGACCACTTTCTAAATTAACATGTACATTAAAAAAGTGGGTGGCATATCACTGACACATTGATCATGTTTGATCAAGGGAGGCCTTATATAAGACGAAGGCAGATAACTGAGTTTCGTTTATAACCACGTGAGAGGCGAACGACACAAATGTCTCTTAACAACAGAAGACCCGAGGAGCAAAGAATGTACGCAGAGTCTCTGTGCCGCGGGGTGGTGGGGGAAATGAACAAGACGGTCGACACATCGGCAAGATGAAAATAGATCTTCAATTTGGAAAAATAAAAATAAATTATACATGCGACATGCATAATTAATGTAACGCAATCACGAAAATAAAACCTTGGTGACAGAACACACTTTATTACAAGCATACATTACGCTGGACCATTGCTCTGAAATAAGTACAGCACATAGGTTCTTAAAATGAACAGTAAATATGACTAACAATGTGGATGACTAACAATGACGGCTGTCTTAGCCTGGTGAGTCGAGTTACTCCGGGTGTAACGCTGACCCCTCCCCCTCCAGTGATTCAGCCGTGATGTGATTAAAAATAATCAATTCTTTATGTTGTATTATGTTTAACGTCTTGCTGGTATTGTTTCATTTTTTCCCGTCTCATTTGCACAATTTTGTCTGCACCGTTTAACCCAAATGGAACATTAGTCCATCATGTTGACATAATTTTCACGAATTGGAAAAAATATATTCTTACACATGCCATTTGACGTGTGTAACATGAACCCTAAGTCTCTAAATGGCTAAATCGATGTGTCTTGAAACCGTGGTAGCGGCCACCCACATTGTGCTTGTGGCCCACGTCCCGCGCTACCGTAATGAGCGTGTTGCTCGTGTCCGCCTGCAGGATGCATCACCATGCTCTGCGTGCGCATCTCTTTGAACTTTCCATTTTGGCCAGAGCACACAGCTGCTCTTCGCTGATGAAACCCGACGAGGTCAAAGGTTAATCTCGGCTGCTGTAGCCTGGCGGTGCTGGGAGGCATGTCTGCGTCTCCAAGCCACACCGCCTTTCCATGCATGGTCCCCTTGTATCATGTCAAAAGTCAGCAACAGGCCATGCTCCCAAATGCGGTTTTCCTTTAAACTTTACTGGAAGAGTCACTCGCCTGAAATTTTAAATTGGCCTAAGCTGGGTGGCCCCACTGTACTAGAGAATAGTGGAATTGCTTTCGGGGGCATGTAGTGCACATGTAAGATGTTTTTTTTTGTCGTGGGTATGTGTAATCCTACTGAAATAAATATATTCCCTTGTCGATGGTGATGTGGAGGGAATGCTATTGTCCAGATTCTGTTATTTGCTTTTTTTCTGTGGCTATTGCTCCTCTTGTCCACGAGGTTATCTGCAGATAATGCAGATAAGAGGATGGATTATCTTTCCAGGTCTGTGTGGCTCCTCTTATCTGTGTAAAGGCTCCGATAATAAAAATTATTTATTACTTCAGGTATACCACTTCCAGGTGGTTCGTCATCGACATCATCGTCATCCGGTAGCGTTTCCACACCTGCTGTCGATGCGAATTCCCTTAGACCTCTTCTGATCTTGCACCAGATTTTCTGTTGTTTTTATTTTTAAACTCAAATGTGCCAAATCTTTGTCGTCTTCCCCTCTGGTCATAGCTCTTCCTCTTATCAGTCTTCCATGTGCCA